GTTGTATCTGGGACAACGTTTGTTGTTGGACTACATGGAACTGTAGATACAGATGATGGTGGTGTTGATTGAGGTGCACACGTTTCTGTGATAGGAACGTTTTTAGTTGTTGGTGATGGTGACAGAGTTGTCTTGGTGAATGGTGTTGTGACTGACCCAGGTGTTGTCTCTGGAATGCTACACGTCACAATTTCGGTCACTCGAATTTGTTTTGTGGTTGGTGATGGTGTAGGTCCAGATGCAGAACTGCAAGGAACGGTTGATCCGCATGGAGCTGGTGTTTCTGATATTATGGACTTAGTGGTAGGTGGTGGCGTTAGTGTGGTCTTGGTGAATGATGTGTCACCACCGCATGGGGTTGTTTCTTGTGCAGGTGTTGATATGGAACTGCAAGGGCCTGTAGATCCACATGGAGGAGGCGTTGTCACTTGTATGCTTGTTACAGCTTTGGTTGTTGGTGGTGGTGTTGCCGTGCCAGGTCCAGATGTTGTTGGACTACATGGTACCGTAGATCCAGGTGAAGGAACTGGTGATCCAGGTGCAGATGTTATTTCACTGATAGGGATGACTTTTGTGGATGGGGGCGGAGTGAGTGTGGTTTTCGTGAAAGGTGATTCCGTATTGCACAGTGGTGAGTTCGATGCACTTGAAGGACCTGTGCTACTTGAATCAGATGATCCACATGGAGGAGCTGTTGATGGTGGCAAACTTGCACATTCTGAAATAATTACACCCTTCGAGGTAGGTGGTGCAGTGATTGTTGTGTCAGGCACTGATCCTGTTGATGGACTGCATGGAACTGTAGATCCAGAAGGTGGAACTGTTCCTGATGGACTTGTCACTGATTTGGTGGTCGGTGGAGGTGACAGAGTCACATCTGAACCTGGTGGAGTTACTTGACTACTTGGACTGGTGGCTCCACAGGGAGGAAGTGTTGTTTGTTTTCCAATCGGTGGTTCTCCAGTTAAGACTGATTTAGTAGTTGGTGGTGGAGCAAGAGTTGTCTGAGCAACAGGAACATTGGTGCCACAGACACTTGAGTCTGGTCCACATATTACTTGCTGACTGGATGAACTTATAGACTGACTAGAAACAATGGACGTGCTTGAGTCACTTACAACGTTATTCGAAATAATATTAGAATTAGGTGATTGTTTCGGTGTGGTTTTGGTTGAGGGAGTTGTGTCGGATACAGGGGCAGATGTTGGACTGCAAGGTCCTGAGGGTCCACATGGTGGAGATGTTGGTGGTGGTGAGCTTGTTATACCGGTGATAGTTACGACTATCGATGGTGGTGGTGGAGTCAGATTTGATGTTGTGGGAGGCGGTGGTGGTGTTGTGCATGCAGTTGTTGCATCTGATACTGGCGGTGTAACTGGACTGCTGCAAATTGGAATACCAGTGGTGGAGATCAACTTGGTTGTTGGAGTGACTGAAGACGTGGAACTGCATGAAGGAGAAAAATCGCATGGAGGTGGTGTGCTTGTGGTAATTATGACTTTCGTTGGTGGTGGTGGAGTCAGAGTTGGTTTCGTTGGAGGTGGTGTTGTGCATGCAGTTGTTGCATCTGGTGCTGGTGGGGTCACCGGACTACTGCAAATAGGAATACCAGTGGTTGAGGCCAACTTGGTTGTTGGTGTAACTGTAGATGTGGAACTGCATGAAGGAGAAGATCCACATGGAGGTGGTTCAACTATGGAAGAGAGTATTTGAGGGATTGGTGTCACGCCAGGTGTTGTGCTGCCAGGACAAGGTGTGGAGTCTGATCCGGGTTGTATTGTTGGGCTGCATGGAGCTGTAGGACCACTTCCAGGTGTTGTTGATCCAGGTGCACAAGTTGTTACAACAGGAGGGATTTCTTTAGTGACTGGAGGTGGAGTCAGCGTTGTCTTAGTGAATGGTGTTGTGGGGCTAGATGGTGGAGGTGTTGGACCACATGGACCTGTAGATCCACATGGGGGAACTGTGGATTCAGACACAATTGGAGGTGTTGGTTCAGTGATGACTTTCGTGGTTGGAACTGGATTTGCAGGTGTTGAGATTGAAGGTGTGGAACAGGCAGGTGTCAAGTCTTTGATTAATGGCGTAACATCTGGATTGTTGCAAGGCACAACTGTTGAAGGTGGAGATATCTTTGTCGTGGGAGGTGGAGTAAGTGGACTACATGGGTTTGTAGAGCCACATGGTGCTGGTGATTCACTGACTGTGCTAATTTTAGACACGGGAGCAGTTGTCAGGGTCGTCTTGGTAATGGGTGTTGTAGAACTGCAAGGAACCTCTGGTCCAGGTGTAACGGACCCACATGTCGTCACTCCAGGTGCGATTGGTTCTGGAGTTGAGACGATCTTTGTGCTTGGTGGAGGAGTCAGAGTCGTTGAAGGTGGTGGCGTTGAACAAGGTATTGGCCCAGTTCCAGGTGAAGTTCCTGGACTGCAGGTCACCACATCGGGAACTGGGATTACTTTTGTTATTGGTGCAGGGGTCTGTTCAGAAACTGGAGGACTGCATGGACTGCTGGAACCACATGGTGGAACTGTTGTATCTATGGGAACGATTTTGGTTGTAGGTGGAGGTATTGGAGCTGTAGAACTGCTGGAAGGAACTCCTGGTTGACAAGTAGTAGAACCACCACATGGAGGAGGTGTTTCTGGAGGTGGAGGGTTCCTACTGCTTGGTGGTGGTGTCACAATTGTAACAACGCAAGGAGTTGTGTCTGGGACAACGTTTGTTGTTGGACTACATGGAACTGTAGACCCAGATGATGGTGGTGTTGATTGAGGTGCACACGTTTCTGTGATAGGAACGTTTTTCGTTGTTGGTGGTGGTGTCAGAGTTGTCTTGGTGAATGGTGTTGTGACTGACCCAGGTGTTGTCTCTGGAATGCTACACGTCACAATTTCGGTCACTGGAATTTGTTTTGTGGTTGGTGATGGTGTAGGTCCAGATGCAGAACTGCAAGGAACAGTTGATCCAGATGGTGCTGGTGTTTCTGATATTATGGACTTAGTGGTAGGTGGTGGCGTTAGCGTGGTCTTGGTAAATGATGTGTCACCACCGCTAGGCGTTGTGTATTGTCCAGGTGTTGATATGGAACTGCAAGGGCCTGTAGATCCACATGGAGGAGGCGTTGTCTCTTGTATGCTTGTTACAGCTTTGGTTGTTGGTGGTGGTGTTGTACCAGGTCCAGATGTTGTTGGACTACAGGGTATCGTAGGTCCAGGTGAAGGAACTGGTGATCCTGGTGCACATGTTGTTTCAGTTGGAGGGATGACTTTTGTAGATGGAGGTGGGGTGACTTTGGTCGTTGTGAACGGGGTTTCCGTATTGCATGGAGTTGAGCCTGGCAAAGGCGTTGGTGTTGGACTGCAAGGCCCTGAAGGCCCACATGGTGGAGGTGTTGTTGATAAGGAGCTGGTAACACCAGTGGTAGCTTTACTGTCTGGTGGTGGCGTCAGAGTTGACTTCGTGGGAGGTGGTGAGGTGAATCCAGTTGTTGTGTCTGATACAGGAGGTGGTACGGGTGTGCTGCAGATTGGAATACCTGTAGATGAGTCAACTTTTGTGGTTGGAATAATTGATGAAGTAGCACTGCATGGACTTGAAGGACTGGATGGAGATATGGTGGTAATTTCTTTCGTAATAGCTGTAGAAACTGGTGGTTTAGGGACAGGTGTTGTGCCACTGGACGGGGTTGTATCAGGTCCAGATGTTGTTGTTGGGCTGCACGGAGCTGTAGAACCACTCACAGGAGTTGTAGATGCAGGTGAACAAGTTGTCACTATAGGAGGGATTTCTTTAGTGACTGGAGGTGGTGTCAATGTTGACTTGGAGACAGGTGTTGAGGTGATGATTGTGGTTATGTCAGGACCAGGTGGAATTGTTGAACCACATGGACCTGTAGACCCACATGGGGGAAGCGTTGTTTCACTCCCACTTGGCGGTGCCGTTTCTGTGATGATCTTTGTGGTTGGAATTGGGGTTGCAGTTGTTGAGATTGAAGGAGTAGAACAGACAGGTGTCTCTGGCGTAACATCTGGATTGCTGCAAGGCACAACTGTTGCAGGGAGAGATACTTTTGTAGTTGGAGGTGGAGTCAGTGGACTTGTAAAGCCACATGGTCCTGGTGATTCACTGACTGTGCTAATTTTAGACACTGGAGCAGTTGTCAGGGTCGTCTTGGTATCGGGAATTGTGGAACTGCATGGAACCGCTGGTGCAGATGTAACAGAGCCACTTGGCGTAACTCCAGGTACGAATGGTTCTGGAGTTGAGACGATCTTTGTGCTTGGTGGAGGAGTCAGAGTCGTTGAAGGTGGTGGCGTTGAGCAAGGTATTGGCCCTGTTCCAGGTGAAGTCCCTGGACTGCAGGTCACAACATCGGGAACTGGGATTACTTTCGTTGTTGGTGCAGGGGTCTGTTCAGAAACTGGAGGACTGCACGGACTGCTCGATCCACATGGTGGAACTGTTGTCTCTATGGGAATGATTTTGGTTGTGGGTGGAGGTATTGGAGCTAAGGAACTGCTGCAGGGAGCTCCTGGTTGACAAGTAGTAGAACCAACATATGGAGGAGGTGTTTCTGGAGGTGGAGGGTTCTTACTGCTTGGTGGTGGTGTCACGGTTGTAACAACGCCAGGAGTTGTATCTGGGACAACGTTTGTTGTTGGACTACATGGAACTGTAGATCCAGATGATGGTGGTGTTGGTTGAGGTGCACATGTTTCTGTGATAGGAACGTTTTTCGTTGTTGGTGGTGGTGTTAGAGTTGTCTTGGTGAATGGTGTTGTGACTGACCCAGGTTTTGTCTCTGGAATGCTACACGTCACAATTTCAGTCACTGGAATTTGTTTTGTGGTTGGTGATGGCGTAGGTCCAGATGCAGAACTGCAAGGAACGGTTGATCCGCATGGAGCTGGTGTTTCTGATATTATGGACTTAGTGGAAGGTGGTGGCGTTAGTGTGGTCTTGGTGAATGATGTGTCACCACCGCAAGGCGTTGTTTCTTGTGCAGCTGTTGATATGGAACTGCAAGGTCCTGTAGATCCACCTGGAGGAGGCGTTGTCTCTTGTATGCTTGTTAAAGCTTTGGTTGTTGGTGGTGGTGTTGTCGGGCCAGGTCCAGATGTTGATGGACTACATGGTACCTGTAGATCCAGGTGAAGGAACTGGTGATCCCGGTGAACATGTTATTTCGGTCGTAGGGATTACTTTTGTGGATGGAGGTGGGGTCACTTTCGTCGTAGTGAAAGGCATTTCCGTACTGCATGGAGTTGAGCCTGGCACAGGCGTTGGTGTTGGACTGCAAGGCCCTGTAGGCCCACATGGTGGAGGTGTTGTTGGTAAGGAGCTTGTAACACCAGTGGTAGCTTTACTGTCTGGTGGTGGAGTCAGAGTTGATTTTGTGAGAGGTGGATTTGTGGAGCAAGGTGTTACGTCTGTTACTGGGGGTGTAACAGGCGTGCTGCAAATTGGGATCCCAGTAGTTGACACCAACTTTGTTGTTGGTACAACTGGAGATGTGGGACTGCAAGAAATTGTAGAACCACCAGGAGGCGTCGTGGAAATGATGTTAGTAATTGGTGTTGTGACCAGTGTTGTGCTACCACAAGGTGTTGTCTCAGGTCCAGATGTTGTTGTTGGGCTGCATGGAGCAGTCGGGCCAGTCACAGGCGTTGTAGATACAGGTGGGCTGGTTGTCACAACAGGAGGTATCTCTTTAGTGACTGGAGGTGGCGTCAGTGTTGACTTGGAGACAGGCGTTGAGGTGCTGATTGTGGTTATTCCTGTACCAGGTGGAGGTGTTGAACCGCATGGACCTGTAGATCCACATGATGGGGGTGTCGTTTCACTCCCACTTGGCGGCGCTGTTTCAGTGATGATCTTTGTGGTTGGAATTGGGGTTGCAGTTGTTGATATTGAAGGAGTCGAACAGGCAGGTGTCAAGTCTGTGATTAGTGACGTAACATCTGGATTGCTGCAAGGCACAACTGTTGAAGGTGGAGATATCTTTGTAGTAGGAGGTGGAGTAAGTGGACTGCATGGGCTTGTAGAGACAGATGGTCCTGGTGATTCACTGACCGTGCTAATTTTAGACACTGGAGCAGTTGTCAGGGTTGTCTTGGTAACTGGTGTTGTAGAACTGCATGGAACCTCTGGTGCAGGTGTAACGGAGCCACATGGCGTAACACCAGGTGCACATGTTTCTGCAGATGAGACGACCTTTGTGCTTGATGGTGGAGAAATAGTTGTCACGGTGGAAGGTGGTGGCGTTGAGCAAGGTATTGGTCCTGATCCAGGTGAAGTCGCTGGGCTGCAGGTAACACCATCGGGAACTGGGATTACTTTTGTTGTTGGTGCAGGGGTCTGTTCAGAGACTGGAGGACTGCACGCACTGCTCGGACCACATGGTGGAACTGTTGTCTCTATGGGAATGAGTTTGGTTGTAGGTAGAGGTGTTGAAGCTGTAGAACTGCTGCAGGGAGCTCCTGGTTGACCTGTAGAAGAACCACCACATGGAGGAGGTGTTTCTGGAGGTGGAGGGTTCTTACTGCTTGGTGGTGGTGTCACGGTTGTAACAACAGAAGGAGTTGTGTCTGGGACAACGTTTGTTGTTAGACTGCATGGGACAGTAGATCCAGATGATGGTGGTGTTGACTGAGGTGCACACGTTTCTGTGATAGGAACAATTTTCGTTGTTGGCGGTGGTGTCAGAGTTGTCTTGGTGAAAGGCGTTGTGACGGACCCAGGTGTTGTCTCTGGAATGCTACACGTCACGATATCAGTGACTGGACTTTGTTTTGTGGTGGGTGACGGTGTAGGTCCAGATGCAGAACTGCATGGAACGGTTGGTCCACATGATGGTATCGTTGGCTCGGCTCCAGATGGTGAGGTACTTTCGCTGATCACCTTTGTCGTTGGTGGTTCAGTCAGCGTCGTCTCAGGGAATGGTGTTGTAACACCGCAAGGAGTTACGTCTGATGAAAAAAAAAATGACAGTCATTAACGATTGCTCTCATCAAATGTCCTGCACCATTAAAAGATAATAAACAATGGAACCACATTGCTAACTTGTGCTTTGTGCCACACATCATCATCCTCCCGTCTTGTCCATTTATGACGTACAAGCCTCATATTTGCTACTCACAGTCTGCTAGTATTTAATTAATTCATAGGCCACGTTAATCTCTTCAATTCCCAGTTTTCTCCATTTACCCAATGCCAGTGTTAACGTGTGTTTTTACACCAGTTGAAACCACTTTCAACTCATCGTCATATCTATTTTTTGCATAACCTGCTTACTCTGCATTTCTCAACTGACGCTGACTCATACAAACTCCTGACAAAGAAACGATGCAGCTAAAGGCTGGGAGTGGAGCCCCGAGGGCCTTACCTTTCACAATACTCGACGCACCACTCGCAGGTCCACAGGGAGCAGGTGTCGGTCCTTCCGGAGACACGACTTTCGTCGTAGGAGACGGTGCAGACGTTGTTGTGGGGCCGCATGGAGTTCCTTCTTGTGCCGGTTGTGTACCACCGGATGGGCTGTTGTAGGCGGGTGGCGCGATTGCCTCTACCCCATTGCTCTGAGCCGCTTGAGTCACCGCTGGTGGCGTCAGAATAGTGTCGGTGACCACTGGTGCGGATCCACACGGTGTACTCAAAGGGGCTGCGTCTTTTACAGGCGTCGTCTCTGGAGCATTGCAGGTCACAATACCCGCAGTGGAGCTTATTTTTGTGGTTGGCGGTATTGGGGAAGATTCTGTAGAGCACTGTGGCCCAGCAGTGGTGATGATATTGATGGATATTGGTGCAGAGCTTGTGATGGTTGCTGCCGTAGGACTGCAAGGTATGTCTGGCCCAGGTGTTGGAGATCCACGCGATGGTGTTGTTTCAGGAACACCTGTTACACACGTGCTTGGGATGACTTTAGTAATTGGTGTAGTTGACGGTGTTGTCTTCGTAAAAGGTGTTGTAGTTATAACATCAGATGGAGTTGTTTCTGTTGGACCACTAGGATTAGTATTGCTACACAAAGGTAAAGCTGTGTCAACCACTTCAAGTTGAGCGGATGTGATAGCTTTCGTTACTGGTGGAGGTGTCAGAGTTGGCTTAGTTGTAAAGGTCGTTGAGCTACAGGGGATATCTTGCGTTGGCCCAGATGGTGCAGCCGTAGTAAAGATGTCTTTATTGATAGGTACGACCGGCACTGTTGTTTTTGTATCAGGTATCGTGCTGGAAACGGTGGTTCCTGGTGCAGGTGCTGTGGATCCACAGGATGGGGATGTTACGTCTGGCACACTCGGTGCACAGGTAGTAATGATGTCTTTATTAACTGGTGCGACTGGCACTGTCGTCTTTGAGCTTGGCAGTGTGGTTGAAACAGCGGCGCCTGGTCCAGGTGTTGTGGACTCACATGAAGAAGCCGTATCACTTCCGGCTGGGACTTCTGGACCAACGATGGTCTGTGCGGTCGTTATTACAGCGTTGCAAGTGGTTACCGCCCTCCCAGGTGCTTGCGTGGTAGCACACGGGCCTGCAGACTCACTCAGTGGCACATTGATTGCATTCGTTGGCTCCAGTTGCGCATGCGACTGTGGAGATGGCGGAAATCTTAGCAGACGGTGGCGGCGTCAGCGTTGTCTTAGTGACTGGAGTTGTAGTACTGCAGAGAGACGAATCGGGTCCTGTTGTAGGGCCACAGGGGGGAACTGTTTCAAATACACCGGGTGGTTCTACAACGTCGGATCCTGAAACTGGACGAATAGAGCCACTTGGGGGAATATTTTCATTAGAACCGGAATATGCGAGCACTGTTGAACATGGGACAGGCACATCGGGCACGACTGTTGAAACCTTATTAGACGGTGGTGGTGTGAGTGTTGTTTTCGACGATGGAGGTGTAGTGGAGCAGACAGGTAACGTTGTCCCTGGAACGGCACAAGTCGTCAGACTTTCCTTTACAGCTGGTGATGATGATGACGTAGAACCACATGGAACAGTGGAATCGGATGGGGGTGATATCAAATCTGAAACTACGCCAGCGTTGGTGCCCTCTGATGGTACATTGATAATAGCTGATGGTGTTGTTTCTGGATTGTTGCACGTCCCGATATCTACCACTTGGCTTAGCTTTGTGGTTGATGGTGGTGCCAGTGTGGTTGGACCACATGGACTAGAAGACTCGGACGAAGGGACAGATTCAGCTGCCTGAGATGATCCTCCAGAGCAGGGGACAGCTGGTCCTGAAACTTTCGTAGTTGGTGCAGGTGTCAGAGCTGTAGTTGAGCTACAAACCGAGCTCTGCACAGGTAATGTGGAATCAAGTGGGAGTGATGATGTCCCGGATGCACTTGGTATCTCGCCGGCAACGATCAATTTGTTGCTGGGTGAGGACACGAGTGTTGTCTTTGTGGCAGGTGGGGTCTCTGTAGATCCAGCACTTGGCCCGCACGTGTTAGGGCCACATGGAATAGTCGCGTCCGGTGAACCAGAGGAGCCACTTGGGCTGCCAGAGTTGATTGGAGGGGAAATTACTTCTATTCCACTGACAATATTGTCTTGTGGGATAATTACTTTGGTGACTGGTGGTGGCGTTAGAGTTGTCTTTGAGATAGGGGTTGTAGTGCTGCATGTAGTCACAATGTCTTGTATAGATGATCCTGGACTGCACGGGACTGTGTTTCCACAAACTGGCTCAGTGACTAAATTTTTAGAAATCAAATTGTTAATCGTGGCTGGGGGTAACGACGTCGTCGCACAAGCGGGTTGCGTTTCTGCGACAGATGCCACATCACTGCCCGGTACTGTCTGTGGATTACTGTAAACCACGTCAACAAAATTCGGATTAAGTTTTGTGGTCGGTGCTGGCGTCTGGGAAGACACTGTGGAACTGCAGGGACCAGTGGGACTACAAGGAACGGTAGATATTACGTCCAATGGAATCTCATTATTTGCCGGTGGTGGCGTCAGTGTCGTCTTGGTGAAGCCCGTTATTGGACTGCAAGTTGATTCTTTTTGCGCAGGTGATGCAAACCCACATGGAGCAACTGTCGTTTCAGGAATTACTGATACAACTGGAGGAATGATGTTGGAGGCTGGTGGTTGTGCTGGAGGAGGAGCACCTTCCACAGGTGTCGTCGAGCCGCATGGAATGCTGGCATCGCAAGGCAGAACAGATTGTCTGCCTCCATCAGAACCTGGTGCAAAGATGTCTTTTGAGGGCGCCAGTGTTGTTTGACTGGCGGGCGTTGTAACGCTGCAAATTGTTCCATCAGCTGCAGGAACGCCACCCTGTTGGCTGTCATATGTTCCTGGAACGTTGTTCTGGCCCGATGGGTACTTATTCTGACTGACAACATTACTCGTTAGTTTAGATGATGAACTGGATAAGATATCTGTAGAAATTTGTACATTTGCTATGTCTGTGTCACAAATCACGGCATAAGGACTGCTCGAAGAATCCGGGTTTGTTGGTGAGGTATTCGTTCCCGGTTGGTTACTTGGAAGTCCAGAATCCGGTGTTTTCCCACTTACACTTGAGTCACCTGCCGGGCTACCCGGTGCTGCAGACGAACAGCTGGCAGTCGGAGCTTGAGATATTTTAGTCGTTGGAGCGGGGGGCGTCAATGTTTCTTTGGAAACCGTTGTTATACCACTGCAAGGAGTTGTGTCCAACCTTGCTATTGTAGGGCCACCTGGAGTAGTAGAACCGCATGGAGTGGAGGAGCCGCACGGAATAAGTGTGGTTTCCGGAATGGCAGTAGCTTCAGAGGTTGGTGGGGGGAGATGACTTGTGGACAATGAGATGACAAAAGGAGGAACTGTTGTCTTACACGCAACGTCGTTATTGGCTGGTGGAGGTATAAAATTGGACGTTGGTGATGGGATATCAAGGCCCTGGACTGCAGAGCCGCACGGGATCGAGGAGCCGCAAGATGGATTTGTTTCAGATCCGGGTACAAATGTGTCTGGAATCACAATGTTGATAGCCGGTGTCGTCTTGGTCGAGGGGCTTGTAGTGGTAGAGCAAACAGTTGTCCCTGGTGCTGGTGCTGGTGTAACATCACGTGCGGAAGTCGAGACGCATGGAGGACTCGTTTCAATCACATTTTTGTCAGATACTGGCACGTCCACAAAGGACGGTGGCACCAGAGTCGTCTTGCTGGAAGGTGCTGCACTGCTGAAAGCAGATTCGCCAGGAGCAGGTGTTACGCTAGAACCACATGGTGGTATCAGTTTCAACGAGGTTGTTTTGAGGAACTGGTGGAGGTGTCAGAGTTGTCTTGGTGAATGGTGTAACGGTGCTGCAAGTCGTCACATCTGACCCAGGCACTGTTCCTGAGTTGCACGGCGCAGGTGTTACCTGCTGCGCTGCTCTTTGGTGGGTAAACAACTTCAGTCGCCACCTCACCGCCCGGCACTGCTGAGCTGCCAGAAGCTGTCGTGCCACAGGGCGCAGCGGGTCCACACGGGGCCACAGCGTCGGTTCCAGTTGGCGGTGCGTTGTTGAAGGTTTGTATTGTGCTGGGTGTTGATTTTGTTGCCGGTGTCGTCGCGGTCGAAACACCGGGTTGCCACGTGGATCCGCCACAGGGCACAGTGGTGCTGCATGGGCCAGGCGAGCTACTCGGGGGATTCGTTTCTATCCTGTTTGGTGCACAGGTGGTGACTACCTTCGTAACAGGCGGCGGTGTCAGAGTCGTCTTGCTGGTTATTGGTGCAGTGCTACAAACAGACTGTTGGCCAGGCGGTGTGGTACTGCATGGACCTGTGGAACCGCATGGAGGAGCTGGTTCTACGGTAGTGACCACCTTCGGAGGCGGCTCAGTTGTCTTTGTGATCCCAGTTGTGGCACTGCATGGGGTATCTGGTACTGGCACCGTGGAACCGCTTGGACCGGTAGAACTACATGGAGGTGCTGCCGTGCCAGTGGGCGGTACGATTGTGGTGACAATTTTCGTCACTGCCGGAGTTGTCTTTGTGGCAGGTGACTCCGTGCTGCATGTGCTAACTGTTCCAGGAGGTGTGGTGGAACTGCACGGTCCTCCAGAGCCACATGGCGTGGTCGACTCCGATCCCGGGGTTGTGATCTTGGTGGCGGGCGTAGTCCCGGACGTGTCCTTCGTGCTTGACGTTGTGACGCCGCTGACGGTCGTGCCGCATGGGACTGTGCTTCCGCACGGAGGCGCGGTCGTTTGCACGCTGGTGACTGTTGTCGAGATCTTGCTGATGGGTGGTGCTGTCGTGAAGCCTGAGCAAGGTGGCAGGGTGCTGCGGGAGGTGCTGGGGGAGCGGAGGTGCTGCAGGGCGTCACAGGTGCTGTGGTCGACGTGCAAGGTGGTGGAGTGGTTGTCTCCGGCTTGCAGTTGGGTATCTCCTGCTGCTGCAGCATGTTGTTCCAGCAGTAGTATCTCAAGCATTCGGGGACGTTTTCCCACATTCCTCCAGGCTGAAAATGAACAGATTACCTCTAAGACACATTGATTTGAAGTACTCACTGTAATAAATACAGCAGTCGCATCTCATGGACACGATTTCAATCATTTGGTGAAATATACATTATTTATTTTGAGATTTATTTTTCAAAAGCATTTCATAGGTGTCAAAGACTGCTGTTGCATTATGGGCAGTTTTAAAAATTATTATTAGAGTCATATAATGATTGGTCAATACAATAGATTGTTAGGCATCCTGGCGTGACAAATTAAAGTATAACAAGATAGCAAAATCTTGCACATCATGGCTTTGTGCTTGGAAGTATTTTTTTCCCCCATGAATAAATGCATACCGCATGCCATGACATGCACATCACAACACAGTCATTAATTAATAAAATGGAAAGTGTGCACAGAAGGGGAAGATGTAAAAAAACAACTTGGAGATGTGTACACACGGAGAATTACCCTGAGATACAGAGAGAGGAACACGCGGTGAGGCAATCGACGAACGAACCGATTGGTCTGAAAGCGAGAGGCAGAAAGCGCTTGCGCGCGCGGGCTCACCGGGATGACGGTTCCGCAGGGCAGCGAGCACGTGCACTCGGTGACGCGCACGCACGTCTCAGGGTCGCGCACGAGGTAGCCCTCGGCGCAGCGCGGGTATTCGCCGCACACGTCGATGCAGGAATCGTCGTGGCCCGCCTGGCACTCGAGCAGCGAGTAGCGGTACGCGTGGCATGTCGCCTCGCACGTGTACGCGCACTTGTGCAGGTCCTCGGGCGGGCAGTCCTCTGTGACGGCGGCACAAAGGCAAAGATCCCCCCAACCACCGTGTCGCATTAACAGACGTTTTGGGGCGAGTGCGGTTAGCGAGCACACACACCCACGCACAAAGGGAAAGAGCCCCCCGTATACCATTGGAATCTCATTTGCCAGTAAAAAATATGATAATTGTTTTTTTACCTTTCTATGTGACGCCTTTTGGCGTCATCTGGTCCAACCGATGTGAGACTAGGCTCTAAGAAAAGCTGTCTCGGGTGTGGACCAATCAACTTCAAGGACAGTGCACATTATCAGAGTTATGTTTTTTTTGTTTGCATTATGACTGCAGGTATTGTGGTCTATGTAAACATGACTCCTTGTAAAAAAGGTGTCAGTTTTGTTGCCAGATAGAAGGGTAAAAAACCAATTATCAGTCCCCCGTATAACCTAAACAGACTTTTGGGGCAAGTGCTGTTAGTGAACACACACGCACGCACAAAGGCAAAGATCCACCGAAAAGCCTTAACAGAGTTTTGGGGCAAGTGCTGTCAGCGAGCACACACACCCACGCACAAAGGCAAAGAGTATCTGTATAGGCTTAACAGATGTTTAGGGCAAGCAAGCACCTATGAAAGCCGCGATGGCACACAAAGGGGTGGGTGGCCAGCACCACACACGGCCGCCTTTGTCTCCCTAGTGGCGATGTTTACACACCGCACTAGATAATCGGCCTAGAGGAGGCCCAGGATCGGTTCAGATAATCGTCACTGGTGTTGGCCGTGAGCTGAAATTGAACTGGGTCATGGGGTTCATAGTGCAATGCACTAACTGCAACACCACCGCTCCCCACGCACACACACACGCACATGCGTAGTGTTGTAGACTGTTTTTGGTTAACACGTGCAGGTATGCATGCATGCATATACACAGTGTGTATAATTTTGGTTCAACGTAATCACTGGTCATCGTAATAACGGGGGTCAAGACAGACGGGAGATGGAGTGACGCAATTGGAGCAAGATGGACTGTGGTTGAAGTCACACTATTACGAGTAAGGTGAATCTGTGACGTTATAGTGGCAATGAATTAAATATATAAGCTGCTCTCTCACCTGGGAGTGAATGAATCGATGAAGGAATGAATGAACGACGAGGACATGAAACTCACCCGGGGGAATGAATCGACAGGTGGCTGTGGTGGAATCGACATTGCAAGGTGGTGAGGTCGTGTCTGTGGAATAAAAATAAATGCACACCAGACACGCACGGTATCTGTAAGAAATGTTGGCAAGCAAACTTTACCAATTGAAAAAGAACATATTTTAAGAAAACTCAGGCTCAGAAATTGATAGCAGCTATTTTTTGTTATTATTATAATAATATGTTTTCTTTCATGCACGAGGCTATCAATAATCATTGCACCCTCGGTTAAAAGTGTCCCGCCATCGCACCGCGTGTGTGCGACCTTCATCGTACGTCAACAAATTTTCTCGTTTTGTCAATTCGCTGAACGCGTCTTTCGCTTAGTGCGGCGCAAATCCTCCTACCGCTCGCCTGCAGTTCACCGACAACTCGCCGCGTTCGGCTACACGAACGCGAACGAACGCCTTCCCACCCCGGGGGTGCCAAGAGCTCACGGCGCCACCCACCAGCAGGATCCCACGGCGGAGGCGTGACCGTCTTGGGGCACGGCAGGACCGATGCATTGGATGTCGTGGTCCATGCAGTAACTGCGGAGAGATCGCGCGTGACGGTGAGCGCTCGCCCGAACGTCGCCGCACCGTCCGTGCGCACGCTGCGCGCAGAGAGGCCCCTTTCGTTGATCCATCGCTGGACTCAGGCCACCCGACGTGGCGCGGGTCATGGGGGTTATCCGGCCGTGCTTCACCGCGCCGGGTACACGCACGTTGGTGGCGGTGCGAAGCATCGTTGCGGGAGAGCAGACCAGCAGTAAAACAATGCACTGTGCTGCAATGCCCTCTGCTAGCCACGACGGAGCCCCGCAGCCAGCCCGTGACACCCGTTTCAATCTGAGTTGGGCACCCGTCCTCGCACTACCAAGGCTCCATCCTGCTTTGCTTCCCAAGATCTCAAGAGATCCGGTGCACTCTGCGCTGTTCAGCGACAGGAAACACCTTTCTCACAATGAGGAATCTAAGTTGAGTTTAAAGATGTCCCGGTCGACTTAACTCCGACGTTCCACTCACACGTGAACGGGTGTCACGATCCGCTGAGTGCGACACGTGGACCTACCGTGTGGAGAGGTGGAATTTGTCACCCCGTGACAGTTGATCTAAGACTCCCCCAACCCACCGTGTGGACAGGAACTTGATGCCATGACCACATTGCTGGGTGTGTAACGATGCGTCGGTTTGTTGAGTTTGTTTGATTTGCTACAGGGTTGTCCCTGTTTAGCGAGTTGCCTGGACAGAGATCCGCGATGCGTGAGCACAGCAACAACAAAACCAAACAAAATATCGAAATTCCAGAGAACATTAATTACATCCCCTTGGTTATGCTCGAGATACATGATATGGAACCACGCACAAAGGGAATGGATTCGTGACGATTTCAGAATCAGAATATGTATTTATACTGGAGAAATCCCATGAGCTGTAAAGCTCTTTTTCAAAGATGTCCAGTAGGGGCGGGTCAGAAGGTTACAACAAGAAACAAAACACAAACACATCAGGAGTGCAAAGTATAGGAAAGGTAAACAAATCACTTTAAAAATATAAAATCAAACTAAACAATTGCTTATGTTGCCAGGTGAAGCCCACTGAGCTATTCGATTATATTTTAGAAACGACCGGGCCACAAATAGCTCGACAAAGTGGCTTTTGGTGTGGAAAATCCTCGCAACAAAAATTATATATATAAATATATATGTATACTCTTTGGTTCTTTCGGTAAAGTCACGTAGAACATTTTCTATCTACGTGAGTTAAAATTTTCTATCTACGTGACTTTACGTAGAACCAAAGAGTATGGATTCCTACAGTCACGAAAGCTTCAAATCAAAAATATATATTTATTTATGAAAATAACATGCAAATCAGAAGAAGTGAGAGGAAGACTCAAGGTGGTAGAAATCACAGAGAAGATGAGAGATGAAAGGGCTGGTGTGGTTCGGTCATGCGGAGAGACAACAGGACAATGATGTGGGTCAGATGGTGCAAGTGATGCAAGTGGAATGAACGAGATCAAGAGGAAGGCAGCAGAGGAGGTGGAGGGAGCGATGTGGTGCGATCGGACCATGGTGGCCCGAGGAGTGGAAAGAGAGATGGCGCAAGACAGAGCAGCGTGGAGAAGGTTGGCAAAGACAGCGGACCCCCCCCCCCCACGTGAGTGGGACAAACGCGTGGAAGACGAAGCAGACAGACTAATTGAACGAAAACAAATCTGTGCAAGAGACAAAGGTGTAGGGGGGGGGGGGATGTGCAACAATACAAACGAGACGAGCACAAAAAAAACACCGAGACAAAAATAATCAACGCTTGATTCGAACCGCACCCACGTAAGTGCGCGTCACGCGCCCCGTCTCAAAACGAACGTCCGAAGGTGGACAACGCCCTCGAGGGAGGAGGAGGGGAGGAGGATGAGGAGGAGGACGCGTGCTTTCTCGATCACTCACCAGCTCCTGCACTCGTCCGACAGGGAGTCGATCTTCTGGCCGTCGTAGATGAGGACTCCGTCGATCACCTTGCAGACGCACTCCTCCAGTCGCATGCATTTGGTCGTGAGCTCGTTGAACACCTGCAGCGAACGGCACGAATCGGTCACCACCGAGGCAAGCAACGGCCACTTGTACTCACTATGGCACCGTCTTTTGAGATTATTTCGCAACGTACGTAGCCGACCATGCTAATCGGAAGTGCGGGGGAAGCACAGCAAACCGAACACCAAAAACTGGGTGTGTACAGGCCAGAGATTTGGAAAATATTTCCGCACCCGGCACACCACACCCAGTATGCATCTCACTATAGCGATGTCTCATAGCCAAGCAACCAACTGCAACCTACCAGCGATCCGGATAATATTCAGTGATAAGTTAAGTCCCGGCATCCATCCATCCATACAAACAGAAGAAGAGAGAGACTGACTAAGAGAGACTGCCTGACTGACTGATTGGATAACATTCATGAATGCGACGGGACGAGACTTCGACGAAGCCACTACAAACCTCATTGTCGTGCACGCATCGGCAGCCCTCCACGCACACGTCCGGGCAGCTCGCGTACACCTCCTCGTAGCGCTCATAGTTCTCGCACGTCTTGGGGCAGGCGGGCACGCACGGGTCGTAGCGCATGCAGCCGTCGCACTGCATCGCTGTGGGAGGCAGTGGCACGCACCGGAGAGCGGTCAGTCGGCCGGTCGGTTTCCGAGGCTGCCTAAGCGCCACGATCACTGTGCGTGTGGTGGGTTTCGGGGTTCGATGCCCTGCTACACCAACAGTCGTTGTAATCGGCAAGCAGGGTTCCCAGGCTTGTCCTTTTGGATGGAGTCATCTGGTTTGGCTAAACTCGCAGTATTAATAGTAAGCGCGAATTGAATGCCACGCTTTGGACGCGAGGCTCGCTCCGCCACCGTTTGCTATTGGCACGGTGAGCAATGTTGGTCACAGTGATTCCTTTACGTAGGTCACAGGTAACGGGTTGTATATGAATATACAAGTCATCTCACTACGGCTGTCGCTACGAGCCACGTGCCACCTTTCCCATCTACCTGCAATCCTTCGTGAGAAATGAATCCCGGATGATGACAATGACGACGATGACGACAACGATGACGACGATTTAATGAAGTGGCGACACGCGCCGCAACGAAAATTAAATGATGACCACTTCGACGATGATCACTACGACGATTGAATAAAAGGTGTGTGGGGGGGGTAGGAGGTGCATAAGTCACTCGAGGAACAAATACGTACGGCAGAACTCGGGTGTGCGCCAGTAGACGTACACGCCGTAGCGGTTGCACTCCTGCGCGTAGGCGGCCACGGCCGTGCACAGGCACTCGCAGTCGGCGCCCGAGTCGCAGCCGCACGCGTCGTAGACGCAGCGCTCGAAGTAGACGTAGTAGGGCACCTCGGCGTGGCACGCGGCGAACGCCTCCGAGCGGATGATGCCGCACTTGCGCTTGGCCCAGGCCTCGCGTTGCGGGAAGAGCGCGCAAGTGTCCGTCACCAGCTTGGCGTCCAGGCAGTAGCTGCGTACCTGGTGGAGGAAGGGGCGGGCAGGGGAGGGAGCGGAGTGGCTGCAGAGTTCCGCGGTGGCGAGATGTTAACTTCTTCGCCTGGTATGCAGGAGGTCGTGAGTTCGATCCCGACCCTGACGCCTGTACATCTGGAGTTTGCGTGGCTCTCTCCCCGTGGTCAGCGTGTATTTTTCTCCGGGTCTTCCGGTTTTTCCTTCCACATTTGTAAACGTGCGTTTAGAGCGTTTGGCTGCAATACATTTCCACGCGATAAGCCACTTCGTTGAGCTATCGTCTGTGCCCAGGTCGCTTCTGACAAAAGAGCTATTTAGCTCAGTGGGCCTTACGTAGTAAGATAAAAAAATAAGAGAGTTTAGTTGAGCAGCTTTAGTGTGAGATTGAGCGAGCGAACTGCTCAGCGCTCGGCACCTTCCAGGAGTCTGCGAACGCGTCCTCCTGTATGACCACGATGCCCTGAGGAGTGGTGAAGTCGTTGAGCTGGTTCCCGTCATAGTCGCCGCACAGCCCCATCACCTGGACAAACGTTTTTAGGTTTGCAAATGAGAAGAGAGAGAAAAAAAACATCACAATCAGGACAGGACGGAATCTTAAAATAGTCTTGCGTTGTTATTGGGAGGTGAAGCACATTCGCCAATAAAACATTCACACGACACCAACCCCAACTAACCAGCGAGTCACTAGTACCAGCCCTTCCACTCATCCCAACCCTGAGCAACCAGCCAGGCAGTCACTAGTGCCAGCCCTCCCACTCATCCTCACTAAGCAGCCAGTCACGAGTTCCAGCCCTCCCACTCATCCTCACTAAGCAGCCAGTCACTAGTGCCAGCACTCCCACTCATCCTCACTAACCAGCCAGGCACGAGTTCCAGCCCTCCCACTCATCCTCACTAACCAGCCAGTCACTAGTACCAGCCCTTCCACTCATCCCAACCCTGAGCAACCAGCCAGGCAGTCACTAGTGCCAGCCCTCCCACTCATCCTCACTAAGCAGCCAGTCACGAGTTCCAGCCCTCCCACTCATCCTCACTAAGCAGCCAGTCACTAGTGCCAGCACTCCCACTCATCCTCACTAACCAGCCAGGCACGAGTTCCAGCCCTCCCACTCATCCTCACTAACCAGCCAGTCACTAGTACCAGCCCTTCCACTCATCCCAACCCTGAGCAACCAGCCAGGCAGTCACTAGTGCCAGCCCTCCCACTCATCCTCACTAAGCAGCCAGTCACGAGTTCCAGCCCTCCCACTCATCCTCACTAAGCAGCCAGTCACTAGTGCCAGCACTCCCACTCATCCTCACTAACCAGCCAGGCACGAGTTCCAGCCCTCCCACTCATCCTCACTAACCAGCCAGTCACTAGTACCAGCCCTTCCACTCATCCCAACCCTGAGCAACCAGCCAGCCAGTCACTAGTGCCAGCCCTCCCACTCATCCTCACTAAGCAGCCAGTCACGAGTTCCAGCCCTCCCACTCATCCTCACTAAGCAGCCAGTCACTAGTGCCAGCACTCCCACTCATCCTCACTAAGCAGCCAGTCACTAGTACCAGCACTCCTACTCATCCTAACCCTGAGCAACCAGCCAGCCAGTCACGAGTACCAGCCCTCCCACTGATTCCTAACCCGAACCAACCAACCCACGACACTACAACTCGCTCGGCACTGAACCAACTACACAACCAGCAATCCCCCACACCAACCATGACCATGACCCATCGTCCCACTTAGCCCGGCCTCCTCTCCCGTCAGGTTGGGCCGTCAGCGGCACCAACCCCCGTGCTTTGCTCTCTCTCCCCCCCCCCCCCCGCTCCGCCACCCGCCCCCCGATCGATGGATATTCCCCGCACTCGCAGCCTCCCCCACCCCCGGGGTTACTCACGCCCTTGCTGAAGCCCTGGTCCAGCTTGATCTGCAGGTGAGTGCCGCGGTCCCAGCTGAGCGTGACGCCCATGTCGGTGCGCACGAACACCCAGCGGCCCACGTAGGAGACGTGGAAGAGGAGGGCGCTGTCGGCCGCCACGGGCTCGCCGCGCACCAGGCGCAGGCGGTGGGTGACGCCGGCGCGCGTCACCGCCAGCGTCACGGCCTTGGTGCACGTGGTGCCGCTGGTGCCGCACGGAACGTTCTCGGCCGACACGGCGAAGGAGCCGAGGGGTCCGTCGACGATGCTCTGCGCGTAGACGTACTCGCACGAGCCCTGGAACTGGTAGAGCTTGCCGTCGAACGACTTGATGTGCGACGAGCCGTACGCCGTGCACAGACCTGCGGGGGGAGGGCGGGCGGGCGGGTCATGGAAGGTCACGGAGGGTCACGGAGAGTGGGTCACCAAGGTGGTGGTTGTTGTTATGGTGGTGGTGGTAGTTGCGAGGTTCATGGGGGTGGTTGGGGATAGTGGTGGTGGTGATGATGATGGTGGTGGTAGCCGTAGTTGTGAGCGTAGTGGAGGTGTTCATAATTACCCGAGCACAGCTTAGTTTCGCACTGCCACTGCTGGTTTATGCAGACACTGTGGAGACACGGGGCGGGATTGAACAAAAAGACGACAAATAAATATCACGGACATGGCTAGCGTGGTGGCATAGCGCTTCGTGCTACCCGCGCACAACTGGATGCGGTGTGCCGCGCGCGGACAGCGCAGGCGGGACGCCGCCCTCACCACAAGTTGCACTCGACCTTCATGCTCTCGCCCTCGCCGTAGCTCATCCCCCCGTGGTAGCACGGGCACTCCTGGGGCAGCACGCAGGCCCCCGTCGCCGCGTCCCACACCGTCGTGTTGTCGCACTGGCAGCCGCCGGCGCAGCGTCCCGCCGAGGGCTGCGGCGTGTTGCGCGTCCGCGGCAGGTGCATGTTGTCGCAGGTGAGCGGCTCGGGGTCCTTGCAGCTCACGTACTCCTGGTGGGGGCCGCACAGGTCCTTGGTGCCGCAGTCGTTGGTGGTGCACAGCCACTTGCCGCGGTAGCACTCGCTGGGGGGTTGGGGTCAAGGAGGGGAGGAGGGGTGGTTGGGAGAGGATGGAGAGAGTCGCAGAGTGATGTATTGCTCAAAGCTCACAGCCACATCTTGCTATGAATTGTTTATTTTGTAACTGTGTATAATTGTTTATATTGATGTTTAATGATGCGATGGCACTTTGGGTGGCAGATTCTTTTGGTGGTGGTGGTATTGATGGGTATTGCTTTGGTATTGTTTGGTTGTATATATGACAATTGGTTGGTATCGGTGCTGGTGGTGGCGGTGATATTGGTGGGCATTGGCTGGCAAAGGTGGCTTTATCGGTGGCTATCACTTCGGAGTAGCCGTGACGGCGAGTCGTGAAGGGCAGCAGCTAGCGGGAGACATCAGTGGCGACAACAACATTCGGTGCCCGGGCATCCCTCGTCGTCCGCGACCGCGCGCACCAGATGTTGCAGTCCTGCATGCGCGCCTCTCCGCTGACGTAGTAGATGCCCTCCCACACGCAGGGGCAGTCCTCGGGCGGCACGCAGCGGCCCTCGTAGTCGAGCACGGAGCCCGGCGGGCAGCTGCAGCCCTGGACGCACTGCTCCGAGCAGTCGACGCGAGCCGACAGCTCCAGCGCCAGCGAGCCGCACGACGCGTCGCACGCGCTCCCGCACTCCAGGTACTGCATCCCCATGGGGCACAGCGCCACTGCGCGGCGGGGAGGGCGGTGGGGAGAAGTGTGTGGGGGAGGGGCAGCCGAGAGGGGCACGGGGTGGGGAGGCCGAGAGGAGTGTGAACCATCGCGCCAACTGCGGTCAACCTCGTGAGCGGCGGCTTTTGGCTGCTGCCCGTCGGTCACAGACGGCGGTCGCCGCATCGCGCGCTTTTAAATGCCTTTCCGCGGCCGTCTGGAACGCTCTTTCTTCCTATAGTAGAAAGCATCTGTGGACTTTTAAATCATCTCGATGGAAAACTATTTTTTTTAAACTGATTTTTGTGTTTCATTTGTTGTCGTTCACCCTCACTATCCGATTAGCACGGTTGGTCATGTACGGTGAGAAAAAAGTTCAACATACAAGGGGGGGGGGGGGATAAAGCGAAGGACGACATGGGGGGGGGTGTATCCAATCGGAGTGTGCATGTGCTTGGTGCGCCGTGTGTGTGTGGTGCGTTGCGTTGCGTTGCCGTGCGAGCAGAGGGTGTGCTTTCAATCGAGGGTTACGAAGGGGCTCGAGGAGGAGGAGGGGGGCTGTCTCGTACCGCACTCGGGCACCGCGTCTCTCCACCCCGCGATCGCCACCCCGGCGCGCACGCACGCCAGCGAGTAGTCGGCCAGCGAGTCGCACTCGGGCCACGTGAGGTCGGTGGAGCAGAGGGTGTTCATGCACGAGTCGTAGTACGTGTGGTGGCTCACCACCTCGTGACACTCTGCACGCATCACGCATCACACACACAAAGACAAAGATCCCCCGTATAGGATTAACAATATCGGGGCAAGTTCTGTTAGCGAGTAGCACCTATGCAGGCCGGAACAGCACGCGAGGGGGTGGGTGGCCAGGCCCACGCCCGGCTGCCTTTGTCTCCCCAGTGGCGATGTTTACACATCGGAATAGTTACTCATTTGAGGCTGAGTCGACCCAGGAGAGGCCCGGAACCGGTTCAGATAATCGTCACTGGTGTTTGCCGTGAGCGGAAATCGAACCTGCGTCGCCCGGTTCGTAGTGCAGCGCGCTAACCGCTACACTACCCCCTAACACACACGCACACATACACCCCCTCTTACGCTCACACGCACATTCCCACACTCGCGCACACACACACACACCCTCTCACGCTCACACGCACATTCCCACACTCGCGCACACACACACACCCTCTCACGCTCACACACACATTCCCACACTCGCGCACACACACGCATTCTCACACTCGCACACACACACACACCCTCTCACGTTCACACACACATTCCCACACTCGCGCATACACACACACACAGACACACGTGGGTGTGACTCACGTGAGAAGGGTGCCTGCAGCAGCAGACCGCACACGCTCTGGGCGCGTAGACGCCGGTACTGGTTGATCTCGCACGGGTCGACCACCTCCACGGCGGCGCTGGCGCACGTGGCCAGCGCCTTCCACTTGTTGGCGAAAGCCCCTGGCGCGCTCTCGACGTCTCCGAGCGGAGTGCGGAAGTCGTTGAGCTGGTGGTTGTCGAAGTTGCCGCACAGCCCCTCCATGCTGCCCATGAGCGCCGGGTGAGCGGTCACGTACACGCGGTTGCGGCCGTCGAAAAGCAGCGTGAGGCCGTTGAGAAGGGTCAGCTGCGAGAGGGTGGCGACCGGAGGTTAGGGCGCTGCTCGTGGTGCTGGTGGTGGTGAGTGTGTCGAAGGTGCCCTGGCAGGAGGTCACGGAACAGACCCAGGTGCCGTGGGTTGTCCGACTGAGATGATTGGCAGGTTGCAACAAAGGCGGCAGGAACGTGGTGCTGGCTAGCCATGGCTGGGTGCTCGCTAACAGCATTTGCTCCAACAGTCTGCTCAGGCTACACGGGGATATTTGGTGAGTTTTTGTGGTGGTGGTGGTGGTTGTGATGGTGGTAGTGGTTATAATCATGTTGATGTGGTCATAGTAATGATAGGAATGGTAATTGCGGTGGTGGTTGTGGTGTTGATCATGAGCGTGATTGCAGTTGTTGGTGGTGATAATAATAGTGGTTGTGCTGTTTGTCAACCATGATGATGGTCGTAGTGGTGGAAATAATGACGGTGGCGCTGATGTTACGGTGATGGTGGTGGTAATGCTAATGGTGACGAAAATGGTGATACTAATGCTGCTGAATGTGGTTTTGATAACACTGTTGGCATTGGCGTGGCATGATGATGAATATGATGACCATATTTATTGTGGTGGCGGTGGTGATAATGATGGTGCTACTAATGCTGCTGTTACTTATTAGGCTAGTCCAGGGGTCGGCAAATAAAATAACAAGAGGAGTATTTTTTGTTCGAATTCGGTAAAAAAATAAAACTTAATATTTCAATAGCCGAAATGCAATGCGAATAACGCCACGAATCAGTCCTTAAAAAGCCGCGTTCGCCTCCGAAGCCGCCCCTGTACTGGTCGATGTTGCTGCTGCTGCTGGGCTGTCTGCCGGACGACAGCAGCTTGACAATGTGTGGAGGAATACGCGAGGGAGAGCGGGGAGCTGCGGTTCCGCGGGGCGGATAAGCGGAGCGTGCTGTGAGAGCGTGGGGGGAGGGGGGGGGGTACACCCACCTTGACGAATTCCTGTGACACCCGCTCCACCTGGAAGCCCTGCCCCGCGTACGGGAGCTTCTCCTCACTGTTGCTGACAAGCAGCTGCCCTGCCTCACCCAGCCGAGCGCTCTCTCCACTCACGGTCAAGATCACAGCCCTGGATGGGGCGCGGGAGGGAGGGCGTAGGAGGGGGGGTCCATTGCATTAATTTCACCAGAGCCCATGCCAAAGCTTCGCTCCGCCAATTGCAGCATCGGGTGTTGGCTTCGCACTTCCGATTAGCACATTCGACTACGTACGTTGCGAAAGAAATTCAACATCTAACTTTTAAACTATTATTTTTGTTTGGGTCTTTCGGTAAAAACTACGACGTTTCGATCACAACACAAGCGATCGTCATCAGAAAACGTCGTAGTTTTTTGTCATTTTATTTCAACCTATCTACGTGACTTTACCGAAAAACCCGAATAATATGAATTCCTTCAGTCACGAAAGCTTTAAGTCAAGATGCATGTTTTATTTGACCAGATAAGACTGAGCTAGAAAGCTCTTTTTTTCAGAAGCGACCTGGCCACATATGACAGCTCGAGGAAGTGGCTTATCGTTGAAGTATAAAGCAGCCAAAACACTCTAAGCGCGTGTTTCTAAATGTGGAGGCAAAAAACCCGGAGGACCTGGAGAAAAATCCACGCGACCAGGGGAAGGCGTCACGTTCAAGATCGAATTCACGACATCCTGCGTACCAGGCGAGGTGGTTAACATCTCGCCACCAGTGGCAGCCCAATTCCGTCTCGCGCCTCTCACCTGCTGAAGCCGCCCTGGTTGCAGTCCTTGGTGAGCTGCACGTCAATCTGGTAGGAGAGCGATGTCGAGCAGCTGCTGACGCCACGCACCAGCGTGTACTGGCACTCGCCTTCGAACTCGTACGTTCGCCCGTCGAACGTCGTGTACGACACCTCGCCGATCACGGCGCACGTGGCTGAGAGCGCAAACACAAAGCCATCCCATTGGAACCTCATTTTGCCAGTAACAAAATATGATAGTTGGTTTTTTTACCCTTCTAGCTGGCAACAAAAAAAAGTGTCAGTTTTGTTGCCAGATAGAAGGGTAAAAAAATAATTATCACAAAGCATCCCGTCGTGTCGCCTTTTACAGACTGTTGGGGCAAGTGTCGTTAGCGAGCACCGATGACACACGAGGGCGTGGGTGGCCAGCATCACGCCCGGCTGCCTTTGTCTCCCCAGTGGCGATGTTCATTCACAGCACCAATTACTGGGCCTATAGGAGGCCCAGGACTGGTTCGAATAAGTGTCACTGGTGTCGACCCTGAGTGGGAATTTAACTGTGGTCGCTGGGTTTGTAACGCAGCGTGCAAACTGCTACTTTACTGCGGAGAGTACACACACACGTGTGCACATCTTTACATACACGTACATGCACCAACGTGTACACGTATGTGATATAAATACATTCAGGTACGCGCGCACATGTATACGTTCACATACAGAGATGCAGACACATACATATACACACACATCTTTATACGCTACGTGTACACCTCGATATGCACACACGTACCCATACTTACACGACACATACACATGCAACAACGCGCATGCGTGCACACGCATATGCCCACACACGTATGCACCGACACGATGCCCTTCCCAACCTACTTTCTGAACTGCATCTTACAGGTTCCATCTCGTTCCCTGTAGGCGGTTGTGGCTCAATCTGTACGTGAGCCACCTACCCCACCGCTAAGCCACTATGTTAGTGAGCTAGTTCCAATCACAGTCAGCATATTGAAGTTCGTGTGGTATTTACGTTAATTATTATAATTGTAGTTATTATTGGGAGGCCAGACTCACCGTCACATTGGTTTTGTGAGCATGTCCATTTCCCGTACTGGCAGATGCTGCAAATACAACAAACAGTCGGGATCAGAGACAACACAGCCGGGCCCTGTGTGCGCTGTGCAGTAGCATGTCGTGGAGCTAAGTAATCTGTGCAGAATTTACAGTATATAACCAGGCATTAATGTGTTTGAAGGACAAAAGTGCGAGCGGGAAATCGTCACTGAGTCTCAAGGCTCGTTTTGTAGCAGCCATGCTTGTTTACAAATGCACTTAGCGCTGTCCACGGAACTGATCCCTCCCAGCTCGACACTGCGCTGTCCCTGGTACTGATTCTACTTCATGGCTCCCAATCACCCACTCGGGTCAAACACGCGGCAACGTTGCCTAACCAACAACTGTCGGTCGGACTGAAGATTCTGGCTCCGATACATTGTATCATTAGAAAACAGGAATTAAACGTTTCAGCTTCCGACCTTTAGAGGCAGTAATAGCAGCAGCAGCAGCGTTTCAATGTCAGTGTCTATTGCAATGACAGCTGCGGTGGTAGCGGTATCAGAAATCCGTGGTATTAGCAACGGTGGTAGGAACAGTGGCAATAATAACATGAATAGCAGCCGTGGTGGTATTACGTCCACAATAGAGACGCCATATCATCAGCAGCCATATCAATTATAGCGACCGCAATAGTAGCAGTGGTATGATTACCAATCACTCTGCAAATCAGCAGCGCTAGTAATATCAGCAGTCACATCAAATAATTTTATAAAAGTCATCATTGGCCACCATGGTCAATCCGCTGCTGGATGACGACTTCTCAAAGGTCACTATTATTAGTATCGGTAGCAACAGCAGCAGTGGCATTAATAGCAACAGTCGTATCGATTCAAACATGTGCGCGTCAGTGGAAAATAGCGTCAGTGGCCGTGGGAGCAGCCCTGGTACCAGGTGTTGCAGTCCTGCTGGATGCGCGTGCCGGGCGTGAACTCGCGGCGGATGTAGAGGCACGGGCATTCCTCGCGCTTGAGGCAGGTGCCGTTGTGCAGGTAGGTGCCCTCGGGGCAGTGACAGCCGTCGATGCAGAGGTCGTCCTCGCAGTCGTACGTGGCGTCGAAGCAGGTCTTGGGGCACGACGAGCCGCAGCTGTTGTACACCATGCCGCACGGGCACTGGATGGCTACGTGTGTGGCACGCGCACAGGAGGGAGGACGGAGGCTTGATCGAGCAGAGATTCCAGGTGTGTCTTTTGGCGTGTGTGTGTGTGTGCGCGCGCTATTGTCGTTGTGTGTGAATGTGTTCTTCGTAGGTGCTACTCGCTGACAACGAGAGCCGGTATTTGTGGATGTGTTTGTTCCCATGTGCGCGCGCGTGTTTGTGTGCGTGAATGTTTATTTACGTGTACGCGTGCGTGTCAGTGTTTGCCTGTGTATGTGTGTTTGGCAATATGTCTGAACGCGTATTCTCGTGAGTACGCGTGTGTGGGTTTATGGGGGTGTGTGTGTCTGTGTACGTGTGTGCTATTGGCCACTCAACCCCTTCGTGTGTATCCATAGGTGATCGCTAACATAACTTGCTCCTACAATCTGTTGAGGCTATAGGGGGATCTTTGTGTTTGTGGGTGCGTGTGTATGGGGTGAGTAGGATTCTCCCCGGCCCATAGTGGCGCTGTAGTAGGTACCGTGCAGCAATGCAGCCAGGCAGCAACGCGAACCATGTCCCTAACTCGAACCATGTCCCTAACTCGAACCATGTCCCTAACTCGAACCATGTCCCTAACTCGAACCATGTCCCTAACTCGAACCATGTCCCTAACTCGAACCATGTCCCTAACTCGAACCATGTCCCTAACTCGAACCATGTCCCTAACTCGAACCATGTCCCTAACTCGAACCATGTCCCTAACTCGAACCATGTCCCTAACTCGAACCATGTCCCTAACTCGAACCATGTCCCTAACTCGAACCATGTCCCTAACTCGAACCATGTCCCTAACTCGAACCATGTCCCTAACTCGAACCATGTCCCTAACTCGAACCATGTCCCTAACTCGAACCATGTCCCTAACTCGAACCATTTTCCTAACTCGAACCATGTCCCTATCTCGAACCATGTCCCTAACTCGAACCATGTCCCTAACCCGAACCTTGTCCCTAACTCGAACCATGTCCCTAACTCGAACCATTTTCCTAACTCGAACCATGTCCCTATCTCGAACCATGTCCCTAACTCGAACCATGTCCCTAACCCGAACCTTGTCCCTAACTCGAACCATGTCCCTAACTCGAACCATGTCCCTAACTCGAACCCACCGAGAAGAAATACACCTGCTCAGGAAAACAGTGTTGTGGCCTCACTTAACACCTCACGCCATCGCTCTCCATCTCATTCTTCCTATCCACGCCCGTTACAGCACCCCTCTGGGTCATCCAATGCCTTGATCAATCCACCGCCGGATGAAGGCCTCCCCAAACCGTCACCATCTGTTACACGACGACCCTGCGATGTAACCTATGGGTCCAGTAGCGTAACTGGCGTGGGGGGCAGGGGGTGTCTCGCCCACCCCTCACCCCCCCCCCCCCCCCCCCACCGATGGCCAAAGCTACGAGTTGAGGACCCCCTTGACAACCGCCACGAGATATGTTTTCAACAGCAGTGTAAAATAACCGATTGCTGTACCCCCTGATTGCTGTACCCCCTGAGCCGATAATGTGGCCACGACGCCGCTGTATTGGTTCACGAACCCGTCAACGATTAGCGGCAGCGTCGTGTTCCCACTTATGAGGGAGATGATTGGAGCGGCCGCTGTGGGCTCGTTGCGGCGGGCAGAGGGGGGGGGGGGGGGTGGTGAGGGTGGGGTGGGTAACTCACGGCAGCGCTGAGCGGAGCGCCACTCCACGCTGATCCCGTGCCGCGAGCACTCGCGGAAATACGCGGCCATCGAGTCGCACACGAAGGACGCGTCCCCTCCGGCGCGGCAAATGTCCTCGGCGCACGCGTCGTAGAAGGGGATAGGGTCCACCACCTGCCGGAGGCAAACGGTCCACACATCATGTAGGCCACGCGTAGAGCCGGCCAAGGGGGGCAAAGTTGTCGAACGCCGAGTCCCGATTGGAGTGCGTCACTTTGTGCTGCCTTTGTCTCCCCAGTGGCGATTTTTACACACCGCACCAGGTACTTATTTGAGGCTGAGTCGACTTAGGGGAAGCCCAGGACCGGTTCAGATAATCGTCACTGGCGTTGGCCGTGAGCGGCAATCGAACCTGGGTCGCCGGGTTCGTAGCACAGCATAGCGCTAACCGCTCCACTACCGCTCCCCACATGATAACACAACCACGCACACACACGCACACACACGCACACACACACACACGCACACACCTCTCGGAGGGCCCTGAACACGAGCCGCAAGGGTCCATTCTCACCAACTAAACTGTCACCCCCATTTATACCACCACCACCATCAACCACCGCGGTGAGAATGGGTGAGCCTCATTACGTCTTTGCAGGCCGTGTTGAGCAGATCTTTGCAGGCGAGCAGCGCGGACAGGGACGTGGGGTTGAACCCAGACAGTGTGTGCTGGAAGTCGCAGAAGTCTGCCTGGCTCGGGTAAGCGCTCAGGGCTGGTGGGGAGACACACGCACACGGGTCACCGACTCAGACAATCATTTGTATATAACTATAACAGCGCAGGTGAGTACACGTACAACCCTATTGTCAATTCACTGCTGGGTTAAGGCCTCGCCACACCATGTTTGACCACACTTCACTACGCAAGTCAGTGCAGCGACCGTAGACGTTGGCGCATAGTACAGTATAACCATTGATCCTGCTGCACTGCCCTCTGCTCACAATTAACCCCGGCAGCAGCCTCCAACAGCTGTTTCATTCAGATTCAGAATATTGGATTTATACTGGAAGAATCCGATGAGCTATGAAGCGCTTTTTTTTCTACAGATGTCCATTAGGGGCGGGGACGGGGAGCGGCGCGTGACCGGTTACGGGTGACGAACCGTTCACGCGGAACGTGGCGGCGAAAGTGATCGCCACGCTGGTGAGCTGCCCGGTTATGGAGGTGAAGTCATTGCTGCAGTCGCGGTCGAAGGTTCCCAGTAACCCGTAGGTCATGCCCAGCATCGTCTCCGAAATCTGAAGGGACAGATCAACAGCATCAACAGCAGCACTTTTACCAGCAGCATCTTGAACAACAACATCAACAGCAGCAGCAGTTTCACCATCAGCAGCATCTTGAACAACAACATCAACAGCAGCAGTTTCACCAGCAGCAGCAGCAACATCATGAACAACAGCGTCAGCAAAATCTGAATGGATAGACCATCGTCATAATCCACAGCAGTAACGTCTTCAGCAGTGGCAGTAGCAACAGCTCCACTATCGCGCCGCATGCGTGTACCGCTCCTTTTAGGAAGAATCCCCCAGGGAGGAATCCCCCCCGCCATCGCCGCCCCCCACTCACGATGGATTTAACAATCTATTATATCGCCCCCCCATCCCCCCCCCCCCCCCCCAATACACACACAGTGGCTTAATGTGCGAGGAAGGCACCTGGACGAACACGGAGTCGGCGCCGTCCCAGCGCAGGGTGAATCCCAGGCCGGACTTGAGGAGGATGTAGGAGGCGGACTGCTCGATGACCACGCCGTAGGTGATGACGGGCAGCTTGAGTCGCTCCCCCTGGGCGAAGGCGGCGGGGCCGTCCGAGTCGCGGCGCAGCTCGATGCGCACTTCCTCCATGAGGACGGTGAGGGAGCGCTCGCACGCAGGGGCGCCAGATAGCCCGCACTCTGGGTTCCTGGGGGGGGGGGGCGGCGATGATCGTCGTCGGTCATTGCTTGTTGTTGTTGTCAGCAGTGGGAGTAAAGATTTAGCGGCAGCAGCGGCGGCGGTGGCAGGAGCAGGATGATCGACGGTAACTTCATTGGACAATGCGAAAGCCAACTTCATTTGCAGTGTCGTCGTTAGCAGCAGCAGCCAGCTGACGATATTGATGATGATGATTATCATCATCGAAAGTAGCAGCAGCAAGATCAGCGGCAGCAGTAGCAGGATCATGATAATTATAATAATTTGTGCGGCGCATTTTATCTGTAGATCCCAATGCGCCACCGTGTATGTAAAGCAGAGAATAAACCGAGCCTGCAGGGGTTAATGGCCAGAACTAGAGAGGAAAGGCTAATTTAAAGAGGTGAGCTTTTCAGCAGCAGTAGTGACATCGAAGAAATGAGCAGCATGATGATGATGATGGTTATTATCTGAATCATTATAAAAATCGCAATAATCAGCAGCAACGTCATTATCATTGTCGCCTCTTCTACCACCATCGTTATTATCATCATCATCATCATTACTGTCAAAACAAATCATTTCAATATAAAGCGCAGATGGCTGCGTAATTGGAATACAAATCACGACTACGATGGTGATGGTGATGATGAAGAAGAGGAAGACTTCGGGAGAAAGCCGAGAGGATTTACATGTCGTTGTTGACGTAGATGTGGAAGGTGTGGTCTTGCATGTCTCCCACAAGGAGGTACGAGCCCAGGCCGCGGAATCTGTAGATCTTCCCGTCAAAGGTGCGGTAGTGGGTCTGACCCCACGCCATGCCGTATCCCATCTCCTGCGAGGCCACTTTGCCGACTGGACAACACGTGCGTACGCACATTAAAATATACAGCAATGCACGCGCCTTGCTCCCACCCTACATTTACAGCTCTGCAAATCCGCTGCCGGATCAAGGGCTCGTCGTGCCCTGTCGGTCATGCGGCTTGATTGGCCATATTTCACCCCGCCGCTCAGTGGGGAGGCGTTTCGTGAAGTGGCACAAAGGGGCTGGTTCAGATTATCACTCACCACTGATGTTATCCGTGGCTGGAAATCGAACTCAGGTTTTGCCGTGCTTTGCAAGTGCAGCGAGAACCTGTTGCTTCACGGCCATCTCCTGGCCACCTCGTGTAGGTACATGACGTGCACACATACATGACGTGCAACACGTACATGACGTGCACACGTGCATGACGTGCACACGTACATGGTGTGCAGATGCACACACACCTGGGCTGAAGACGCCGGTCGTGTATCCCAGAATCCCGTCCGATAGGGGCAGTGACACCTCTGTACTCACACACACGAGGAACAGAAGATGACATTGGTTAGATATGTTATGTGAATTTGTTTCTATCCAATTCATATTCAATCGTTGTCAATCCTCTACTGGATGATGGCGTTCTGCTGCTATTGCTGCTGCCGCTTCTGCTCCTGACGATGATGACACTGCTGCTGGTGGCAATGGTAGTCGTGATGACGATGCCACTGTTGTTTGTGGTGGTGGTGGTAGTGATGATGATGGTGATGACAGTGTTGTCGCTGCTGCTGCTGTTGCCGTTACTGCTGCTGATTCTGGTGCTACTGATGCCGCGGATAACGTTGACGCCCTTCCTCCTGCTACCCTTAGGATGGTTGTGATGATGATGATGATTATATTTCTGCGACTGACAGCTACAGCATCAATCGACAACATTCCATAAAAACCACACAAAACAAGCAAACACAAACAACAGCAGCACCAAGCAACAACAGACTCACCCCACCCCACAACTCACGCAATGCGTCCCGACCTGAGTTCAACTCCCTTCATCAAACCCCCCCCACCACCACCACCACCCAACGTCCTCACCGCCCAGCCCAGCCACTCACCGACGCACTTGGGCACCGAGTCTGTGGGTGACCACTTCCCATCCACGCACTTGTACGCGTCCGGCACTGGCTCAACAAACGTGTACCCGTCCGAGCAGCTCGCCTGACAGGTCATCAAGCCCTCGTCGTTTTCGCTGCACAGAAGTTCGCCATTGGCCGGCGGGGCGAGGTCTGGGCAGGTGGGCCGACCGGTCACGCAGTCCGGGAAGGCGTTGACGACCGGGCTGGAAGGCAGGCTCGGGAACCAGTGGCCCGTGGACAGCTCGCACACGTAGGCCTGCGGGCCCGCGAGCCGGTAGCCGGCCTGGCAGGCGAGCGAGCACACGCGGAACCCGCCCGCATCGGAACATTGCGCGCTGCCGAAGGCTGGCTGGCTGGTCACCACGCACTTGAGGCTCTCTGCACGGTGGCGGGGAGTGGGGGGGGGGAATTGAACGGGGGGTTATTTTGTGTAGCCATATGAGAACTCAAGATGTAAGGATGTAAGGATGAGTCTATATTGCGAGGCGGGCTGGCTGGTCACCACGCACTTGAGGCTCTCTACACGGTGGCGGGGAGTGGAGGGGGTGAGAGAGTTGGGTTGGGTGGGGGGGGAATTGAACGGGGGTTATTTTGTGTAGCCATATGAGAACTCAAGATGTAAGGATGAGTCTATTTTGCGAGATTGGCCCGGGGAAGCGCGGTGGGGAGGGTGGCATGAGTAGATGGCAACGATCGATGCTCTGTATGATCACAATTGAGTAAATTTTGGGGGGAGAAATGTTCCAAATTGCCAAATTTGGACCATCACCGTGAAAATCGTGACGGCAGCAAATATTTGTCAATAAATCTATGATGATGATGATGATGATTTGTAAACGTCGATCATTTAGCTTCCCGTCAATAGGCGTCACAACCAACTCATCGGTTCTGCGCGCTCTCCAGGTCGGGATAAGGAGCTCTCAAAGAGCCTCGCATTTTGGGAAATAGACAAAACACGCGGTGCATTGCCTTTACCGCACTTTGGGTGTCGAAAATCACGTACGATGACAATCATCTTCACAGCAAACAAACCAATAGCTTGTTTTGGAGGGGAGGGGGGGTGGGTCGGGGAGGTGGAGGTGGAGGGACCAGAGCCTTGGGGGTGGTGGTGGTGGTGGTGGTGGGGGGAACTGACGCACCCTCGCAGCGGAGTCCGCTGTAGTACGGAGGGCACGAGCACGTGTCGGGAGCCACGCACACGCCGCCGTTGAGGCAGCCCGTGCTGTTCGCGAAGCACAGCGCTGCGTGGGCACAGGGAGAGGGGGCGCACGGTGAGGCATCGCGGAGGGGTTTCGAGAAATAATAAAATAATAAAAATAAAACATAATAAATAATAATAATTTTTTTCTTTTGTTTTATTTTTATTATTTTAGAAATAAGAAAATAAGAAAAATAAAACAATATAATATATTATTATTTTATTATGTTTTATTTTGATGCTTCGACTTCACGCGAATAATAAAAATTAAAACATAATAATATAATAATATACTATTTTATTATGTTTTATTTTTATTATTTTATTATTTCCCTTCTACGTGACTTTACTGAAAGAACCAAGAAGATGAATCCCTGCAGTCACGAAAGCTTTAAATCGAAATTTAGGGTTTCGAGAAGTCAAGGCGAGCAGAGGTGAAAGACGTCTCTCATTTGCCAGAGTGACCTGGGTCAGCAACACGAGAGGGGGGGGGGGTGATGATGGGGAGGTACATCGAGGAGGAGGAGGCTGATGGGATATCGAGGAGGGGAAATTCTATGCCATGAATTAAAGCTTTCGTTACGGCAGGAATTCATATTCTATGCCAGTTGATGCTTCGATTTCACGCGAACGGCTCTTGTGTTATGAGAATATGTTTTTTACCCTTTCTGGCAACAAAACAGTTGTGTTAAGATGTTAAAACACCAAACTGAAACCCTTTTGCAAAGAATCACGTGTTCATTAACCACGTGTAATTGTGGTGGACATGCAAACAAACAAAAAAGCATGCTTTGATAGTATTTTGAAAGTGGCAAGGGAGGTCCCATGACGTCTCTTGTGTTGAGAGGTTGACTTATTGTGGCATATGAGTCGGGATTAAGCGCGTTGTCGGCTGGTTTACGTCTCATCGTGTGAACAGTTCATCTACATCATTAGACCTCCTTTGCCAGTACCAAACTATAATAATAGGGTTTTCCCCCTTTTTTTTGGAGAACCAATCAGTTTCAAGAACAACGCATATATATTATCATAGTGTGCTTTTGTTTGCATTTTGACTGCAAGTATTGTGGTTAATGCAGACGTGAATCCTTGTAAAAAGGTTTCAGTTTTGTTGCCAGACAAAAGGGGAAACCCCCTACTATTATTATCGTGTGAGCAGTTCTTTTGCCAATTAAGTCAGTAACCCAGACCAATGCGGAGCCCTCTCGGACTTCCATCTGTGCGGACATCTGCAAGTATCTCGAGGCCACGGCGAGGGATGGTGACGGCGGCGAGCAGGGACGGGGGAAGGGGGGGGGGGGGTGATGTGGGCGGGGGGGGGGGAGGGGTCATCCAGCAGTGGATAGATCACGGGGACTCACGAAAGCAGTCGGGGACGCTGTCCGTGGGACTCCACAGCCCGAGGGAGTTGGAGCACGCGAAGTTGATCTGCTTGTTGCCTCCCGAGAACGCGAAGCCAGGGTCACAGGAGGCCGTGCATTCGCTACACACAACACGCACACACACGGGAGAGAGAGGTGCTGTTAGCGAGCACCTAGTAAGGACAATTATAGCGTATGTGCAATGTGTGTGTGTGTTGCGGTAGCGAAACGGTCAGCGCACTGCGCTACGAACGAAAGGTGGTGCTGGCCACCCACTCCATCGTTGTGCCGTTCTGGCCTTCATAGGTGCTTGTTAACAGCACTTGCCCCAACAGTCCGTTAAGGCTATACGGAAGAGCTTTGTATTTGTTTTAATACTGCATATCAATAAGCGGCAGTGTGTCGATTAGCGCGCTGCGCTACCAACCCGTCGAACCGAGTTCGATTCTCACTCACGGCCAACACCGGTGACGGTTATCTGAACCCGGGCCTCCCCTAGGTCGACTCAGTGTTAACTGCGCCGTGCGTTATCTGCCCCGTGTATAACGCACGTCCATGTCTGGATGATGTCGCAGTGGATGGAGCCATTCACTGGTGGAGGAAGACGCGAACATTTCGTTGTATCTGCACAAAGATATACACACATGCACAATTACATACCCACATCCACGCACGCACGCATGCATATATACAAACAAGCTATATCTTTGTTTGCTTTAATCAGAAATTGAATTAATTCAAATTAAATTGAAAAGCCAAGTATAGCATCATGGCTTTGATGTGCAGTCATTGGTGACCGGGCTGAGGCCACCAACTCGCCACCGTTGGGGAACCCGGTTTAAATTTCGATTTAAAGCTTTCGTGACTGCAGGGATTCATCGTCTTGGTTCTTCCGGTAAAGTTACGTAGAATGGAAATAATAAAATAAAAAAAATAAAACATAATAAAGTAATATAATAATATAATAAAATAATATAATAACCTGATTTAATCACGCGCTGCTCAAAACTCGGATTCGAACCCAGGTTTTCGTCATTAGCGGCTCAAATTCTCTGTTTCCCTTTAGCCACCCGGCTACCTCACTACCGTAATTCTTGATCGCGCGTGTTTCCTCGTGTGTGTGTACGGTAACTGCGCGCAGTAAAATCTCTCACGAGTTGTGCGGAACCTATAGATCATTAGTATCGTTCCCCACACCACAGACCGATTATCAGGTTTGGCTACGTACGGCGCGAAAAAAGTTCCACGAACATTCATAATCGGCACTCACCCAGTATCAGTCCAATGTCGCTCAAGGCTGCGGAGACACAACAAACGACTTTAAACATCGCGTGCATTGACTGTTTTTACGAATCAGGGAACTTTACTTAGAAAGCGTAACGAGTTTTCCACCGTGCAATTATTATTAAACACTTTGTTTTAGATTGTGATCAAAGTAGCGGCCTCTAGCGTCTGAAACACGGGTGTCGCGTGAACGCATGACCCACAACATGCCGCAATTGAAACGAATCGATAATATTTGCATTGTAAGAGTGTGTTTTTGTTTGCATTTTGACCACAAGTTTTGTGGTTAATGCACACATGATTCCTCGTAAAAAGGTTTCAGTTTTGTTGCCAGAAAAAAGGGGAAACCCCTATTATTATATTTTGGTACTGGCAAAGGAGGTCTAATAATGGTGAGCATGTCTGTTTGCATGTTACACCACAAGCATGTGTGGTTAATGCTGACATATTTCGTTGCAAAAAGGTTTCTATTTTGGTGTCTGAACGTCTTAACACCCGCTGTTTTCTTAATAAAAAGGGTAAAAACTTATGCTTATTCTTTTTTTCAACCACTGCTCTGTTGCGTATAATTAATCAGATGCTTACCATTGTTACTTGGCGCGACAACCGACGTGACGGACCTGCAACACAAACCACCACCGCCGCCACCACTCCCACATTAGTCGCGTGCGAGGGCAATTCGTCAGCATCGTGACCTATGGACGACACTAGTCACGTTGCATGTGCGTGTTCACATGGCTTTGGGATGAGGAGGAGGGGACCGGAGGATACCCAAGGCACAGAACAGGGAGAGAATTAAACAAACTCCACGGAGAAAGGCGCCAGAGTTTGGAATCGAACCCGGGAACTTTCCTGCTGTGAGGTACGAGGGTTACCACTGCGCTACCCTGCCACCAACGGTATTAGTGAGGTATGTAACAACACAAGGTAGAGATATATAACAGGTGTGTAAGCTACACAAGCTTTTAGACAGGTACATACAGCGCGTGACGATTTACACAGGGGCTGTAAGGGTGTCAGACAGGCGTGCAAAACACGAACAGTTTACTCTGGCGTGTAACTGGTGTCGAACTCGTGTCTGTTACTCTGGTGTGTTGTTGCATGCGACATTGGTGGCGGGTGTGTCAGCACGCACAATTAAGCAAGTGGAGCATTTGAACTATTTGGGTCGCATGATTATAGTACGGTGCATGGAAGGTGCATCACAGCGATAGACAGAACAATTGCACAGTTAAAATATGCATTTCAGAGAATGTGATCTCTATATATATATAAAAAAAGGAAAATAATCATGACAACGGGAATATGCAGGTATGTTCTCCTTTATGGAGGTGAAAGCTGTTAGTTTATGGGTCTCTATGTGAGTCTATGTCTCTCTATGTGAGTATCTGGGTCTGTGTGAGTTTGCGTGTCTCTATGTTAGTCTATGTTTCTCTATGTGAGTGTGTCTCTAGGAGAGCTGGGTAATTACAAAGATCCTACAGAGCAAATTAGAATGAACAAAAATGTGGTCTATAAGAAGCATGTTAAAAATTGGCGCGGAGAGAAACCATGAGAAACAGAAATGTATTATGAATATCAGTACGGCAACACAAACAATGCCATGAATAAGAATAATTTGAGAACACCAAGTCACATCTCTTGGACATGTAAAATATAAAAAGAAAATACACTGAATGCTATGTTTCGACTGGGACAATTATAGGTGCCACAGAAGCCAGCGAAGACGGCGATTTAAGTTTCACAAGCCGTTCGAGCAATTTGATGCATCTGGAGGGACTCTTTAACGCACGGTTCTTTGAGTAAATACCATGGACAGCGCTACATGGACGGAATGCCACAATCACCGACGTCGTTGACTGGACATCTGTGAGAAAGATCTTTAGAGCTCATCAGATTCTGCCAATATAAATTCCTATTCTGATGTGACAAGAAACCCACGGCTCACAGAGAGAGAGAGAGAGAGCGAGCGAGAGAAACACGCACAGAGTAAGCAGACACGGTAGCAAGCAGGCGGTGTGAACGATACGTCTCGGAATTTCACAGGTGTCTTAACGAGCGCGTGAGCGATGGGACAGGTGAGTCAGTTGTCAAGATCACCTGCTGCAGAGCAGGACCGCGGCGAGGGCAGCGACACACGATGCGGGCAGGCCGGGCTGCATGTTGGCTGCGGAGAATCACTCTCCCTGGGACTCTCACGGACACACTCGGACACCCTGGAGTCGCTCCTCAAACTCCAGCGAAGAAATTCTTGCTGCGAATTCTCAGGAACAATCGGGGAGCTGCAAGTCCCCGTAGAAGGACCGTGGCTTCCCTAGTCTACCACAGTCACTGCGCGGGCCCCTTTTATTCGCCTCGGCGGCATCGATCCGACAGCCGGATCGGTGCGGCTCCTCTCGCAGTCCTCCAGAGAGTCGAGAGGGGGGCAGTGCTCGTGGTCGAGATGAACAAAGGTTCAAGTTTAAGGCTCATCCTCACCCGCGGCGAGAGCTGGCGCGAGAGAGGGTGGAGAGAGGGTGGAGAGAGTGGCTTCTCACCTGACCTCGGACCTCCGTGTTTGCACGGTGACACAAGAGTCTAACTACATCCGTCCATCTTTGTTTGTCTTCGACTCAGCAGCCCAAAGTCATTGCCACGCGAACACTCTGGAGCCGCTGGCAAACAGATCAATGGGGGGCCCAGCCCGCAGCCCCGCCATCGCTGCATCCTGGTGCGCGCGAGGTGATGGCTGATGTGTTAAGAGGAGGAGGTGGTGGTGATGAGGTGGGGCGAGATGAGTGGTGGCACAACAAACACGTCCAATGGGACAAACAATACACAGCCATGGGGAGGGCAGATGCCGACTGCTAACAGAGAGATCGTGACGTTCGTCAACGGCAGGACGGCTGACGTTTCGGGCAATGGTCCTAATGCAGAGCGTGGTGCGTAAACGTGTTGTGTGTGTGTGTGATTATAACGTTCGCCACAGCGGGAGCCTATTTCTATGGGCGTTTTCATACAAAGACAAAGATCCCCCATAAAGCTTTTAACAGACTGTTGGGAGAAGGTGGTGTTAGCGAGCGCCTATTAAGGCCGGTGCGACACGGGGGGGGGGGGGGGGTGGTAGTGTGGCCAGCAACACGTCCGACTGCGTTTGTCTCCCTCGTGCTGACTTTCGTCACACACGCCGTGCCGGAAAGTATGTTTTTGTAAAGGAGGACCCCGGGACAGTCCCAGGTATCTGAAATTTATTTTGCACTTATCACGATTGTCATGTGCAACTTCGCCTTGGCTTACTTCTTGCTGCTGTTCAGTTTTGTGTTTCTGTTGCTTTGTGTTACGGGACGCGTTTGAACTCAACCTTGTTATTTGACCCGTGACGCCCCGACTAAAAAGGACCACGTGTCAGGCTGCCTTAACGGATTGTTTTCGATCTCTATCACGACGACGAAGTGCCATCGATGTTAGCCGTAGTCGGGAATCGAACTCAGGGGGCCGCCGCTCGGAGCGAAGTGCGCACACGAATCACAGCGCCATCAATCCGCTTATTGCGAACGCGCACAAGCACACGAAGACAAAGATCCCCCGTATAGCCTCAACATACTTTGGGGGGCAAGTGCTGTAAGCGAGCAGCTATGATGGACGGCACGGCACACGAGAGCGTAGGTGGCCAGCACAACGCCCGGACGCCTTTGTCTCCCTGTTGACGATGTTTACACACCGCACCAGGTACTCATTTGAGGCTGAGTCGACCGAAGGAAGGCCCAGGACCGGTTCAGATCATTAATCGTCGCTGGTTTTGGCCGTCAGCGGGAATCTAACTCGGGTCTCCGGGTTCATAGCGCAGCGCGTTAACCGCACAAACACACACACAGGCGCATGCACACACATACACATATACAGACAAAGACCCCCCGTGTAGCCTCGAACAGGCTTTTGGGGCAACTTCCATACACACACATACATAACCTAGTTAAATGTTTATGTAGCGAACAGCCACAGATAAATTAACAAGTCAGTGTGCACGTATGATACGGCCTTCTTGAGTCACGTACTACTGTGCATATACACATCGTCATAATTGTAATCACACTACGCACTCGTTGGACGGGGAGTGCCTATTCTCCCATCTTACACTCATCAGATGGATTTACATTGATAAGGGGGATAGGGAATTCCCGCCCACCAATATTTTGTCAGTTATGCCACCTAATCACGTACTATATGCCCATTATTCTTTCTTACTTTCCTGGGGAGTAATCAATCATGTTTATTAGAGGTTTTAAAGGTAACGTAATGTGATGCCGTATTTTTGTTATATATATACACAGATTGCATTTCATTATATTTAATATGTAGATAACCATTGTGATGCATAGACTATCGTAAAATGAGCGATACATCTCGATTGGCAATGATGATGTTGATGAAGCTGCTGCTGCTGCTGCTGTGATGGCAGTGGGTGCACAAGCACAAGTAACAACACCAAACTTAACGTATGGCACGATTGTAATCCTCACTTTGCTTACTTGATTTACCACGACAACAAAAATAACAATAGCCACAATTATCCAATCTGGCCCCGAGAAATTACGAAGTGGAGGTTTTATTCAAACCACGGTGCGATCTCAGCGTCGAGTCCTGGCATTGTTATACACACTGAGACATCCGTGATCACGCCCAAGTGCGTTTCCTTCCGTCGTGTGTCACGCAAAGGGCGAGAGTGAACGCAGCGCCGCTCCGTGTTACCCGTGATCTGCGTACACGATGCTCCTGCAATGCGCTTCATTAAACTGTAGTATAAACCCAGCGTGGTGAAGTATGGTCAAACAAACCCCACCGCGTGGCGATAGTTTTTTATCCGCAGCAGTTGATTAATAATCGGCTGCAAGTAACTACAACATCAACGATTATAACAATGCCAATAATTATTACATCCAGCAGTCAATTGTATTAACTAACTATTGGATGCGGACCTTTCCACGCTGTGTGGTGAATGAGGGATATTCGACCATACTTCACCACGCTGGTCAGTGCGGGTTGAGCGAAAGCAGGCGGAGCGTAACACGTGTCTCATGTGCGCTGTCGCCTCAACGGGGGCAACACAAACACTCGAGGATGTATTTTTCGATTTAAAGCTTTCGTGACTGCAGGGATTCATCTTCTTGGTTCTTTCGGTAAAGTCACGGAGAAGGGAAGTAATAAAATAATAAAAATAAAACATAATAAAATAATTCTCACGACGTTTCGGCCACAACGCAAGCAGCCGTCCTCAGGTGAAGAACATGTCTGTCGATAAGACATAGTCTGAATGACACGTCCTAGGCTTGGAGCGTCTATTTATTACTTCCCTTCTACGTGACTTTACCGAAAGAACCAAGAAAATACAGTAATGCAATATTCTAGTTTTAATTTCTGGCATGACAGGATTAAATCCTGTCTAGGTGAAAAATGAATGAATTTCTTCACCTGAGGACGGCTGCTTGCGTTGCGGCCGAAACGTCGTGAGAATTATTATATTATGTTAATTTTTATTATTTTATTACTTCCCTTCTACGTGACTTTACCGAAAGAACCAAGAACTCGAGGATGTGTTAGCCCCAAATCCAGAGTCCACGAGAGGCAAGGATCCAATCCTACAGTCACATCAGTCCGTCCTTCACTCGGCAACAGCAGCGGATTCGCTTGTGTCGGTCTTGTCAAAGATTACGGACACACGGAACACACATTACAAGTCTTTATGATTATTATATTAGTACAGTTGGAATACGATGATTGCTGCTGTGTTCGCCTATTGAGCTCCGTGTTTTGTATGCACGAGGTAGACTGTATATATATGTGTATTTATAATTGCCTCGAACGAAGACAATCCTTCCGTCTATTTGGTTCAAGCAAGCTTGACGCCGCCGATGAGACACTGAAGGTCGAAACCCGTCTATAGAGTGCGCTGGTATGGAGCCAGTGCTGCTGATAAGGATGCACTTCCAGAAGGCCGTGTGCGGCAAATGCGTAGTATGAAAAAATAACATTTTATTTGTTTCATGTAAAGAGATAACATTTGGGCAGGAGGCGTTGTGTGTTTGTTCTCCCGGGGCGAAGCGTTGTAAGCGATTGAAGAAGCAGCTGTCAGTGATGCTGGTTTAGATATACCAATCTAATATCTTTCGATTTATTCAGACGCTGTCTTTCCGACAGACCTGTTTCTCACCTGAGGACGGCTGCTTGCGTTGTGGCCGAAACGTCGTGAGAATTGTATTTTATTATGTTTTATTTTTATTATTTTATTATTTCCCTTCTACGTGACTTTACCGAAAGAACCAAGAAGATGAATCTAATATGTGTCGAACAGCTCCGTTTCTGCTCTATCGCCCTGCACCGCGCGTTCGTCTACACTGGGAGCGTCAATGAGTGGCGCTTTGCCAATCACCGTGCGCTTTATCGCCCATCGCGTATCGTTACGAACTTTTGTATTTCTACGTCTCCAGCCCTTCGTCCAATCCACTGTTGGATGGAGGCCTTCCCGTGCCGTGTCGGTCGGTCATGCGGGTTGCACGGCCATACTTCACCCAGCTGGTCAATGCCGGTTGGTGAAGGACCGGTAGAGAAGATGTCACTCGCCACTGATGTTAGCCGTGGCCGGGGGTAGAACTCAGGGAACCGGGGTCCAAAGCGCAGTGCGCTATGAATGATTGCCCTACTCGGCTCCCAAGCACTAAAACTAGTCTCCCAATTAATAAAACCGTAATTTGTAAAACTATATTTGAAGTACATTTTAGTCTACGTATAGTGTGGGTGGACGTGTGGGGAGCGGTAGTGTAGTGGTTAGCGCGCTGCGCTACGAACCTGCCGACCCGAGTTCGATTCCCGCTCACGGCCACCACCAGTGACGATTTACTGAACCGGTCATGGAACTCCTCTAGGTCGACTCAGTCTCAAATAAGTACCTGGTGCGGTGCGTAACAACATCGCCACTGGGGAGACAAAGGCGGTACTGGCCACCCACCCCCTCTATGTGCCGTTCTGGCCTTCATAGGTGCACGCTAACAGCACTTGCCCCAAAAGTCTGTTAAGGCTATACGGGGGATCTTTGTATTTGTTTTTATACTGCATATCAATGGAGCGGCAATGTGTTCGATTAGCGCGCTGCGCTACCAACCCGTCGAGCCGAGATCGATTCCCGCTTACAGCCAACACCGGTGACAATTATCTGAACCTGTCCCGGGCCGCCCCTAGGTCAACTCAGCCCCAAATTAGTACTGCACATGGTGTGGTGTGTGAAACATCGCCACTGGGGAGACGACAGCGGTCGGGCGTTGTTGCTCGCCACTCACCCCCCCTCCCCCGTGCACCGTTCGGGCTTTCTTCATAGGTGGTGTTTCCTAACAGCACTTGTCCCAAAAAGTCTGTGAAGGCTACACGGGGGATCTGTATCTTTGTACATTAGTCACTTGCCGTTGCGGAACTTTCTATTGGGTTTAGCGTCACACTCCACGGTGAATCGCTCGGTTCAATGCAGAACTCTGTCGGCTCACCCCTTCCCCTCCCGAGTGAAACCAATGGACTTAATAACACAATTTATTTCCACGGATGTTTATCGTAAACGAAAAATAAAATAATAATTATGATTACATTTACATAGCGCTTTTCATCAAGGATTTCAAAGCGCTGTACAGGACACAGCAGCAGCAGCAGACGCTCGGCAAAACCCCAATAGTATAAATATAAAAAAAAACATTTACTAAATTAACTAAAAATGTAATTAAGCGGAAGCGTATAATTTATACAGATTCCATTGTACTAGAACGAAATTGTAACTTCCTCGTGCTTTTCGAAAATCTTCTAAATGTTACACATCGACCACTCGCGATCACCTCCGGTGTGTATCGATGTGTCTGTGTGCGTGCCAGTCACAGACTTTGCCTGTTTGACTATCGCTTATCGTTAGGTGACGCGTGTTCACTCAGAATAGTTCGTTAAAATATACAGCACGAAGCTGTTGTATGTATATTCGTCATGTGTGTACCGTGCCAAACGTGTAGTTTCATTGCTGTTATATTCACTATGTTAAAGTTTGATTAATAAATTCACATGTTTGCCGAGAGGGAACATCGTATGTTTGAACCAACAACGCAGCTCTTGGATCGAATTATCTTAATTCGTACACTATTATTCGGTATGTACGTGTATGTTGATCTTCTTTCTACATAGCGAACACAGCTAATCAAAAATGCAGGGGAAGGACAACAAACTAAATACAAAAGAAGATATAATTAACAATGTAAAAAAAGATACCTAATATAATTGTCACGGATATAAATCTCGGCGATCGAGTTAAAACTTTCATTTTGATTCAACTGTCGTAAATTCTACTACACATGGCATGCAAAACACAACCGAAGTTATTTAGTGACGCTACTGTGATGGCAAGGGTGCACAATATACCAAACATCACAACATATTGTCAATACCACTGTGGGCTGAGAAATTAAAAATGAATACTAGACGACGTTTCGGGCAATGGCCCTTCTTCGTCGTCGCGCGCACAGGCCAGACACAAATTGGATAAGAGTTGGAGACTGCCCTTTTACACCATGGGACTTTCTGAGAATAGAAATACAAATCTGCATATTTTTTTTGTAATTGGCATATGAAGTTAACTATTTAGTAGTTACCGAGTAACAGATAAACTATAGCATGTTTGGCGAGTATCGATACGGAATCCAGTGTGTGCGTGTCTTCAGTTTTCGTGATGCACGTGCAGTCATCCCCAATCCACCAATGGATGAGTCTCCCCACGCCACGTCGGTCATGGGGATTTTGTAACCATACTTCACCACGTTGGTCAATGCGGTTTGTTAGGGGGGAGCAGGACCGATTCTGATATCGACGTTTGCCGTGGGTCTAACTCGGTGTGCCGGGTTCATGGCGCAGCGCGTTTACCACAACACCACGTACACCCACCACTCGATGCACGTGTGTATCGGAAGTGAGTACCTGTTGCTGTGTGTCAATATCGCCACGAGGGAGACAAAGGCGGCCGGGCGTGGTGCTGGCCACCCCACCCCCTTGTGTGCCTTCATAGGTACTCGGCAATAGCACTTGTCGAGGCTATACGGGTGGTCTTTGTCTTTGTATGTATATAACAAAAACATGGCGCGACACTTTTATTTGTGACTACTTTTATTTAGAGGTACAGTACAACAACAATACAACAACATACGGCACCACACACCTCTTCCCCTTCACACGTGGAAACAAAATTACAAAACGTAGCTGAACAGTAATTCAAGGGATAATTCGAGACGGAATCATCGACAGGTAAACCACCCAAATGGTGTGGTGAGCTCACACTCAGCACCAGAGGCTTACAAAATAGAATTTGTTGCGAGAAAAAAAACCCAAAACCCGCACGGAACACAAACATCGAGTAAACCCGTTCTCTGCATGAGATAAACAAGTATTTAAGGCGTTGCATTGTTAAGGACACAGTTTCAGTTAAAAGGCTTACGCATTGTTCGTGTTTAGTATGCGTGTGCAAGGTAAAAGCGCAGCCCTGCAAATGTTCGCTCGCGCCCATGCTTAGCGGAAGGGCCTCCAATTAATTTCGGAAGTGACAGGACTCACACTTTACCCCCCCCCCACCTCCCGATGACCCAGTTACTGGACGCTGCTTGACAACAAAAAGTCCACGTTGTTGCAACTCCATCGCATGGAAATGTAATCGGCTGAGACTTCTGGATTGCAACTCCAGTAGGCAGTTAACACCGTAAAGGTTGTGCCGACATCGCCGTGATCTCAAAGAACATAACTATTTTTACAGACTGTGCTTTTTTTGTTCAGAAGCGGGCAATTGTTCCAGAACAGCCAGTCGACAGATGCGTGCGAGGTAACAGCAGCGCGCCCTATTGCACACACACACAGCAGGTCCCCTCGGCACTGCTGCCATAGCGTTACGGTTCAAAAACGACAAGTTACAGCCACTTCACCATATCACGCACCAGTGTTCGTCATTGCGAAGGCCCGCACGCCACTGGCGGCCCCAACACACGAATGTGACAGCAGCATCATCATCGTGCTGTTGCTGCTGTCAAACCACAATGGTTTCAAATGTGGCGGCCCTCGCACTGATGATGTCTTATCGGCTAAAGGGCCCCCACCGCCTCCGTCCTCTGAAAATGAGCGAAAAACACCGGCATACACAAAACACACACACTTCAGTGCAACCGTTTTGACAACACCCTTTATTACTATCACATGTATATTATACCACATCCTCCCGATTATAAGACGCACCCGTTCCCTCTGTATTTAAAAGGCAAAATTAGAGAGGTGGCCACTCATCTAAGAATACTATTTGGCGTGTGCCCGTGATCAAGATTTGTGATGCCCTTCATGACATCGGGGTGGGGAGCGTTGCGGGCACGTCTTAATTTCCGGAGCTTTTTACAATTCGGAGAATGTGGTATATATATAGCTTTAAAAAAGATTGATGAAAATGGTTTAAGAAGTGACATTTCCAAATTACTACCTTCCCTTTGGGCGAGCTGTAACTTGCACACTTAGAAATTAATGAGTTTTAATATTCAAGTCCGTGGACGGGTTTTTGAAGACACGTGCAAGCAAGAATGTTACTCGACTCACAAAATATAACTTGTGAAACCATTATCATCATTAGCAGCCATGCCCGACCCACTGCTGGGTGAAGGAATCAACATTTCTTGTACATCATCATGTTACACGTGTGTCTCAGAAGACATCAATCGTCATGCAACCATGTCACTTGAATTCAAGGATGCATCATACGTTCGGTTAACATTGGGCTTAACATGCACGCCTTGGTCATATCGGTTTCACTAAACCCCTTGATCTTCACTCGTAACACGCTTCACCTCTGTTGAGACGAGAAAGCATTACGAGTGTTGATCAAGATTCACTTCGAGACCCTGGACAGAACGGGACAGGTGCATTTCTTTGGCGGACCCTATATTACACACACACGCGCACAGTTTTTTCCTTCTTTCAAATTATTCATTTCACCATCGTCCACGCACGACGCGAGAGAAGCGAAATGTCCGAGACGGAGACCCGAATGCGCGTTGGTAGCAAGAACCCTGCGCCAGCCCGAACACCGACGCGTTTCGTCTCTCCCCCCCCACACCTCAATTGTATGGGGGGGTTGGAGGACTCTATAGGCTGGGTTATAGTGTTAGACCGCACAGATTCAAACAACACCAAGCCATAACAGCCACGTGCGGTGTCGTCACAGGAAGTAGTGACACATTCACGTTTGGACGAAACGGCCAAAAAAAGAACAAACGGGACGAGTCAGCCCTGGCGATGTACACTCGTTGGTGGTAAACGACGTCAACGATGGGTCACGTTGTCGGCGGGAATCGTGACGACAAAACACGACATTCAGCAACCACGCGAGAATCGGACACCCCGCACCCGCGCCGCCAAAAAAAAAAATCCGAGACGACCAAATTTCACCAACGAAATGAGGAAGTGTGCGGACGTTCGGTCACGGATTACGCATCGGATCCAATTTAAATTCCATCGGTTTTAGGGCACAGTGGCACCTTGCGAATAATTTCTCTTTTCCGCGCGTCACCGTGCGATCCGGTTTCATGCAAACCGTTTTGACAAAACAGTTTTGTGAAATACCCACAGCGCTGGTTGCGAGACACAGACTGGTTTCAGTCAAATCGGTTGCACGATACCGGTTGCATTTCTGCGGCGTCTCATAGAATTTGAAGCGTTCTGCAAAATGAATTGAACTCTAAAAGAGCAGTCAAATCCGCTACACTGGAACTTTTTTTTTTACAGGCGACTAAATCACGCATACGTCTTTCATCTGAAATGTATGCAAATAATACGGTAACATAAAAACGTATCCCGCGACAAGCATTGCTTTAAAAGGAAAAGTATACAGGCAACGTTTCGGGCAATGGCCCTTCTTCATAGCACGTTGGCTAATATAAGGCGGCGTTAGACGAATGTTAAGTTGTTTTGTTGTGCGCTTGTGCCAGCAGTGTTAACTAATAATTTTGTCACACGAGTTGCGAAACTGGTTAACTTTTAAATTCGCTTACAATTTTAAAAGATCGAAAAGAAACTGATTTACCCTGTTTTTTTACAGTTTAGTCACATTGGTTGCACCTAAGGCGGTTTATTTCCATCGCGTAAACCAGGGTCCTAAGAACCAAACCCACGTCTCTCCACAGAAGACGTATCCCGGGCAAACCTTCACGCTAAATCCTTTAAATACAAAACCAAAGACACAGAAAAAATATATAAAATAAACCACATTTGTGCTTTGATAGGCTGCTTGTTTTTCCCATTTCTTCTATAGAATAAGGAAATAAGGCAAGTCCTTACCAAGGGGTCGTCATCGACTAACAGTTAAATTCAAGCATTTATTGTCATACGAATTGCACTGCGTGCAGAGGCGCGACTATTCATCGAGGAAATGACAGCGGCCACTGGTGTCTGCGGGGAGGTCACACGTCAGTTTCATGCACAACGCACAGGGTAAAAAATATAAGATTATTACGCGCACGACAAGGCCAAGGATCAATACCCAAGCAATGCATGGTTACGCCTCTCCGTGCGTTGGCGATTTAAATGACATTCCACGCAACACGTGACTTAAGAGATGCCCCTCTGGGGGGCATATTTCAAGCACTAGAGGTACAAAACTCACCTCCGTTATCCTCTGCTCCCTCATCTACGAGCGACCCTCATAACTTACCAGTGTCCCATGCACATGCTAACGGACACTCACTGCACAGTCCCATCGTGAAAATACTCCGGGTTTTTTGAGATATGCGTAAACCAAGTAATGATTTTTTAGTTTTTTTCACCATTTCTTTACAAAAAAAAATGTGTACCTCTGCAAGGTTGTGTTTTATTTTAATACATAAAGCTTAACGTTCTCACATTACGTAAACTAATCCATGCAAATTATAACATAATACCACACGTGTTTGCACAGATCAAAGAATGGCAGATGGCCAAGAATGCATTTTTTTTTGTCTTAAATCTTTTGTATTTCCCAGCCAATCAAAATGTGCACTTTAAAAAAAAATGGTCACAGGTGACTTTGGGAGACCTTTCATCCCCGTTTAGTCCTGGACAAGTCAAGTCGGCAATCAGAGGGTCCTTCAAGTTGCGAACGGACATCATTAATCAAACAAACGGAGGCAACTAACGCTACGCATTGTAACAAAAAATAAACGTGAAACTATTCTAAGACTACACTGTCAAACCCTTCACAATTTGGCCCCCCAAACACAAACAAAAAAATACACGAGCAAAAAAAACGAACCTTAACTAATACGGCAAAATACATGTAATAACATTCGGTGGCAAGCAGCAATTATTATAAGTCTCTGGGTTCATGGTCCCATCCCCAAATCCACACAGGTTAAATCACATGCCTCCCCGCCCACCTTGCCACCGTAATGGCAAAGCCAATGCGCGCTCCGTCAAACGTGGAACGCCGCATTTTCCCCAAACCTGTCCTCGCGGGCCACCACAAAACGCACCGTGTCCACCCCGTTCCCCCTTCAAATTCAGCGCTGTACACGCACCTGACGTTTACCAAACATGTTGCACGCACTACCCCGGCATTGGTTCACCCCTACGGCAACAGCGCCAATACCGGGGGACTCGTGTGCGCGCACACACACACACGCGCTGGACAGCGATGTAAAATTTCCATCGCGTCACGTGCGGCTTGTTTTGCAATCGCCAGGCGCGTGCAGTCGACGACTTTATCTGCGCTTAACCGAAGGACTGGTGCACACGTGGACGATGCGCGCCGTCGTGGGTCACGGGACAAAGTTTGCGAAACCCTGGGAGGGGAGGGGGAGGGGATGGCAAGGGAAAGCCAAAGTGATCCCTGCACCATCCCGTCGTTAGAGGGAGGCATGTGGATTCTCCTGGCGTGGCCCTGCTGGGAAAGGAGACCACAGAGTCTTATTTACCTCGTTTCAGCTGCAGGGGAGCAGCAATCCGAACTACCGTCTACAAGGGAGCGACCCGTACAGGCACCACCACGCAACGCAGGGCAGGGGGTCCTAACTAACAACGGTGGGGGCGCGAGTCAAGGAGAAACGGTACTTCAACCGAAGTGTAAACTTTGATTCTTAGAGGACGTGTCCATCGCCGTGTTCCTGAAGGTCCACGTGACAAGGGGATTTTATGACAAACTTTGCCACACCGTTTCCTGTTGTTACAAACACGTAGTTGCCAAAACCATGGCAAAAACTGACTGCCGAAATCTTGCGGGAAACTGGAAAAGCAAGTTCCAGTTCGTTTGCAGAGGATGCACTCGATTACGCAAGGGTGTGTTACTCGGTAGACTAATCATAGTGAATACACTTTAATTAACAAAAGGGTGTTTTCATTGGCTAGACATAATTGCGACTTGGAACCTTTCCTGTGCCACCACCAATCCAAGTTACCAGTGCCCCGTGGAAAATGGGCTGCAGGTGACACATCATGGCAACATTCGCACGAAAATTCATGGTGGCAATTGCTGAAGACGGCTACCCTTAAAGCGTCCTCGGTGTCATCACGACCTTCAAGCAGTGACGCTGTGGGCACCAGTGGGAATGAATCTACTTAAACTCAAGATTCAATCACATTGATTCAATTAGTCTGCTAAACAGTTTTGAGAGGCAGCACTTGTGCCTGGAGAAATGAAATGTATTTTGATGTGAACCACAGAATTCATCAAGTAGCAGCTAGCGGTTGTGGTTGTATGGGGTTGAAATCCCAAAAACATCCCACCCCCCCAACAAGGTATTTCAGATGTAGCCAGGTTTCTCCTTAACTGGTTTCCCAAACAAACATTTAAAAAAGAAAAATGAGGTCACAAGTTGTGGAGATATAAAGGCAGGCGGAGGGCTGGAGGCTGTTGGTGAGATGTCTTACAAACAGGAGGGGGGCGGCGGGGGGTGCGAGAGTAACAGTCTCTGCCTAATCATAACACATCAGCTGTGCGAGACCAACTAGGACATCACTGCCCATCCTATGCAAGAATCCTCACCAAGAGCCGTTACACCCAGAGCCATCCTGAACGTTCATGGCAACAGACACGCTGCTGCTGTGCGCGTGTAGAATAACACGCGAGTGTTGATCCAGCATCACGACTGGTAAAGCAGCGGTTTTTGTCTTAGTGTACGCCGACATCCAGCACACACGCAACACCACACACTCGCGCATGCACGCAACCACAGACCCAGTCGGCTGGTTTTGATTCAGTCTCACACACACACACACAGACCGCGTGTGCGGTTTTGACCTGCCATACAAGGTGGCAATGGTCAAGGAACTTGTCTGAAAAACGCAAAGCCTGTATAACAGTGTTCACTGCGAGCAGTGAAAGTAGGCCTTCCATAGAGGAGCAGAGCCACCGGCTAAGCAATCCATGACCGATTGATGATCCTTGTAATGTGAAACTGGGGTGGCGGGGGGGGTAGAAGTGGGGGAGGGGGGGGGGGAGACAAATGGTGAGCATGGGGAAGCTCGCAATTGCCTCTGCAATTCAAGCGAAGCCAATTGTGAGTGGACAGTCGTGAGCCAGTGGTCAAGTGGTGGTTGGAGTGTGCGGCCGGGTGGATGTGCGACCGGGTGAATTGGCGGCCGGGTGGATGTGCGACCGGGTGAATTGGCGGCCAGATGAATGGGCTGTCGGGTGGATGAACAGCCGGGCGGAGGGACGGCCGGGCGGAGTGACGGCCGGGCGGGCATCCACGCGCAAACCTGCGCCTAACTACATCACGCAGCAAGAGAACTTGGAGCGCATGCAGTTTTTGTCGATTCTCTCCATCTCCAGTACGATCTGGCGGAACACCTCTTGCACGGCCTGAAAACACACGCACAGCACAACACAGGTTTCCCAGTTCATTCTCTGTTCCAGCCATGGCTAACATCAGTGGAAAATGATGCAGCATCACCTGGTCCTGCCCAACCCTGCCCAGCTCCCCCAGCCAACCGGCACTTCTCAAACCCTGCTTTGACAATCCTGGCGAAGTATGGTCAAACAACTCCCCCCTCAAGCCACTCCATGTTAAACTGTGGGGAGACCATACAGCAGCAGATTGACAAAGGGACTGTGAATAAGCCAAGTGTTCAGTTAAAATTGATTGGAAATATCAATACGATAGAGATAGGTGTGTACGCCCTTCACAAACAATACATTGCCCGATAATTGCATTTAGGATGCGGTTAAATAAAGCCGAGGTGGGGAAAAAGCCACGTGATCAATTTCAGCCAAACGCAGACAGCAAAACGCGTGTGAAAGGTGGTCAACTTGCAGCACAAGACATCGCTTGCGGCCACGCGAAAACGAACAAACCCACACAACGGGGGAAGCTTCCCAACATTTGGATTCGAGTTGTACCTCCTAGTTCTTCAGTAGAAAGATACCGACGCATGGTAACTCGTGTTGACCATTACTGCCTCAGTGGTTAATGGTTATTAATCATTCTGCACACCGCTCGTCGAACCCAGGTGGGGTGTGCATAGGTTGGGGGGGGGGCGGCACGCCTTGTGTGCGCATTCCATGTGCCCTCTTGCAAATGAGGGGAATGTTTACAAAGCTTATTTTGCTGGGAGCCCTTCCTCTCGACCCCCTGCAGAGCGTAAATTCCTGCATACTCCCTGCTGCTTAGTCAAGAAGTGTCCACACACATCCCCCATGACCACACACATCCCCCCCCTCCCCCATCAGCACCAAATCCCCCCCATCACGACACACACCCCCTCCCCTCCATCACGACACCCACCCCTTCCCCCACATCACGACATCCACCCCCTCCCTCCCATCACGACATCCACCCCTTCTCCCCCATCACGACATCCATCTTGAACATCCACCCCCTCCCACGTAACCAGCCTCAGGAGACTAAAACATAACCACAATTACCCCCCCCCCCCCCCATAAAATGGGGGACAAGACACTTCTCCCCACCCACGCAAAACTGCCATAAGGAAATCGCTACCAAGGGAAGAAACAGCTGTGTATGTAGAACTTCTTTCGCACTGCACGTAGCCAACCGTGCTCATCGGAGGTGTGGTTCACATCGTCTCTCTGGGGAGGCTGCAAAAGCAAATACGTGGACTAGAGGGTGGTTTAACCACGAGTGTGGTGGTGGCCCTGGAGGGTGGTGGACGTATGCCGAGAGCGTGGAGGAGTTTGGAGAATGCGGAGGCGTGGGAAGGGATTAGGACATATGGGGGAGAAGGTAGAGCGAGTTTGGAGGGGTGGTGGTGGTGGGGGGAAGGGAGAGTTGTAGGGTATTCGTGGTGGTGGGGGGTGAAGGGAGAGTTGTAGGGGGGTGGTGGGGGGACGAGAGAGTTGTAGGTGGATGGTGGAGGCGGAGAGCGAGGTGCTGGAGGAGATGAAGGCAAGCGGTGGGATGAACAGACCTCATTCTCCTTGGCGGTGGACTCGATGAAAGCCGCATGCCAGGAGTTGGCCAGCTTCTTCCCTTCCTCGTAGCTTATCACTCTGTTGGCAGGAAGGTGACAAAACAGGCACGCCTCTGTAAAATCCACTCACGCCCGCAACAACATTTCCAGCAATGCGTACATTGTATCCATGAGCACCGAAGACAAACAAACACACACACGAGGGTATTCCTCACCGGTCCATGCTCAAGTCTTTCTTATTTCCAACCAGGAGCATTGGAACGCTGTAAAACAATAAGACAGATGTGTAACAAAGCATGACTCGTGCAACTTTCCATCGGCATTTTCATCGAGTAATGCTTTTGTGAACGATCATCTTACGAGTAATACTGCACGAGAAAGTTGATTACACACGAATGTGAACACCGGATCACTCCTCCCATCATACCCCTGAATGTCACGTGACATCACCATACCACACGTATAAGCAAACAATGGAAAAATCTATTCAATGGTCACAATGACATATTTTGCCATCTATAAAAAAAAATCTCCTGTTTTACTAACCCGATTTGTTTCCACACTGCACGCATTTTTCTGTCCCGAGTTTCACGTATTTTAAGGAAAACGTTGGGATGAGTCAACTCCTATTCTTACGTGGTTGGCCATTAAAATGTTTATTTACGGCAGAACCCAAATCACCCAGAACACGAGAGCTTGTGACAACAGCGAAATTCGAGGCTTGTTTTTACAAAACACGGTTCAATCAAACATCTCGTTGGGTGTGCTTCCCGGTGACAGTTACAAGCAAGTGAGCAGGCTGGGTGTCTCATCGTTGTAATATGAAGACAAACTATTTGCCCAAGAAAAATTGGGAGAGGAAAGCTAATTTGATGGCGATTAACATAAAAATGCTGATAAGTTAGGCTAATCCCTGAACATCACAAAAGGATAACAGTTACCCTAAGGAGACAATTCACTAATAATTTGGAATCACAAACAATATTTAGCAGAAGGGGGTAACGCGGTCGAGAGTACAAAACAGATATTTAAATGCACCACTTAAAAGACAAAAAGTGGACGTATTACATGAAGCATAGACTACGTTAATCACAATTCTTAGGAGACATCAGCGGGCAGCGTGCGACTGAACTGTGTGACCACATCCTGTACCATCACCAAGTATTCGTGTGGGGGTCAGTGGTGGAGGTTAAGGGGAAAACCCTGTGATAATTCCCCATGCGTGACAGAGCGCACCGTGAGTGTGGGGGGAGGAGACGGGGCGACTGGCAATTTCGTACGACTTACCGCACTCTCCCAATAATGTCCTTCAGCTTGTCATGGATCGTTTGGATCACCTGAAAGCTGCGGATAGAGGACAGAGTTGGCGTTACCTCGCGAGAGGTGCAACAAGTGCTGCATCCGCCCGCATGACGACGATGATGAAACGGCTCCTGGAAACCCTCTCTCGTGCTAAGGCGCGCGAGAGGGTTTGGAATAAACGGAGCGCGCCGCTGGCATCTTTACCAACGGTCACGCAGAGTCGACTTGTTAATTATTATTTTCTGTTCAAGGCACTATGAATTAAAAAAAAGAATGCCCTTCCTTCCGTGGGATCCCACAAGTGCTGGAAGTCACCGACTGACCCCAAAGAGACGGCTTTCTCATGGTGTCACCCCAAAATGTTTCATTTTAAAGCCTTCGACTTTATATCGGGTAGAATAGAATCCCTTAAAGTGAAGTGTACCTGGACTGACGAACATTACTAATCGTTATTCACAACACTCGTTCCTTTAAACATATTGTACAATTTTTCATCGCTCAGCTGATATGCGATAAACTAAAAATAAATATTAAACCTGCGAGACTTTTGTTGCCCGCTAGAATTTATAAATCGTGTAAAAACGATTCCGTGCTAATGATTGCATGCCTACCAAAAGCCTGGCATCGTCTCAACGCAGCTGCATCTCAAGACGCTGATGACCAAAGCAAAAATGGCCTTGGGCCGAGAGGGGCAGCCACAACAACACGGATTTTTTAATGTGCAAAAATGTGTTTTCGTTCAGAGCAAGGTCACTCTGTCTGGTATCTTTCGTCCTATGTTTACCGGCATAGGATAGTGAGCAATGTGTTTGTAATCCCCTGCAAAGTTCCACTATGAGCTCACAAGGCCACTTTTGTTTAGCTCCCTTACATGCTACATTATTGTCACCACCCCTTTCCCCTGCCTGCTCCCCCTTTACAATGTTTTGTGTTTATGTGCAGAGGTCTGAGCAAATAGGACCATTATCTTCAAACGTCTGCAAGAGCCCACCACAGTGTTTTGCTTAAGGAGATAAACAAACGGAAACCAACTATGTTAGATAAACCAAAGGAAACCAGACACTCAAACCACCAGTGACTCAAATTAGAGCCAATCGAAAAGGAGGATCGCACACACTGGGCCAGTGCTAAAAACAAAGCCTTGTTTTTTTTTCTAAATCAGGCTCAACAGGATCTTAATATAAAAAAAACAAGTTGTGAAATCTATTATGTATATTTTAGGCAAAATAGGACCTTGGGTAAAATAAAATGTTGTGAAATGTTAGTTCTGGCTACAGTACAAGAACCCAACTAATAGCTTAACTCATTCCAACATTTTTCTTATAAAACATTGGCATCTCTTGACCAATACAGGGACCCATGTCCAAACTTTAATATAGCCGCCCTTAGCAGTAATACTTCAAAATGAACCGGTCAAGCGGTAAAAGCCTGCCAAAAAAACACTGGCGACTCGTTGAGGATATCCTGGGTAAAATGAGGAAGTTTAATTTTAAATCACCTCCTGTTGGACGTGACGGAGTAGACCAGCACGTAGCCATGCACATCCAAGGAGTAGAACTGCTGGAACGGAGAGTACTCATCCTAGAGGCACGCGGGCAGGTACAGGCAGCACACGCACACAGACGTCAAGAGCAGCAAGTTGGGGAATAAAATCATGCCCAAGCGATGATCGTAGGGAACGCGTTCCAAACAAGCGTTCGGCAGCATTAGTTGGCAGCACGGAACCCCGGCGGGTAGCCATCGGGGCAAAAATGTGTTTGCGTATATTCAAAGTCATATTTTGTTCTAGTTGGGAGCTTCCCAAGTTTTGTGGAAGTCTTCAACCAATTTGACCAGTGTATTATAAATACGCCAAGTAACGTATTAGCATCACAACATCATCCAACAGGCTCGTTTATATTAAATCGTCCTTACGAGTTACCGTGCTATATTATTTTAGTAAACACAGCTGGCTATATATGCCAAGTGATGAAATTAATTTCATCGTACATTTTGTGGCGTCATTTGCCTGTGACCAACCCAATAAAAACATAACCACGGGTCCTTTAGAACAGGAATTGAAACCCAGGATTGTGGGAGTTGCCGACTCATCGCTCCTGGTGGGAAATTCTGAGCCGCCTGGCCACTCTCCCACCGACGTCAACATGGCAAGACATCCAGAACACGCTCAAAAATAATCATGCACTCCCACAGCAGATTGTGGGTGCGATATTTTTGGAACCTGCACTGCTAGCGGACGGCCGTTGTCCATAACAAAACGAAACTATTTTATTTTACCAGAAAAGGCCCACTGAGCTATACATCTCTTTTTCAGAAGATACCTGGCCACTAATGATAGCCCAAATAAGTGGCTTATCTTGTGGACATTCACATCAGCCAAATACTCTTAAATGAATGTTTCTAAATGTGGAGGGAAAAACCGGAGGACCCGGAGAAAAAGCCACGCGACCAATAGAAAATAAAAATTATTTAGTTTTCGACGCCGAAACAATCTAACCTGCCCCTTTCAGAAACGTTGCGATTTTATGAGGCTGAGACAATATGGACACGCTCCACCAAAGCCAAACAAACTAGAAGTTGTTTTTTCCATTTCCCACATCGATCTGAGCAATAAAAACACGCGGCCCACCGCTGTCCAAGTGTGCGTGCGCACCTGTATGCACGCAGGAGCATAAACACACAACTCTGGCCAATTTATTTTGTTTGCTAAACAACTGTCAACAGGAGCATTTCCTACTGTGAAATTTCAGTTGCCATAGTTCCAGCCCTCAACTGTACAGGTCACAGCTGCGACTATCAACCTGCACACACGATCAGCGATGAGTGACGTCTATACCAATACTGGGGGGTTCACTTTCACCAACCACCATCGGGCAGCTTGGCGAAGTATGGCCAAACAACCCCCAAGACTTACCCGGCACAAGACAGGCCTTCATCCAGCAGTGGATTGATAAAGAGCAGACCATATTTTTTGTATTCCTTACTATTATTACATTCTTACCTGGCCGGCCGTGTCAACCAGCTTCAGGTGGAATTCTTGTCCATCCACAGTCAGCATCTTGTTAAAGGCTGCACAGCACGCGGACAAACATGGAGATGAGCACATGCAAGGCAAAGTTGCAGCAATATATATGCTGTACATAAGCACATATGAGCATCGGTACGATAAAGCAACACTGACATAAGCACACGTGGACGAGTTCCCAAACCCTACTGATTGTATCCAATTTCTGCTGTGATGCAGCAATGTAGGGAGGAATACATAAAAACATACTTACTGTTTTCAATGGTTGGATCGTACGAGTTCAGAAACTCATCTTGGGCAAACTGGACAGTCAGAGAAGATTTCCCTGAAAAGACAATCGACAAAAAAACGAATTACAAAAAAAATCACTTTTTGCACTTTGTCAACATTCATTTTCTCTTACGAAGTAATTCACTAGCGACACGGAAGCAAGCGAGTAGCGGTAAAACAGGCCGCTGCCAAAAAGCGTTGGCATATTTGAAAAGTAAAATTGTCCACGTCTCTCTGGTTTGGGTCGCCCAAGTTTTGGGCAACCCTTTGTCCGATTTGGTCTGTTTTCATTTAAAAGGGTAGATCCCTAAAGACTCAACTTACACTACAGATTAATTCATAGAGGTAATCAGGTGCCCCCTCGCAACCCTGTTTCGGGACAAACAGAGGTAATGCATACACCCTTTCAGGCATTATTTTAACTCGAAGGCGTTTACCTAACACCTCTTGTCCATTGTGTCTGTGTGGTCCTACTTGAGTATGAATAATGCACTTAAGCAGTAAAACAAAGACGAGAAACTCTACGAATAATTGCATTTCCGGATTTCATCACAAAAAAGTACAATAAAACTGTACAAGTATTGAAATGCGGAGTAAATGCAAATGATACCTCACCCCCCCCCCCCACTTCCTCCACACAGGAACACAGAGGGGGGTTGAAAATAATCCCATTTGGGTACCCTTCATCAAGGAAAACAAAGGCCAAGCCTAAACCAAGCCCCCTCGCTGGGCAAAGTGGCCCTGGAATTCATTTGAAATGCGCACACTTCTGGACAGCCACCAACACTAGAATTCCCACAGGGAGACCTTGCCGCCTCTGCATTCCAGAGCAATTATTTCACTGGTAAATGAGAAAGATATGCATCTGTTATCACAGACACATGTGAGGCTGTTTTCTGAGTCAACATTTTTTTTATCCCCTCCCCCGCAACAAGTTACAGGAATTCAGATATTGCTGAAGTAGCAAAAAATGAACGCCCACGAGCTGATGAGTAATTTCGCATTTGCGATTTGTTGACGCAATAAAAACCGAACCATTAATTTTAAACATGATCATTGTGGGTTAAGCAGTGTTTCTGACACTGATATTAACTCGGAGACCTACTACTACCATCTACTATTTTTTAGTTTACCAGATCAGGCCCACTGAGCTATATAGCTCTTTTTCCGAAGCGACCTGGCCACACATGGATAGCTCAACGAAGTGGCCTATTACGTGTAAATTTATAGCAGCCAAATACTCTTAAAAGTATGTTGATTATAAACTTGGAGGCAACAATCGGAGGACCCAAAGGAAATCCACACGACAATGGGGAGAGAGACATGCAAACTCCAAATATACTCACGTCAGGGTTGGGATTGAACCCACAACCTCCTGCGTACCAGGTGAGGGAGTTAACATCTCGCCACTGCGGCGTCGAGTGCAATTCCCAGCCATGGATAATATTTCATGAACCTAGAGTCCCCCCTCTTAACCAATCCGCACTGGCCATGCTGATACAAGTATATTACGGTGTAGGAAGTTGTGGGATGTGCTGTTTGAACTCCTGTCTCCTTACATCCCCTTCGTTAAAAATAATGAGACCAAACAATTACAAAACTGAGGCTCATTCATTGTCCATTTTTAACTCAAGGCTTAAGCCATTGTTCGAAATTACTTTTAGTGGCACAACTTATCAGCAAATTATTAGCCGTGTATTATTTTAGTGGATTACAATCTCTTGTGTTTTACAGTAACAATGGATTACAGTGGATTGGCAAAGTTTCTCGTGAGATCTTCATCCTGAGAGGCGTGCTGCGAATAAATGCAGTGTTCTTGTTGCTGCTACTACTGGTATAAATCATTCACATTTAGAAGAAATACTGATCACAGGTCAGTAGTTGGCCTTTAATGGGCTTTTGGGTGAGAAAAATAAACAAAAAACAATATGGTCTGCCCCAGGGCCACGTGTCGACCACACTGCGACCTTCAGCTAAGTCACGCCAAAAATGCACCGCGTCACTCCCTGGCCTCTGCCCCGATTACACGGCCTGACCCTGGGAAGAAAAAGCCCTGCCCCCAGGGGTTCACGACCCGGGAGTAGGCATTCGCAGACCCTGCCACGTGTTCCATAAATAGTCTGTGGCTGCACCCGTGGCAACGTTCACACGCCTAAGTGTTATGGGCTCATGGACATTGCAATATGGACAAAAAAAATGGGACAGTTTGGAATTTTTATGGCAAAACTAGGATGGACATCATGTGATTGCTTGGAATTGTTCAAGAAATCTGGCTGGAATTATCAAAGGCTTCCATCTTTTTAGATGGATTTTCAACACGAGACTATAATTTTGCCTCAAGTACTGCACATTATACTTTAGGGTTGTGATGGTTGTCCACCCCCGCTATCACTTACAATGGCGATATGACTATTCAAGGATCTGTTTTAATGTTGCATTGAAGAGCGGCCTCTATAGCTTAAAGGGTCACGACCAAAATGCCACTCCATATAAAATGTTTAAAAACAGGTCAACTGACCTTTGAGCTCCACGGAACTATAAATTGAACATGTCTATTCTGTAACTCGCGCGAAATGTCCGTGGAAAATGTTAAGGGACACCACACAATCTGCATATGTACCAATGAATAAATAATAAAGGGACAGGAAGTCCTTTCTCTGTCTCCACTTAAACATAACATTGATTTTTTTTTTTAGGCCATCACCTATGGGCCTCTGCGGAACAATTTTTTGAAGCAGAAACACCAAGACTCTGGACCAGTTTTTATCTTCGGGCGTTTCCTCGGCAGTTCGGTACTGGTAAAATACTGCTCTAATTAAGGTTGCCAAATGTTATAGAAGGCTCTCTCCATCGATGTGATTGGGCATAAAAGTTAAAAACTATCTCATCAGTGGGTACGAGTAGATATCCCAATAATTTTCACAATTAGGACTGTGCAAGGCCATGGGATATATATCATATGGAGTACTGCACAGTAATTTGAAAGCACATGTGAATTAATATATGTTGTTATAGGGTCGCTTTTAATAAATACAAATTATTGTATTTAAACATGTATTATACTGCACTATCGTCTTTGAATAGTCTCCCTTGGAAGGGACTTTAATGGCAGTGGGCTCTCATCTGAATAAAAAACAAAACATGTATCCATATAATGAAAGGTTAATGCTGGCAACGTTTACTCGGTATATATTTTTGCTGTCCCAAGCACTAAAGATGAACGTGATTATTATATTTGTTTGTCCGTAGTCTACACAGTATTTGACAAACAACATTTAAGCATGTTAGTCAACTTGTAGAAGACACTTTAAGAGTACGATGTGTCAATGCGCTTCCGCAGAATAAAAAAAATCCATATCACCATGGAATGTACTTTTGTTTGATTTTTAAAAAAATATTAATTTCAATTAGATACTTTTGTTGCTCCTCACTCTCATTAATTCTTGGCTCACTGCTCAAGGCAATTGTGAAGAACATGTGCACTACACACACACAAATCATCATCATCCATGACCAATCCACTCCTGGAGGAAGACTTCCCAAAGGTCAAAGTCTAGACAATGTGCATGCATACGTGTGCGAGACTATATATGTACTGGTGAAAATACACACATCCGCCGAACATTCGTTTCAAATTACCAAAGCCCAAACAAAGGACCAAAAGTGGGTGGCGGGGGTGGTGATGGGGGTTATTCTTCCCACACACCCACCCAACAACCACCCACCTATAGACCTCAACCATGCCTTGCTGTTTTTTTTCCACGGACAAAGAAAAACAAATGGGGTAAAAAAACGAGGGAAAACCAGAAACACACTAATTGTGGGGGGCTGGGCACCGCCCAAAAGACATCCCCTGGAATTATATCTGTTACAGAGGGCCCACAGCTACGGCTGGTGTTGGGAGGTGCTCATCAGCAAGTCGCTGGTTAACAATGAATGCAGGGCGTTGTACCCAAACCCGCCCCCCATAAAGACAAAGACGCGCATAAGCCACGTGGTGAACACGCTCCTAGTGTTGTAGTCGTTACCACTTTTTGGGGAATGTAGACTCCTGAGATTCAAAACCCTGCTTTTACAGATGTTTTTAAAAAAAATGTTTTTATATTCACGGACAAAGAAACACCGCTGGCTATTAAGAGTAAAATTGGCGCATTGGGCTGGGCTCGAATAAATACTCGGTAAATTTGAGGTCAAACTTTTTCTAAGAAGTAATCAAGCGCCAGCTTGTTTTTTAAAAAGATAAACAAAAAACTGGGTTAAAGGGTAGCTCCAAGAATTTAAGTTAGGCGCCAAGTACCATTACCACCCCTAACCACTCCTCCACTCCGTCACAGACTTTTACTTTGCTACAAAAGTTTCCAAGGCTTCTGCAATTAGTGTTATATATTTATGGACACTCCACAAAAATAGTATTAACTTAGAAACCCCACTTATTTTAAAGCCCCAAAACACATCTCCCTCCAATGTAAATACCCTGACCAAATGTTTTAAGCGCTAAAAAAGATAAACCTGGTCCCAAAAAACTCTTTGTGAAGATCTGGAGGCATCCCATTCACAATGTTATCACTTATGTATTGAGAAGGGGGGTAAATTAGAAAGGAGTGGGTTATGTAGAGAGCATCTTCTCTTGGCAAACTAACCATGCTGGGATGAACACACTGACAACAGTGAAGCGACAAGGCGCGCGCACACACACACTTGGGGTTCCGTTTAAATAACTTAAAACTGCATATGCAGTTTATATAGGGACCCCTGGCGTTTATAACGCTATAAACAAAGCGCTTCTTAGAGAGCAACCTGCCTTTATAACTTCCCTTGGCAACATCACAGCGGAGCCACATGCGCTCCGTACACACACCGCACATTAGTCCACATGTGCGTCTAAATGAAGCTTTGCCAAGTTGACCACAAAGCTGTATATATTGCAGTCACGACAGGCAGTTCATATTCACAAGTAAATGTAACAATATATATTTTTTACAACGTGCAGAGAGTATGTTAGATTGTGTATGGTAGTGTATTGTTAAGTGGGAAGCGGTAGTGTAGTGGTTAGCGCGCTGCGCTACGAACCCGGCGCACCCGAGTTCGATTTCCGCTCACAGCCAATACCGGTGACGATTATCCGAACCGGTCCTGGGCCTCCCCTAGGTCGACTCAGCCTTAAAACGAGTACCTGGTGCAACGTGTAAACATCGCTACTGGAGATACAAAGGCGGCCGGGAAGTGGTGCTAGCCACGCACCGATGATGATGTTGATGCATTACTACAGCGCACACACACACAACACACTATAGACTCCACGTGCCGAACACGAGTGTTAACCAAACGTGTGCGATTAGGCGTATGTGCCATAACATAAGTGTATACAGCATGCTATTACACAGCTCGTCATGCTTATACACGGGCTGAACACGTCTGTTACACACGTGTACGCTGAACTAGTAGTACAGTACACGTGCGGTGCTTACTACACCACTCTCTCAAACACGCGTGTGATCCATCGCTCGCCACGCAACTCGTATCCCATGAGCCGACAAACATAAACACGCGCACGTGGTCCTGTATTGACACGCAGAGATATTGCAGAGCCGTGGATCTCGGCGTTACAACTCTTACAGCTTCCCCGGCGCACACACAGCCCCCCCCCCCAGTCCTTACCGACAGAGGGGAATCCCAGCACGGCGATCTTGCGGAACTTGGGCGGGATCGGAGGCTTCTCGTACTTCTTTTCTTCCTGCTTCTCCTCCTGCTGCTGCTGCATCATTCCTGGTTTCTGCTCCTTCGGCTTCTGGTCTTGCGGCATAGCCGCTGCACTGGAGCAGCAAGCCTGAGCCGCGGTTCCCGCAGTCGCGTCCATGATTGCGATGGATTTCAGTGTTTGTGTTTTAAAAAGAGAGATAAATTAGGCGGCAGCAGCAGCAGCAGCAGAACTGAAACGGGCAACGCGAGGCAACGGTTTCACCCCCCACGTGGCTGGGAACGGCAGCGCGCAAATGGGTGCTCTGTGCTTTCTGCGGTTGCTGCTGCTCGCGTGAATGAAACAAAAGAATCCGCCGGAGAGGCAGAAGAGGAGGAGGAGGCAGAGGAGGAGTAACGGGAGAGGAGCTGCGTCTCAGGGCGCGGCGAGACGCGAGTGAAGAAGAGCCCCGCGTGAGCTCGCCGCGAACATGGCCGCATTCCCCACCTCCACACGCGCCGCGACGCTTTACGGCACAGCGTGCTTTGTGTACAAAACTGTCGTAAAGATAATTGGTCGGTGGTGTGTGAGATTTTTTTTTTAAGACGTTTTTTTTCGTCGTACACATTCACCGCGGTCTGTTATGTATTTTGAGTAATGTTTCGCGTGCTCATCGACGTTTATATTTTTCGAAGGAAGAAAGTTAATTGTTTTGGTTTGGACGTGCCGTAAAGGTTAGACGCTTTACGACATTCCGAGAATTCCTGCGACTGGGGCCCGCCCTCGGCGGTGACGTAATTTTCGCGCGGTGAGGTCGAGATTTATTTTGATCACGTGGCAGCCTCGGTAGCCAATAGCCGGCCGTCGTTTGTAGGCCGCGCCCATGCCCATATATGGGTCGTGGCTGCATCGCGCGTCCGATTGGCTGCCGCCGATTTGGACTGATCCAAGATGGTAAAATATGTAGGGGGGGAACAGCTGAATTTGTACATTCTGTTAAAACGAATTCTTTCAAAGTATTCCACTTGAATCGACAATGGTTTGTCCCAAAGGTGGGAGTAGAAATGGTGGGGGGGGGCAGCGGGCAGTCCCCGCCTGGGTGTGATCGATTCAAAACAAAATCTAATCAAGAATGTATAGAATTGATTCTCAAATCGTAATTTAAATATATCTAGAGTTAACAACTGTATAGTATATTCATTTGCAATGCACAATATGGACTCGCATCGAAATAATTATTTGTGTGTGCATTTAAAAACAAACGTACACCGGAGACAGTGACTTTAACATTTCGATTCAGATCATTAGCAATTCACAGATTATCGGAATCGACAACAATTTATGATAAAAATAAAAAATAAAAATAATAATAATATTAATAATTTTTTTCTATTATTTTATAATATTATTTCTGTTATTATTTCAATTTGTATTATTTATTTTCACCTACTTGACTTTACCGAAAAAACCTAAGTGTATGAATCCTTGCAGTCACGAAAGCTTCAAATCTAGAATTATGTTGAATTTCTTTCGCACCGTACTTTCAACTATTTAGATTATTGTGCTGCTGTGAATGACCAAATGATGGGCCACTTTGTGGCCAGGCCGCTTTTGAAAATAAGTTAATACCTCAAGTGGGCTTTGTCTGGTAGGATTGGGGATGGTTTAGTTGGATTTTTATGGGTTTTGGGTGATTTGTTTAACTTTGGCGAATTGCCCGATGATGCTGGATGCAATTACCAGCGAAACGTCGTACTCAAATTGTAAATGTTGTGGTTTCACGCTTCAACACACCGGTGGGCTAAAGCAGTGACACTTTTTTACTGATTGGCCGTGTCGGGTGGTGGAGGGTTACGACACATTTATAAATAACGCGATCTAAACCCAAAAACGTTGATTATGAATTGTTTAACTTTCTTGTACTTTGCACTCCTATGCTGTTTTATGTATTGTTGTAACGTGCTAAAATAAGAGCTGTGTGGCTCATCGGATTTATCCAGTATAAATACATATTCTGATTCAACCACGCTAATTTTAGGTTAGCGGTTCTAAATAAATTAGTTTTCAAGGCATCACCAAATCTCTGGTGGTGGCAAGTGGTGGTTTTTATTAAACGCTTTTATTTAACTCTGTTGTTATATCCTCAAATCTTGTAACTCAATTTTAACCCACTTCCCAATGTGGTATCGACTGCAAACTTGGTTTACTGATGTCTTACTGATGACAATGCTATATTCTATCATAAAAAGTAAAAAAACATATTTAAAAACAATCTTAGTTATATGTTATGTTTCGGCTTGGGACTAATTGTCCATGGTAAACTGACGTTGGCTGTAATTGCCCACATCCCCTTACGTTATGGCAAGCCTCGGGGCCACTTCCAGGAGTCGTGGAGTTCTTCCATTAATAGCACGGTACATTTAATTAAAGCGTGTTTTAAAACGTTTCTTTAAATATTACTTTTACGGTTTTGTCATTCGCAAGATGATGCCATTGCTTGCCGGCGTCATAGTCCAAAATGTAACATTTCAACCAAAATGACACCGCCAATCACTCTCAATCGAGGATTACGCATAAGCAAATCCCCACACATGCCGACTGCGAAAACTTGGCAGGACCCAACTCAAAGAACACTCTTGAGACTCGGGAGACGCTCTCTCGTGGGTGACAACAAGCGTAATAACGCTACCAATTAGAAGACAAGATAAAAACGACCATTGGAACCTCCTTTGCCAGTAGCAAAATGTGATAATTGTTTTTTTTGCCCTTTTATCTGGCAACAAAACTGACACCTTTTTTACAAGGAGTAATGTTTGCAGTCGGAATGTAAACAAACAAAAAACACAACTCTGATCATGTATGCACTGTCCTTGAAATTGATTGGTCCACACCCGAGACAACTTTCCTTAGAGCCTAGTCTCACATGGTGTTGGACCAGATGATGCCAAAAGGCGCACAATTATCATATTTTTCTACTGGCAAATGAGGTTCCAACGGTGTAAATGCTTAACCCGAGCTCTCATACTCTGATGGTGCATTGTCTTTGAGTTGTGCGCCTTTTGGCGTCATCTGGTCCAACACCATGTGAGACTAGGCTCTAAGGAAAGCTGTCTCAGGTATGGACCAATCAACTTCAGGGACAGTGCATACATTATCAGAGTTATGTTTTTGTTTGCATTACGACTGCAGGTATTGTGGTCAATGCAAACATGACTCCTTGTAAAAAAAAAGTGTCAGTTTTGTTGCCAGATAAAATGGTAAAAAAAACAATCATCATATTTTTCTACTACCAATTGAGGTTCCAATGGTGTAAGTTCAGTTTCATCCACGACCACCTCCGATTCCGAATTCAATAGAATCGACGTGCGCGGTAACTGGAATCGCGATTCCGGGAATCGAGAGTCGCCGCCATTTCGCCGACGCCCGGAAGTGTGAGCGCAGGTCTGGTCCCGGTGCGTGTGGCGCTGCCTCCTTCCTTGCTGCTCATCCTCGCCTCGCTCTCTCTCTCTCGCTCGCGTCCACCCACGCCTCACCCTCGTCCACTTTGCTCCACCTTCACAGCAACTCCACCTTTTGCCCGCGATGCAATCAATTGCGTGGCTGTTGTAAAATTCGCTGCCTTCATATATGCGCGTGTCCTGTGCTTTTGCCGCTGTTGTTGCTGCTGTTGCTGCTGCTGCCACCGCCGCCGCTGTTTTAGGACGAAGCTGACATGGCTGGGCGTCTGCCCGCTTGTGTGGTCGACTGCGGCACGGGGTGAGTGGCCGACCGGTGTGACGCGAGGGTGACTGGGTCGCACATGCGGGTTGTGTGGGTGTGGGATTGGGCGACCAGGTCGGTCGCCGTAGTGAAAGGGCGTGAGTGGTTTTACTCGGGGTGGGTGCTTCAGTGAATGGGTGCGTTGGTGGTTGACTCCGTGGGTGATTGTTTCTATGGGTGGGTGAGTGATTGTGTGTTGGTGAGCGACTGGGTGTGTGAGTGGTAGTCGGTGACCGGGTGGGTGACTTCGAATGTGGCTATTTGGGCGTGTAGATGTCTGACAGATAGGTGGTTGAGTGTGTGAACGGGTGAGTTGGTGGCTCCGTGAGTGGGGTGTGTAGCTGTGTGAATAGGTTGGTTACTCGAGTGGGTTGCACAGTGAATGTCTAGTTGGTCATGGTTGCATGGTAACTTGGTGGCTGGATGAATGTGCAGCTGCCAGGTGAATAATTGGGTGCCGAGTGGGTGCTTGGGTGGTCAGGGTGATGGGCAGTGCCAGTTGATTGACAGGGTGGAAGATTGGCTGGGTGGGTGTGTCGTTGGTGAGGTTGCCGAGTGAATGACTGGCTGGGTGGCTTGACAGGTGCCTAAATGCGTGGTGAAATGGGTGGCTGAGTAGACTGCTGGATATGTAGAGCCAGGTGGCTGGGTGTGTGGTCAAGTGGGTGACATGATGATGGGTGGGTGAGAGTGTGGGTGGGTGAGAGTGGGTGGGTGAGAGTGGGTGGGTGAGAGCGTGTGGGTGGGTGAGAGTGTGTGTGGGTGGGTGAGAGTGTGTGTGGGTGGGTGAGAGTGTGTGTGGGTGGGTGAGAGTGTGTGTGGGTGGGTGGGTGAGAGTGTGTGTGGGTGGATGAGAGTGTGGGTGGGTGAGTGAGAGTGTGTGTGGGTGGGTGAGAGTGTGTGTGGGTGTGTGTGGGTGGGTGAGAGTGTGTGTGGGTGGGTGGGTGAGAGTGTGTGTGTGTGGGTGGGTGAGAGTGTGTGTGGGTGGGTGGGTGAGAGTGTGTGTGGGTGGGTGGGTGAGAGTGTGTGTGGGTGGATGAGAGTGTGGGTGGGTGAGTGAGAGTGTGTGTGTGTGGGTGAGTGTGTGGGTGGGTCAAAGTGGGTGGGTGGGTCAGAGTGTGTGTGGGTGGGTGGGTAAGAGTGTGTGTGGGTGGGTGGGTGAGAGTGTGTGTGGGTGGGTGAGAGTGTGTGTGGGTGGGTGAGAGTGTGTGTGTGTGGGTGGGTGAGAGTGTGTGTGGGTGGGTGGGTGAGAGTGTGTGTGGGTGGGTGGGTGAGAGTGTGTGTGGGTGGGTGGGTGAGAGTGTGTGTGGGTGGGTGGGTGAGAGTGTGTGTGGGTGGGTGAGAGTGTGTGTGGGTGGGTGAGAGTGTGGGTGGGTGAGAGTGTGGGTGGGTGAGAGTGTGGGTGGTCAGGTGGGTGATCGGGTAAAGTTTTTTTTATGTTTCGAGTATTTTTTTTATGGGTGACGAGGAACTGGGTGGGTCGCAGTGTCAGTAAGGAGTCCACAGGACTTGTGTGTGCATTTTAGTGTGGGAGGGGTATGTGCTGATGTGTGCTCAGTGCAAGGAAACGCTATCTGGACGCAATTACCATGAGTATGGTAACGTAGGGTAATAGTTTATATGGGTTTGTAAATGTGAATTACGTTTTATTTATATCTTTGAGTTGTGTAAATGTCGAGAGTGGTTGCATACGAGCGAGAAAGAGTTTGTTGTTATATCTGCGTGTCTATTTTTAAGTTTGTGAATGTATGTAATGTCTGTAATGTGTGTGAGTGGTGAAGTAACCTAGTTATCTCATGCTTCAACATTTACAAAAAATTTTGATGACCAGAAATGTTCCCGTTTGCTGATAAATGAACACTAAAGACTGACATTGCTTATGAGAGAATGTCATTTCGAACCAGTGTCTTTGATGAGATTGGATAATTGCTGTCAAATACATTTGGTGATGTAAATACCAACAGTTTCTCCCTTGGGTGTTATAAAGTTTTGCTGGCACAAACATGTACCACAGTATATTTTGACTTGTTAAATCATATGCACGTTTCTTTAATAACCCATCTTGTTTCAGTCATTATTGCAAATAAATAAAAATAAATAAATACACCATAATTAACACTTCCTTAAAGCAGAAAAATATATAGTAGGCTAGCAATCTGGATTATGGCTGTTCCTAACATTTAAACGCAGGCAGACACGCCCTGGCATCAGGTAACCCGGTGCTGCAATGGCAATTGGGCGAGCACTCGGCTGTGAGACTGTAGGAGTTTTAATTGACTTCAGGGTGTGTTGAATTGCCAAAGCAAACACTCTTTATCAGTCTGCCTTCATCTCCTCCACCTCTCTCATCACATCCCTCCCCGAGGCATTCTTATGAAACAGTGTTAACCCAGCAGAAGTTGCAAGCATAGTTAATGCCTCTTATTTTTTTCCAGGAAGGGCTCAATCGGTTTTAATACTTTTTTTAGGAGGGTCCTGCATTTGGATGTTTGGCCAATTATATTAATTAGCGTTTGGCATGTGGGAGGAAAACGAAGAACCCTGAGAAAACCCACCGTGAGTGCAAGGAGGGTAACATCTGCACGCATTCATTCCATTGCTGTACAGTACTTTAATGACATGGCCCACCATACAGCCCACGCCTGCAACACTTGGCATTCCCAGACAGTCACCCAGTCCAAGTGACAACCAGCTTTAATACTGCTGAGCTTACGAGATCTAATTATTGAACGGATTTGGGCGATTTGGTTATAATAGGCTTCCTTCAGCAAGCATCATCTTCAGGTGCCCTTGGCATAAAGCGCTCTGGATCCCCATGGCTTCTACTCCTGCTCAAAGCCTCTAGGTGGGCAGGTTCCACATTCTTTCTTGCCAGCTAGGTGTGTCCAGGGCGAAGGAATGTGAGGTGTGTTTAGACTGAAGTATTCCCGCAATATCCAGCCAGTTTGTGCGTGCGTTTAGCTATGTGTGCGGAGAAATGTGGCTTAGTGGTTACCGCCCTCCCCAGCAACCTGAGTTTGATTCCCGAACACAGCTAAATATGAGTGGCGAGTCATACCTGAACGAGTCCTGGGCCTCCCCTAGCCTTAAACGAGTACACGCTGTGATGTATAAACATCAGCAATGTGGAGACGAACACGGCCGGGCGTGGTAATGGCCACACCACCCTCGAGTGCAGTGGTTCTTGACCTTTACTGCTGCCTGCACCCCTTCGCTTCTCAGAAAGGTCATCTCACACCCGCAGAGGGTGCATGCACCAGAGCTCGCAAACGGGTTTTGATTCCTTACCCGTACCTGGCCGCACCAGGGTCGCAAATGGGTACCCGTACCCGTACCCGGCCGGGTACAGGTAGCCATATCCTACCCATACCCGTACCCGAAATGAGTGACAAACGGTGACTCACCAGTGACTCACGGCCTACCCGTACCCGGCCGCACTAGGGTCGCTAACGGCTACCCGTACCCGGCGGGGTACGGGTAGCCGGGTATCGGGTAGGGTACGGGTATCGGGTACCCGATTGCGACCTCTGGCGTGCACCCCAGGTTAAGAACCACACTGCTCTCGTGCATCGTGCCAGCCTTAATAAGTGGTCGCCAACAGCATTTGCGTCAACTGTCTTTGAAGGCTATAAATATGGATCGTTGGTTGTGTCTGTGTGCGCGACCTGTGTGTTGTGCTGGCACACCCTTACACCTGAAGTGGCTAAAGGTTTCTCATTTCATTTTGGTGGGCACTACGCACACAGTCACGCCACATCATTGGTAGCATGCGCAGATGTACTGATTGAAATTAATTCTGATGCTCCTGCCATACGCATCAAACTGAGTGTGGGAAGCAATTATTTTACCTTTCCTGCAAATTATGATTCGCGAATGTTAACGTTCAGGCGAATGGAGCGAACAAAACTGGACTAACAAGTTCAAACAAACAAGTTGGTATCACGATACCAAAATAACTGTTTGTAAACTCCGAATCATCACAATTGTATATCTGATAATTATATACGTATGTGTGTTGGTGTATGCACAATCTTGTCCACTGTATGTAGTATTTACTACTATAATGAGCCAAGAATGTCTGTGTGTCCCGTACGTGACGTCACTCCACGTCGACCAGCCCCCCTCATTAATAATCATGAACAGGTGACGTCCTAAATTTTTGACTTTCTATCTACGTGGCTTTAACGAAAGAACCATCAAATAGGTTACGTCCTCCACATGGACCCCCCCTCCCCCTCATTAATAATCCTGAGTGGGTGACGTCACTCTGCATGGAGACCCTCCCTCATTAATAATCATGAGCAGGTGACGTCCTCCACATGGACAGCCCCCTCCGTTAATAATAATTAGCGGGTGACGTCACTCCACATGGGGGGGCGAGGCGCCTCCTCCCCCCTCCTCGGCGTCAACTTACAACCCTCACGACAAAGGCAGAACCCTCACGTCACGCGATCTCCGTCACGCTGTTGAGACATCGAAGTAAAAAGGACGTCGTGATGAACAAGGGATTATAACCTTAAAATGAAATAAGTCTGTGTCACAAATTGCACACGAATTGATGCAATGGCTATCACGTGGCGGTCTGCATTTTGCTTGCAAGTTTCAGATTTACTGCAATACACCCGTCCTTGGACGGGCAAAAGGCTCGTTTGTAATAATGTGTCACCGCGTTTACTTTTTTGCACCTACTGTCCACTCAAGACAACCGTTGACGTGACCTTTGTAGGAAACTGTAATGTCTCTCCGTGAAGTGGATGTTATCTTGGCCGCTTGGGCAAATGTTTACATACGGACTGTACACATTAGTTGTGTAATGATTTGCCCTACTCCTCGACACAGTGCAATTCCATTGAAGAATCAAATATCGTATTTCCCTGCTGGTGGTGCATGTTGCACCTTTGGTGGCTGCAGAGTTTGCAGGGAGCAGTTGCATGAAAATATGCATTAACATTACATGGTCGTTTACATCCCTTTGTCAATGCACTGCTGGATGAAGACCTCCTTGTGCCATGTCAGCCATGTGGGATGTTTGACCATACTACGCCACACTGGTCAGTCTCGATTGGTGAATGGAGGGGTACCAGTTCAGTTATCACCCACCGTTGATGTTTGCTGAGTCCAGGAATCAAACTAAGCTGTCTGGGTTCGTAGCACAGTGAGCCATCCACTGCGCCATCTATCCCGCCTTGTAAAACATAAAGGAATTGAAAATAATTAATTCTTGAATGCCCAATTCGAGGCATCCATCCCAAGTGTAAGAATAAATTTTTTATTGATGTATCATTCACATGCTTAACACACACGTGACCTTATAACCATCGACACCAACTTCATCTAACATTGTCAATATACAATCGGCAGTAATGAGAATAAGGGCCATACTCTAATAGTATGGCCCGTATTCTGGCCCTTATTAAGCTGGCCCATAGTAATAAGGGCCAGTTTTCACTGAGCAGCATACTGTGCATCTCAGCCAATGGACCATCCTCACCTTCAGAATCATGTTACCTGGCAGCTCGTGATAAAGCCGAGCACTAACTCGTGCCTCTCTGTGCCAACAACTCCTGTCCCATTGCATGGCTGCTTTGGGTTAAAAGGATGTCGTCATCTCATAGAATCATGTTAAATTTGCTTTAAAAATGTAAAAAAAAGCTATCTGTAAGTTATTCATGGATTATTAGTCACTTTTCAGACCATACCATTGTTTTTGTGGCCAATTTACAGCCCTTCTTTCAACTCACTGCTGTTTAAGTGTGGTGGGGAAGCAGGACTACATATCAGTCGTCACTCACGTTAGTCATGGCTGGGCTCACAGTGCAGTTGTGCTAACCACTGTGGCATCGCTTTACCTATTTTTGAGCCATTACCCCCACTTTAATTTGTATCTTGACTTTCATTTGTATTATAGGTTGTACTTCATTGTTGTTTGAATTGCTTTTATTGCGAATAGTTTTTTTTTCTCCCGATACTATTCCGTATTTACCCAGGTCTCTTAAAAAACTGGGCTATTACAACCTGCTTGTAGATAAAGTTCACTTATGGCTGTATGACACGCCTGTCGCTGACACACTTGAGGACTTTTGTGCTGAACAGTTCCATGAACTTGTCACCCAACCGCACACTGTATCTGTAGCCCCAGTATGTATTTCCTGTATAGGGGCTTCAGATTTAGAAAACTTAAGGCAACCCTGCTTGGCAGATTAAAATTTGAGATTATGAAGGAACTCATGAGTACAGTTCTGGTACAGTACTCCATGCACAATTATACTCGACATGTATGGGGTAATGCTTGGGTAGGTTTGTATTTTTAAAAATATATATTGTGATTTTACGCTGCAATTTGACTTCTTTTGTAAACTATACTTTTTAACACTAGCTAAATATTTTATGACATTTTCCGGCTGTTGATTTCCATTGCCGTGCATTAAAATAAATACCAGCCCCCGTCCTGCTGTGCCTGGGTTAGGTGTACTCAATACACCTACATTTTTAATTACTGATAATTGCCAAAGCAGTTCACGTTCACCGAAATGGCCATATTTTTGTGGTCCCCCTGCCGTCTTTGTCTTTCTAACGGTACAGTGTTTTGTTGTATACAAGCATTGTAATTGTTTGAAGTCGGCTACCAACTTAGGTTGAGCCGGTGAATCTTTACAGCATTCACCAGACTCCACAGGATCTAATCCCAGTTATGGGCATTTGATTCTGTGCACAATCAGAGGTGCGTTACCATTCCTCTTGGCCATGTCAACACTGTGTCTGCAAAACCACTTGTCGGCACAGCTGGGTACAGCTGCGTAGGGTGCGTGGCATGGAGAGCTCATGACTCAGCCAGCCCAGCTGCCACCACCAAACGTTCCATCTTGCTCAGTCTCCCTCCATGGCCCACCGGGAGGGAATTGCATGCCGTTGACTTCAGGGAACTCAATTCTGCTGGGAAAATTGGTGAAACTGCGGGAAGCTGCTGGGAATTTGTCAACTCCACTGAGGAGCATTGGTTATGCGGGACAGGAAAATGATTGTCCTTATTTGCCTGAGGCTGTTGGTTGGGGGGGGGGGGGGGGGACCCACTCTGCAGATATTTAACACGGATCACATAATGAGGAAGCTGAAGGCATGTTGAAATTTGGCCTGGAAGTTCCACACTGTGCGGTTATGTAGCTGCAGGTTCTCCTTGTGTCTTCCGAGTTTGTGTGGCTAACATTATACACGCAGCTTTGCGAACAGCGCGGGAAATGAAAGTGTTCTGCCAACATCGCATGCAAATGCTATACTCTTATTAAATGAAAAAAAATGTCAGACATAACAAAGCTTGAGACTGTCTGCTGCTGTGAAACAAGAAGCCCTTGTCTTCCCTTTCCCTGTGCTTATAACGTTACAACTTAAGTGTAATCCAAACACACGTACTATATTTGTATTGTTCAGTTATATTTTACCATTTTGTGTTGTATACAGGCGTGTCACATTTAAAGGGTGAAACTCTAGTCAATTGATGTTTTTTTATTGACACCGATTCCCATGATGGCGTGAGATACGGTTGTGTTTAGACTGTATGCATTTAAATTGAATTGTGAATTGTGTTGTACTGTGAGAAATCCTAAGAATTTTGAGGAATACGTTCGTGACGTGCTGTGTTTTAATATGCACTCTTGTGTTTCAGGTACACAAAACTGGGTTATGCCGGCAACACGGAGCCACAGTTTATCATCCCATCATGTGAGAACGTTGGTGTATTTCACATTTACTGCCGTCATATTCAATATTTCAGGAGCCACAATGCAATGTGAATACGACATGGTCCTTAATAGATAACGTCACAAAGCAGTCCTTAAAGAGCCAAAGGTTGCCTACCCCTGCGCATGGTTAACTGGACTTCCATGGTGGACTGGACTTCCCAGGGTAAACTGGACTTCCCAGGGTAAACTGGACTTCCCAGGGTAAACTGGACTTCCATGGTAAAGTGGACTTCCATGGTCAACTGGGCTCCCATGGTAAACTGGGCTTAAAGAACCGCATGCGGCTCCGCAGCCACAGTTTGTTGACCCTAGGTAATGGACACAACACAGTCCTTCGAACATAATTTTTAATTGGACTGAGTGCAAAGCTTCCTGGGAGGATCTGTTCCAAACATGTGGAGAACAGACGGCAAGTGTCGTTCCCTCTGCTCATGAGAGATTTCTTTAAACTTTAAAAGTTAAAAGTTTAGGGAACCAAATGGTTTAGGTCATACTGTGTTTTAACGTCGGGAGACACAAGACATTGTTAGACTGAAAAAAGTTTGGCGATGTGTATATTCATTTGAAATTAGGTTCAAAGGGCTCAATATAATGTAGTAGGCCGTTAATAATTCACATTTCTGTCGGGTTTCAGTATCACGCGTCAAGAATTGATTATTTTTCATCCTATTTTACAGTTTGAATCGTACACCCTAATTTAATGCACACATCATGCATGTAGGCAAATTGTCACATGCCTGTAGATTGGGAGTCATGCAGTTGACACCTGAGTAAGATGCATTTTCTAACCAGAGCTTCCTCTAATATGAGCACTGTCGCAAACTCACATCTCGGCACATGCTGGGTGTTCTCATCATGAATGCTGTCTGTTCTTGTCGGGTCTCAAGCTCAGCAGGGGTGAGTCCGATTAGTCCTTAGATGGGAGATTGTCTGGGAATACTGGGTGTTATCGGCTTGAGTTGTGAGGAGGCCAGGAGATGGCAGTACTACAATTTAAAAAAAATATATATCTCTGCGGAGTGCTGATGTGGAGATGGCCTAAGACAGGAAGAAGTGGAGGAGGAGGACCAGGAAGATAAATGCCCTAAGTGAGCGAGGAAAAAGTGAAGAAGAAGATGATACTACGTGTGTGTGTGTGCATCTATGTGCAGGCATTGCCATCAAGGAGTCGGCAAAGGTGGGCGACCAGTCCCAGAGGAGGGTGATGAAGGGTGTGGATGACCTGGACTTCTTCATCGGAGACGAGGCCATCGAGAAGCCGAACTACGCCACCAAGGCACGCACGCCCGTCCAGCAGATTTTACATACACACTCGCTCGTTTTTTATTACTGGAGTTCACTGGCTTCTTGGTTTTTGTGCATTAACACTGAACAATAAGGGTTATAAACATGTCTTATTGTAGCCCTATGAGCCTTATTCATTAACATTGAACCCTAAGGATCCTGAAGGTATATTAGTGTTGCCTTATTAGGTTTGGACCTTTTAGCCAAACCATAACAATCCTGAGGGCACCGTATTGTGGTTCCATGGTCCTTGGGTGTTAATACTGAACCATGTGATTCCTAAAGTGGAATAGTCTGGTAGTCTGGCTCTGTGTTATTGACTGTCTATGAATGTACTGTGCCTGATAATTTTACCACCTCGTTATTGGAGTGTACATACGTAGGAGACGTTTCTGAAAATGTAATATTATCTACCGTCTAATATCTACCGGATGTTGACATCTCGTGAGTGCTTGACTTACGGGTGACCGACGTAACTTATTACTCATTGAGATATAAGCAGTGTATGTCACTACTAATATTATATTATTATTATATTATCACTACTACTGTTAGGTGTGATGCATATATCTTTCCATATGTAACAATATTAACATTCAAGTCAAGACACGTGTTGTCATTGTACGCAAACGAGTGTGTGCTTGGCATTAGTCTTGAATTATATATTGTTTAAACTAAAGCTATACCTGCTGACTTAAGTGTGCAAGCTACTTAAGCCCAGTTAAAGTGGATATTGACTTAAATAGTTGTCAGAAGTCAGAATGTATTCAAGCGATCTTTTTAAAATGCAATCACATATGCAACTATTTAAAAAAAAAACATTTAAACATGACTCCATTTCTTGGAATATATGTGGGGCCATTTGAGTTCAGTTGAGACTTGCATAAACACTTCTGGAAAACTGGCAGCCGGTACTATGTGGGCAGTTTTACGAAGTCGACACTTCTGCAGCCAGAGAAGGAATGTTAAATGTGTCTTTCCTTCGTCTGGCTCTCTGTTATGACCATTCTCAGATGTTGCATGTGGAAAACCATCTCATATTTAAGGAGCACATAATCACTCACCTCCCTGTTACTTTTTTTTATAGTTATCTACCACAATCATTGTTCCCACGGACTGCACAACTTGATACGTTCGCCATTATCAAGGACCCAAGGACCTTTTCTACCAGATGAACTGTCATCACATCCATACTGCATTCAGTGATTGCACTGTAGACTATAATAATTTTCTTTCTTCATTCACTTGACTTTTGAACTGCTCCACTTTGTAACTCTCCCAAATTTTCTATTCCCGAATTCCTATAACGTCTTTCACCTTGAAAAACATGTTTATTCTTATCTGCTGTACTCGCAATACTGCCGTCTCTTGCTAGCTACATTGCTGTTCCAGGGCTTTTGGTCGATGTTGAACAGCTTTGATTAAAAACAACACTGAATGCGTTTGTCTGTTTATAACAGTGGCCCATCCGACATGGCATGGTCGAGGACTGGGACCTGATGGAGAGGTTTATGGAGCAGATCATCTTCAAGTACCTCCGAGCCGAGCCTGAGGACCACTACTTCCTCCTGGTGAGGGGTTCGGGATGACTGCCGAATCGCACTCTCACTCCTGCGGCCGACAATTTATACACACAGATTTTTTAAATAGTGCTAGCACGGGTTTATTTATGTAAACTGTTCCTGTAAGAAAATGCCAAGCTGCTCAATGCTGTATATTTCCTGTATTGAATTTTTATTTCTATTTAGCCAGATTTCAAGTTTGGTAAACACGGAACTATTTAATACTAAACCATTTGCTGTGTTCACAAATGTCAGCGCTTTTATCAACATCCCAAAAACACACATTCTTAGCTTGTTTTCAGTTGAGGACTCGGCTTCAGTTTTTGTTCCAGCAATTGCTTTGTTTTGCAGGCCACATGACAGGGCAAGACAATGACCTGTTTACGCAACTTGTTTTCTTTTCTTCTGAAAAGAAACAAAGCAAATTTGCAAGATTTAATCTTTAATCTGGACATTCCCTGGTCAGCACACTTTACCACAGATGAGTCATACTTATCTCCTCAGCAACATGTTTGGACCCACACAAAGAGGGTTTTCTGCGTGGAATTGTGTGTTTAAAAAAAAAAATTACAACTCCTAAATTTTTTTATTTATTTAGAAAATGTCACTTCTGCACAGTGACTGCATAAGGGCGTTTCCCAGCGCAAGCAGGCCACAGCTAGTCAACGTGGGCAGGTTGAGGCCTGCTGCAATTCTGTAACTTCAACCTCCTGGCCTGAAGGCTTACCCAACGATATTTCTCGTGGAAACAGTGCCCCTGGGTTGCCGGCAATGTTGTCTTGCCGTTAATCGAGGCGTTGGTATTTACAGCTGCCTGCCCATAGCCCGTTTGCGAGCGTGAGCTTGCGTCGCCCCAAACTTGTTTTCAGCACCTGCTGCTTCTCGCTGCGTCCCCCCCCCCCAAACCCATGGACACCGCCCCTGCAAAGCCCTTACTTACAATGGGTATCGTAAAATTCCTCCTTTTGTTTTGGTGTCCTGTATTTTGTAAACAAATGCTTAACGTGCCCTATGATTACAAATGTTAAATAGGTTGTAATATTTATGTTTTTTCTTTTGTTTTGTCAAGCATGCTGCACTGTTATTTATTGCACTCCTCGATGGTGAAAATAGGTGTCACGGGTACCAATTTGCATTCAACATGACAGAATATAACCACGAGTCTAATTCATTAATATATGCATCTTTTCACGACTACCAGGAGTGTGATTATGTCGAAAAGTGAAACGAATCATCGTGGAAGGTTCACAAATTTGCTATTTTTTTGCCCTGACACCTGTACCCAACAGGCGACCTACTATTAGGAATAATGATATCATGGGTTTTTTTTGCACCTTTACAGCACATGAGTGCTTTGGTAATTCCCCAGAGAAATCATGGGGTGACTGCAGGAACTATGTTATCGACTCTGTTCAAAGTGACTCATGGGCGTATGTGTTAGTTAACAGCATAGCCATCTCTCACATGTGTACATACAATTAAAGAATAATCAAATAGTGGACGAGGGTGTTATTCACTATGTAAAAATCTGATAACATTTTGACCCATTGGGGCATAATATTCTAGGCCAATGTTTTCCAGCAGCAGCATTTGTTTAAGTAGGCAAACTGGTCCGTATTTCCTGTCCAAGTCTCAATGCTTTTGCCGTTATGACTAATTACCCATAAGTTGTCACAACACCATAACGAATATTGCACAATTGCAGACTCTACCGTATATTTAATGAAAGCAATTTGAACTACTTAAATCCACATGTACAGTCAAACAGGATAGAAACAAGGTGTTAGTGACGCACGATGTCAAAAGTCGACACGCTTCCACCTTTGTTCACGTAGCGCAGATTAATCTTCTCTCTTCTCAAGTCACTATTGGCAGAAATCACGATTCTTCCTAGAGCCCATAGTTTACAGAGAGTATTATAATTGGTGTATTTTTGCCCTTAGCCACTGCCAAACTGTCCACACAGTGTTTAGGGAGGGCTTGCTCATTAAAAGCACCCGAGGCACAGAACAGTAATAGGCTGTGATGGTCATACTGTTATACTATACTGATGGCTCCTAACAAAAATTGAATTTTTATTTAATTATCTCATTGTCCTGCTGCGGTCTAAAATAATGGCCTAAATTTTTACTCTTGAGTTGGTATGCATTATACACGTGATAAGGTGATGTCACTTGACATGCAAAGCATGATGATAGGAACGATCCAATGCTCAACGTGGCGCCTAGAAGCCGCCTTTTGTGTGTGTATTACTGTACTCGTATTGCATCCTGCATACACTTCTCCGTTGCAGCCCGTGCGCGCAGAGAGAATTATAACTGGTTCACTGTCGGTTTGTTCTGAGAGGGCGGTGGTGGTTGGCATCTGCTACACTGAGGCAGGAGGTAGCAGGGTAGGACCGGTTAAACTGCAGCGCCAGCAGACGACGTCCACCTGTGCCATAGTTTGGGGTGTGTCGCTTAGCCGCCGGGGGCTGGCACGCTGGCCCAGTGCGGTTTCGTAACTGTGCCGAACCAGCGGTGGCAGGGCCGACGCAGGAAGGCAGAAAACCACACACGATGCCGTTTCTGTAAAGGCCCCAGATTAACAGAGCTTCCCCCTGCCAGGATCGGTAATTTCCACTATTTGCCATTTCCTTATGAATTCCCGTAAAAAAAATGTTTAATTTGCCTTATGTAGTGCACATTTATGTACCGCGTGTATTTCTACAATGCCCTGTTGCCCTGTCTTATCAGTAACATGCAATTTAGTGGAAATAAAAGTCACGTTCTATTAATTCATTTAATTGCATGTTAATGTAAAACACAAATGAAGATGATAGGTCGCTGGTCCAAATCTCACACCATCATGGCATTTAGAGCTTTAATTTTATGCTATTGGCGAGAGGATCAGTGTATAAACCAAAACATTGATTAAAATTGATTTTAACGCTTGAGATGCGTAAATAAAATGTCGCTTGTAAAAATGTAATAAGAGGGTTTTTTTGTTAGAGCGCGTATATTTATATATATATAAATGTGTCATTAAAACCAGCCACCACCCAACGCAGCCAACTAGTAAGGGTTGTCACGTCAACAGAACATGTCAATTCGTCACTAGTACAGCACACCGGTGTGTTGGAGAGACATTTTTGTTGCCATGACATCTGCAGCCACCAGAGGCGCTACATTCCTTCTAGAGGATAACGTCGACCGAACGTGGTGGTGATGTTTCTGCTATGCGCAGTTTGTACACTCATTGTGATGAGAAGCACTGATTATATTATGCTTCTCGGAAGGGTGAGGTATCTGTATCTGCCATTATATTAAGTGGCTCACGTTCGATTCTCAGCCTCAACTAACAGCAATGGCAAGAACCGAAGTAACTCACTCCTTCCAAGAACTCGCCACCTTATTCTGACCTGCGTGGTGAAGTATGGTCAAATAACCTCCATGTCTGACATGGTGTGCGAAGGCCTTGATCCAGCAGTTAATTCATAAAGGTCTGTTAATAATATTATTATCATTGAAAAAATAAGTTACCAAGGCATAAAATGACAGTTGAGATCCCCTATGCAGTGATAGCGGAATCAGTTTGTGTTCATATGTAAAGAAAAATTACCCTTAATTACCACGAACTGATGTGTAATTTCATGTCACGGTTAATTATGCATGGTTGCCTGTGTAATACAGACGGAGCCACCACTCAACACCCCAGAGAACAGAGAGTACACGGCAGAGATCATGTTCGAGTCCTTCAACGTGCCGGGCCTCTACATTGCCGTGCAGGTAAGTGTCCCTCTGCTGCACCTCCGATTAGCACGTTTGGCTATGTACAGTGCGGAAGAAGTTAAACATACATACAAGCAGACGCGACAGGAGTGTCATCTTCCTGTTCATTTGCTTTAATTTCCGCTCCCCACAGCTGCTCAACTGCAATCCTGACACAACGACCCCTCTGAGACGCCACATCGAATTTCTCTGCTTCTGTCTTCTCCCAACACCTTTTTTATTTGGTTTGGACATTAACGTAAATTCAGCCCAATTTTCTCATTCCCTCGGGTATTTTCTTTCTCGCAAGTGGATGGACGTACGAGTGATTGCACGTGTTATCATGTCGGCATTTTGGTAGGCCTTCCCCTTTTATTTTTATCATTGCTATAGCAAATAAATAAAAAATAACTGCAGGAAATAATACAGTTGTTGGTTTAAGGGGAAGTGTTGTGTTTCACTTGATGGAACCAGTGGTCGAGATTAACAATGGAATGGCAGCCAAAGGGATAACACACCCAAGAGGTAATTCACCGCCGAGATGAAGCGATGCAATCGGCTCGTGTGCAGGAGCTGGATGGATTGTTGCCTCTTGAGACGGTGAGGAATGATAATGGTATAGGGAGGCTTTCATCCAGCAGTGGGTAGATCATGGCTGATGACAACATTCGCTGACTGGTATTTTTTTTCTAGGTGTGGTTGTGTGCACGGGTGTGGTTTGCACCAAATGTTGTTGAGTAAATTGGTGCGGCTCTGTTAAGTGTGGCTGTGTGGGTGTGCCATAGTGGGTGGGTACGGCTGCAGTGCATTGTTGTCGTATAGGAAGGAGCCTGTGGGACAATGCGGTATTGCATAGTTCGTTTACGTGGTATGTAACTGTTGGGTGGATGCTGCTTTGCATGATCAAATTCATCTTTCCGAAAGAACTCCAGTCTACCCTTGTCCACCTCTTTATTTCATCATTTAGATACCAGGACCACCTTTAATAACCATCCTAGGCACACATGCTCCTAGGTGCGTCTGTGTCATGATGCGCAACTATGTGAATGGGTTCGGTTGCCCCCTCTTACCTGCCATCCCAACGCGTCGCGTGTTTCAGGCAGTGCTGGCGCTGGCTGCGTCGTGGACGTCAAGGCAAGTGGGCGAGCGCACGCTCACGGGGACTGTGATCGACAGCGGAGACGGCGTCACCCACGTCATCCCCGTCGTGAGTAGCGCCTTGATTGAGCCGCGGGCTCAGTCGGACACAGTCACTCGGCGAAATACATTTTCTTTACAGCAGGAATGGAGAACCTCTGGCTCACAGCCTGGAAACGGCCCGCGAATTATTTTTATTGTGACCCGTGGCCACATGCATCTTAGCTGGCTATGAGAGCGAAATATTTTTAACCTGGCAACAACATATTGTTTCCGATTTTAGTGAACTCAGTCGCCTCTGCCACTGCAATAGGCCTCTTGCGGTAACATCAGTGACTGAGGTATGCATGTGTTATTGTGTGTAGGACCACCAATCAATATTTTGAAATTCTTTTCAGCCCATCCTGTGGCTTGTTTAAAAGCTATTTGGATACCACTAGCTATGAGTGGAAATTGTAAAATGCATAATCAGAAAGACACTAAGTGTATGCATGAGTTTTTAAAATTGTGTTTTTAGTGCCACGTTTGTGTACATACTTTTAGTACACTGCATATAAACACGTGTGCGTGTATATTAATATACAGTATATTCAATCTATACATTTTAACACGTAGGCTTTCGCGACCAGTATTATTCATTGTATTGTGTATTACTTAATAATCTGCTTCCAAGCTGCAATAAGCCTGGAAGCGTGTAATTAAGAAGTACATATTACAATTCCTTATGGAGGAATCACATACCAATTAACTGATTACGAATCTATTATATAATTACAATACCCCCCCCCCACCTCCGCCTCTGATCTCGAAACCTGATGGGGTTCAATGATGATGTCGTCCTGCATTGTTTAAGGCCGGAAGCAGGTGGATGGCTTCACTATTCTGGCAAATGGCCCGAAGATGCTGGATGTAATTTCCAGCAAAACGTCGTCCAACTCAAATTGTAAATGTTGTGGACTCACTCTTCAAGCACACCTGTGGGCTGAAGAAGTAACTAATTGGCGTTTTGTTAACGTGACACATTTCTTACTGATTGGCCGTGTGGGGTGGTGGAGGATTGCGACACATTTATACTTACGCGATCTAACACAGAAACCTTTATTATGAATTAATCTATACATACTTGATATGAATATGGAAGAGTTTTGCATGTAATTAGTTAATGTTTAGGATATTACCCCTTCTTAGAGCTTTTTTTTTATGCCGTGGTCATCCCTAAATTCTCGGGCGGTAGTGAAGTGACGAGAATCTGTGCGCGCGTGGCGAGCCAGGCGGAGGGGTATGTCATCGGGAGCTGCATCAAACACATCCCCATCGCCGGCCGCGACATCACCTACTTCATCCAGCAGCTGCTGCGCGAGCGGGAGGTGGGGATTCCGCCAGAGCAGTCGCTGGAGACCGCCAAGGTCATCAAGGTACTTGGTCTCACGCAGGACGATGCGCACGTGGGGTACGGCATGTGCCACGGAGCAAACCCACCTCTCGTGTTATAAGAATGCGTAACCCAAGAGCACGACCACCGTTATCTCTTTTTAACCTGGGTATGTGACGGTTAAATGTATTTTTATGTTCACGTTGGGGTGTGCCGGTGATGCAATGGTTGGCACACTGAGCTATGCACCTGGTGACCCGAGTTTAAATTCCGGACATGGTTAAACTTCAACCGTTCCTGGTTCTCCCACTTCATTCACCAACCGGCACTGACCAGCGTGGTGAAGTATGGCATGTTACATTCACCATCGTGGCGTGAAAAGACGTTCATCTAGCAGTGGATTTACAGAGCTGTGAATTCTATACTGTTGATATATCATCCATTGAACCGTTTATTTAAGAATTGGTCATATTCAATTTGTTTAAATTGTGTGCAAATTTATCCTTTAAGAAAATATTCTGAACAAATGAGACAACACGTTTAGCATGGCAGTAATTCCAAAGTAATATTACTCAAAACATTTGCTTGTTAACGCAGCTTAAAACTTATTTTAGCGCAGCTTAAAATTATTTTTTATACAGCCTGGGGGACGTGTGTACAAAACTATAACAGTTCTTTTACTAGCTTGTGTCTATTAAAAGGCACATGGAGAGCTTTAATAGTGGCCAATATAAGAGGTGCATTATTGGACACCGACGTGTGGATTGATGTCGAATAGTTTATTGGCTGTTGATTGAAGCTTGATATTTTTTCTTGTGGTTGACATTGAACCCATCGACTGAAGGTGGGATAGTCACTGCATGGCAATGAAAATCATATTTACATAAACTGATAGTGGCTTACCTGCTTTACTATCTCTTGAAGATCATCATCTTGTAGACCTGCATGCGATTGGGCTGGGTGTCTCTCAAATGATGTATGGATGATATGCCTAATCAGCATGCATCTGCCAATGGAACGCCACTGCTAAATGTTACGACCGCTCTTATATTTATTGGGGTGTTATCATCTCAGTAGTTTTCATTTCTAATATCGATGTTGCTCTCTTCACCAGGAGCGCTTCTCCTACATCTGCCCGGACATTGTCAAAGAGTTCAGCAAGTTTGACTCGGACCCTGGCAAGTGGATGAAGCAGTACACTGGTGTCAACGCCATCACCAAGAAGGAGTTCACCATCGACGTGGGTTACGAGCGCTTCCTGGGGCCCGAGATCTTCTTTCACCCGGAGGTTGGTAGGGAGACGGGGTTCGGGGGGACATGAGAGACACACTCCCTATTCGTGTCATCCTCTTTCTCGAGGGTTGTCGATGAGCATCACATGTCTACGCCTCTCCCTCTCCTCCGTCGTTAATCTGCATTTGCGCTACACCGCTCTCTTTGGGTAAATATGACGGTGGTTCCCCTTGTTCCTCCTGTTTCGGAGTAAGAAAGCCATGCATCAGATGCTCTGGATAATTACCTCCTAGATATACACCTCGCCTCAGAAATCCCTCTATATGATCACATTTTCAATGTAAGATGGATACCAAAGACATTTTGCCATCTGTCTTGGACCTAGGGCTGCACCCTTGTGTTAAACTATGTTTCAGTTGAATATGGATAGATAAATGTGATTATAATGGATTGTAAAGTGTATTGATCCATAAAAGAGGTTTATTTGGGTTAGATCACGTAAAGATTAATGTGTCGTTAAACTCGCCACACCCATCACAGTCAATCAGTAAGGTTTGTCACGTAAACAAAACGTGCCAATTCGTTACCAGTTGAGCACACCGGTGTGTGTTAGAGAGTAAACCCACAACATTCAGAATTCGAGTACAACGTTTTGCTGGTAATTGCAACCATCCTCATCAGATGACTGCCATAATTACGCAATCTCACCCAAAAAAATCTGTTGTGGATAATATTGGTTGCGTAAGCCTGCTACGTGTTCAAGTGTAATGAGTTATTGGTCTCGGCCCAGTCACCACTGGCTACAAAAAAAAACACGTACATTTTTTCCATCTACTCTGGCTGCATTCCAACTTCAAGAGTGTGACAAACATTTCCCTGTAGCAGAAGGCGACCCCAAAGAATTTCTTAAAGAAGTGATGATTACGCGGTGCCCTTCTCTAACGCATGGAGTGGTGCCCTGCTCTGCGAGAGTTCCGAGTCTGAAGGCTTGATGCTGATAACGGGACTGGAACAATATTTGTAAAAAGAGACAAAAACCTGAATAAACAGCCATGCAGGTCAGCTGTTTTACAAACAGGCTGTGCAAACGGCATTGTTACAATACGTCGTCGCTGTAGCCTTGTTCACTGCTATGTCAAACACATTCATCACTGCCCCCTTTTCACGTCCCATCTTGTGTGCACACGCATTCATGATCAATCATTCAGTGGCAATGAAACGAGTAATAACTGGTGCGTGGGTAATGAGGTAAGAAGCACATTTGTCACACAAAGTGCCTTCTGAATGTGAATTGCCTCGTTAAGTAGACCTTAATCTGTTTGGTGGATATTTTGTGCATTAGTCTCTAATAGAATTGTTATGTTTCACTGCAAAAAGGTCAAAATATACCCAAATAGGTTTCCGCCTTTCTAAATAAAGGACCTTGCATTGAACTATATAATGCATTCAATCGGCTGCTCGGAAAGCACCAGCACCAGGAGACTGCATTTACGAGCTGCAGCAGTGGATAGAGCAAGGACACATCCGAGCGCTGTGTGGCCTCTCGTCTCCCGCAATGAAACGATCCAACCAGCACTTGCACACGAGCCGATTTCATGGCTCCGTCTTCCCTTCTTTGGCTACCCATCCGTAGTTAGTCTAGACCGCCAGCCATCAACAATCCCTTCTGGCGATGTCTTCCTACAAATCCCCACTTGATGGACTATTGTCAAGAAATCTTATCTTATCTTAAACAAATTTATATAGCGCTTTATCCAAGGCGCATTACACAAAATTAACAATAGTACATATGAATGTAATGGTGGAGATGAAGTAAATTCAATAGATGAGAGGAAGCAATGGGCAAATCTGTGATGCTTGTATTCAGTGAAAGCGAAAATTATGACATTAAATGATGATGAATGCATTGAATTATGGGAAATGAGTGAAAACAATATGAGGGGGAGATTAAGGGGTCGTGGGGTGAGCTAGGGATAATAAGTGATTTTTGAGTGCAGAGCGGAAACGAGTGAGCGAATGTTTAACGTGGAGGGGAAGTTTGTTCCAGTGAAGAGGGGGGGAGCAAGAGGAGAAAAAGAGCAAAAGCGTGGAGTGAACGCAACGAGGAGGAGGAATAGAGATTGATTATCGTGCACAATCTGTGCTTGGCTGTTGGCTAGGAATGCTCCTTGGTGGCACCCGCGCACTGCATTTTGATGCGAGTCCGTTGGAGCCGTCGCGTTGTGTGCGGTGCACGTGGTTGGACAGCAGGTGGAGCTGTAGACGCGCGGCTCAATCGGCTGTGCCCGCAGGGCCGCTGTTGAGCCCCACACCAATTATCACATGAAACGGGCACCAATCAATAGGCAACAAAGAAAACGGCACGGACAAATTAATTTATATTTGCAACGTTTATTTCTTTTTTTTATTGACGTTCATATATAATCTCAGAATGGTCTAAGCGGTTTCCCATTTCATTAGCTTTGGATGACGATCATCTTCCCCTTTGTGGAAACTCCACATTCCTATGGGAGGGGATGTGTGTGTGTTTGTAAGGGAGCTACTATATGTCAATATGTTGGGTTTTTTATATCTACATTTTGTTGTTGGAGCATAAACACACGTACATTCAACATCTTAACCAATTATTTGCATTTTCAAATTGACATTTGAAATGTCAATATTTACTATGCAGCTTCAAATGAGTCACAAATAAAAAAAAACGTGAGGACTGAAATGAAGGGAGGGAAATGGAATATGTAGCATTCAGCAATCATTACATTGATCTGCATTGAGCCATTTAAAAACCACTAATCACTGACATTATACCTTAACTTTTGTTTAGATTTGGGCACCCACAGTTGTGTTCATCCTTGCATCTGGTTGGTCATTGTTAAACCGCTTGCCGACAATCCCTGCAGATGTACACATGAATACGTGTGCTGCAGCCTGTGTTCAGCAGTGCAGTTTGTGTGTTCACGGCTCAGTAAATTATGGTCCCTTTATAATCCTCTTTAACCAAGCTTTCTCACACCCCAGTCCTTGCTACCCAGCACGGTGTAGCTTTCCTTGATTACCAATATTTTCCATTCACATGCAAATCACCTGGAACGTGCCCGATCGTATCAGATATCTGGGTGACTGCTGTGGATTAAACACAGGTTTCACAGGCTCTACTGTGGGGCTACCTTGCCAACGGAGGTTGGTGCAGAAATATCCGTGCTCTAAAGTCTGTGCTCTCCGCTTTCACCAACCCACACTGACCAGCGGAGTGAAGCATGGTCAAATTACCTGGGGCGGTGACATGGTGACAACAGTCTCGCGGTAGCATGCTCGCCGCCTGTTGCAGAGGTTCCACGATTCGTTCTGGCGGCTGCCCTAATTAATAGTGCGGTTCTAGCAGCCTCGTTAATACTTTGTGCCGTCTGATTTTTTTCAGTGCACGTTAAAGAATCCCTGACCTCATTCGCAAGAAGGGGCCATCGTGTGCTGGCATCACGGTCTAAATTACCAAAATTCTAATTGTTGGGATTATACATAGCAATAATCACTTCCTACTGGCAGACGAATGCCCCAGGTCACTCTTACAATCGAGACTCATCCCGGTGTCTTGCGTTCTCACCTGGTTAACCAAAATTAATTATGCAATCCAAGCGGCTGCATGCACCTGATAGTCAGTAATCACGGAAACCCTGCGATTACTCCAGCAGTCTTACGCGCTTCGCTTGTTGCACACAGTAGTCGTAGGCGGAGCAGGTGTTTACATCATGAGCTACGTTTCCTGAATATCAAAACATACTGCATAACAACAAAGGGGCATGCCGAATTGCTTGCTTGTAGAAAAGGCAGCAGGTCTAGATGTGTGTTGACCCTGGCGTACGGATTATCCCGGGTTGAATGACGCTATCGCCGGTCGCTGACCCCCCTACCCTTCCCTCTCCTCTCCCCACAGTTCTGCAACCCCGACTTCACACAGCCCATCTCTGAGGTTGTGGACGATGTCATCCAGAACTGCCCCATCGACGTGCGCCGGCCTCTGTACAAGGTGCGTGCTTCCACACGGCCCCTGTGAGCGATTTGGCTGCGGCGCAGTGGCGAACCACCCCAAAGGATGGGTGCCACGGTGGCGAGATGTTAACTACATCGCCTGGTATACCAGAGGTCCTGGGTTCGATCCAAACCCTAACGCCTGTATATTTGGAGTTTGCATATTCTCTGCATGGTTGCGTAGATATTTATCTGGGTCCTCCGGTTTTTCCCTGCACATTTAGAATCGACATGCGTCCAGAGTATTTGGCTGCTGTAAATGTCATTTGTGACCAGGTCGTGTCTGAAAAAGAGCAAATAGCTGAGTGGGCCTTTCCGAGTAAAATATAGTATTATAGTTATCATATTCTTTGGGTCTTTCGGTAAAGCCATGTAGATAGATCAAATATTGCCATACATAGCAGGGGTCACCAAATAGATTTCCAACAATCATGAGCAAACACAAGATCCAGGTACAATTCAAGACAGTACATAAAATTCGTGATTTGATCCCATTTGTGAAGGATGTGATCCCTGACATGCAATTCCCCGGTGTCTACAAACTAAGCTGTGTCTGCGGCAGCTGTTACATTGGGGAACTAAGCGACATGTCTCTGAGCGGGTTCGTGAACATAAGGCAAATCTGAAACACGACAGGACTAATACCTCAGCCGTGGCTGATCATTATTTTAACACTGTGGGCACACACGAAATTGATTTTGCCAAGACGAGGGTACTCTGCAAGCCCACTGGCTATCAGCAAAGATTTGTTCATGAAGCCATCCAGATATATAAACACAGACACAATTTCAACCCAGAAGATGGGTACAAACTGAGCAATCATTGGAAGTACATTATTAACCAGTTTAGGTCATAACTGGCTGTGATGTTCTCTCCCTACCTACCCATGTTAGCAGTTATTTTCGACTCTTCAGTTACATTTACTAACACAGCCACCGTTAGCTGTATTAGCAAATGGCGGCCTGCCATCCTTGTCCACCTCCATGTGGCGATGCTCTTGCCGGGCTTTCTCCGAGCTTACATTTACATGCAAATCTCTCACATTGACATGCTAATCCCTCACAATACAATGGCCACCCCCACAGCTTCATTTGTAAATAGCGGCTTGCCATCCTCTTCCACCTCCATGTGGCGATAGCTCTTTCCGAGCTCTCTCCGAGCTTACATTTACATGCAAATCTCTTACATTGACATTGTAATCTCTCACAATACAATGGCCACCCCCACAGCTTCGTTTGTCAAGATTTACCCGATCTTACATTTACATGCAAATTTCATCTCTAGCCCCTCCCACGGACCCTTGGGCTACACCCATCCCAAACCTTTATAACTCCTTACCTGAGCAGCGCTCCCAACATACATTCTAAGCAGCTCTCCCGCGATATTTCTCACCTGATGACGATTGCTTGTGTTACGATGGAAACGTCGTGATATTGTTATTATTTTTATTATTTAATCTATCTACGTGGCTTTACCGAAAGACCCAAAGAATATGAATTCCTGCAGTTACGAAAGCTTTAAGTCATTATTGTTTTTAGTTGTATGTGGTTGTTTGTGCTATAGCTCCAATGCATTACGGGTTGTACCACATGTTGTTCCCTATAATGACTATAAAAATTTTCTCCAAATTTTGGGAGCTTTTTAAGGAATTAAGCTCTGAACTGGGCTGGGAACTTTTTCTCACAAATTCAGTTCTGAAATTAATTCCTGAAAGAAAAAAAAACCTCTCGGCACACGGAGCGAAACGTCGAACGTGAACAGTGCGCGTTACAACCCAAAAACACATCAGGGATAGCCATGCAGTGGGAACCTCGCCATATCCCCCACGTGCTCCCGATTCTCCAGATCTGTGTGTGCCGTACACGCGCCCTCCTGCCTGATATATTCCATGCATTCAAAGTTTTCCCGCTGCATTTAAACTCCTGCAAGGTTAAATGAGGGCCCGGCGTTTCCGCATGCGCACGAGGTGTTTTATTTGGGTCATTTGGTTCAGCTGAAATGCGCAAGGAAATTCAACCCCCAACCCACCACCTGCAAGCCCTGGAAGACCGCCTAAAATAGTGCGGCGCTTTAAACGTTACTCTGTCCCATGCGCACGCCTTGGCCGATGCATCCACACATTAATATTTCTGGCGACCCAGGTTAATTTCTGTCCAATTAAAAATGTCCCATGGGCCTCCAATTGACTGCTTTTCTTGGCGAGGGCTCGGCAAATCCCCTGTCCTGATTCGGGTTCACCGGCAGCCGTGTGCTCCTGACATCAGCTCTATTTCCAATTACAATCCCCCCCCTTTAACAGTTCATAAGTGACTCCACAGTAACCGGTGAGAGCGTGTGTGTATGTATGTGTGTATACGTGTGTGTGTATGCGTGTGTGGGGAGTGGTGGTGCAGTGCACCACAAACTCGGCGACATGAGTTTGATTTCCACTCGCAGCAAACATCGGTGACGAATATATGAAACTGTCTTAAGCCTCCTCGCTAGGTCAACTCAGCCGCAAATGAGTACCTCGTACAGTGTGTAAACATCACCACTGGTGAGAGTCAACGGCCAGGCATTGCGCTCGCCACCGATGCCCTCGTGGCATTTCGGCCTTTGCAAGTACTTGCTTAACAGCATTTGCCCGAGCAGCCTGTCTCGACTACATGGTCAAGGCTTTTCCTGGGTCGACTCAGTCCTAGACGCGTCCTTGTTTGGTGTGTGGACAAAATGCTGGGTGGGAGGGCAAGGGAAGGTGACCACCGGGTTTGGTACTGGCCAAATCACCACCTCCTGCACATTGTAAGCCTTAATAGGAGCTCGCAAACAGCACCTGCCCCATTATGCTTTAGATGGGGGTTCTTTGTCTTTTGTATATGTCGCACGGTTGTTTTTGTATTGTGTTCATTCACAAGTGGGGAATTATGTATGCCTATGTTTATGAACATAACTAGGCTAGGGGTTTGTTTTATTGCTGAAGGATAGCAATACATATTTATCTGCCTATGGTCCTTCCGAATTGATGTTTTTCAGGAGTGTTTGTGTCAAATAAGGTCACTGAACCTATTTTGACCTGCACCAGGTCACCTCAGAACGTTGTGGCCTCATTAAACCGTTGTTGAGTCCTACCCTAATATTATCAATAAATCAACGGCGTATGTCAATAGACCATTCGAAGATATCTTTAAATATTAAACGCATGCATTCCTGAACATTGTTCACAATGTGCTATATACAGTATGTTACAGGCAATTATTTCTAACAATGTGGGGCCCAGGCACTTAAGTTTATTACACACTGACTTGTCTTTCAGTCACCCCTGCTAGTTAACCTCTTGCATGCATGTCTTCAGCACTCCACGTGGCTGAAAATTCCGCCTAGCCTGGTACAAGCAACTTGGTGATGTATTCTCCACTTGCTGGTTAACGGCAGCAGTTGCTGCTGTTGTTGTGTGTGTGAATGTGTGTGGTTGCACCCGCCTTCGTAGGTGCTTCTTCTAACAGCACTTGCCCCAACAGTTAGTTAAGATGAAACGCGTGGGGGGCGGAATATTTGTCTTTGTGGTTGCACATAATGAGAAACTGTGACTGTGGCTATTGTACGACAGCAGGGGTTTTCAGTCGGAGGCCCTCAGGCCACATCTGACCCATGAAGGCCTTTGGAGTGGCCTGCCAAGCTATGGCCCACACAGGGATATATGGCTCACCGGGACTTGAAAAGAAACAGATTAGTGAGGTGAAATCAAGATAAACATAAGCGAGAGATGAGAGACCTCCAGGCAAGAGATGCAGAGTAGTAGTTACATGAGATATTATGTCACGTCACCCACCGGCACATGATAAGTTTATTCTGTGGCCCACTGGAATGCATATCTCAAGAACCCTGCACTATGCTGTGGACCTTTTACGTTTGATTGTCGACGATGAATAAAATCGGTGGAAAGTCGTACCTGAACTTATCCTCGACCGCCATTTGGTCGACTCATTCTGAAATGAGTGCCGGGTACGGGTGCAAAAGTATCAGAAGTGGAGAGACGCACAGGTGGCTGCGTGTGGTGCCGACCGCACTCACCTCATGCAACCGTACCAGCGCCTATCGTCGCCTGCTAACAGCACTTCTCCCAATCTTTGTGCATGTGGTTGCATGCAGAATGTGGTCTTGTCCGGAGGCTCCACCATGTTCCGTGACTTTGGACGGCGACTGCAGCGTGACCTCAAGCGCACGGTCGACAGCCGGCTCCGGATCAGCGAGGAACTCAGTGGCGGTCGCATCAAGGTACCGCCGCTCACACAAACACAGCAACAACAACAGTCGCTTGTGCCAGGATTGGTGTACCTTGAGGCCATGTGAAGTGTCGAAAGTTACTCTGGCAGGAAGTCACGTTTTGACTGGCCGGCAAATCCATTAATTGCTGTGAGCATCGCTCTTTCGTGATGCTCTTGAAGGATGATACTGCCCAGTAGCATCCACCACGGAGGTCGATCTTAACAATGCTTGTACCGGTCATCCGCAAGTCAAATCACTTCCACACACACATGCTCACACAGGCAAGTACAAACACACACACCTGCTGAGGTAGCTGGATGGTTCAAGTGGCTAATCACTGTAAGAGCATTGAGCGAGCACCACTGAGAATCCTGGGTTTGAATTTAGGTTTCAGCCACCCGTGATTAAAATGGATTCCTTATTATTTTTGGACGTTTTCACCAATTGTATTCCAATTGTGTTATCGGCGTCTTGTCACATGGGTGAGGTGTCCGTTTAGAATTCTTAAGAGTATCACATCACCTTGTGGTGGAGAATGGCCCATGGAAGAATATATTTCAGAGCTACTTCTGAGATGCCAATAGATACAAAAAAACATTGTAACTGGTATTGGCCTCTTCTTGGTTCTTTCGGTAAAGTCACGTAGAAGGGAAGTAATAAAATAATAAAAATAAAATAATTCTCACGAGGTTTCGGCCACAACGCAAGCAGCCGTCCTCAGGTGAAAACCAGGTCTGTCGGGGAGACAGAATTATTTTATTATGTTTTATTTTTATTATTTTATTATTTCCCTTCTACGTGATGACTTTACCGAAAGAACCAAGAAGATGAATCCCTGCAGTCACGAAAGCTTTAAATCGAAAATGGTATTGGCCTAACATCCCAATGCAAATTACTTAGGTGGGGTTACCCATAACAACGTCGCTTACAGCTGCAAAACAATTGGCAGGACCGTCCTGAAAAAGAGTTGCAAGTTTGGCTTTCTTGGGCGAACAAGTGTAATAACAATAACGTTCCACATTTGTTGTGTTGCCCTTTTCCACACACTCCGCTATGTAGTTTTGTACATTGCATGGCATTCAAACCAATATCTTAGTTTTCAACTTTCAGAGATTAAACATTTGCCAAATTAAGTGAAGCACCAAATTGAACATGGAATGTGTTCCCTAGTTATTGGTAATTGGGATGAGTCGGTAAGCTCACTTGAGATCTTTGTTCCATCATGGATGGCAATCTGGATTCGAACCCAGGTTCTCAGCATTACCATCTCAGTATTCTCTGACCCCAAGGTCATTATCTGGCCTTTTTTTAGCAACTTGGTAGTCTCAGCCAGTTCACTGCACAGAAACAAACCCATGATAATAAGGTGGGTGTTTTTGCATAATTCGGTATGTTCCAGCTGAGAGGATTAAAGGAGATTTGATTTTTCATGCGATGAACATTCCGTGCAGCACATAAAACAGGTGTGTCCCTGGTGTGCGTAAAGAGTCCGATTGATATTACTTTCAAAGTAGTTCTGTGATTTCCTTCTTCCATTGTTGCTCTGTAAATCAGCGTGGGGCATTTCCTCAATGTAAAGTTCTTTGTCTCTTTATATGCCACCAATAATGTATTTGCAATATCATTTGGGGGGAGGCAGACATACTACAGTAATAATGTTTTGTTTTATATTGGATCTTACATTTTTCGATTGAATTTAATTGGCTGAGAAATCACAGACAAGGTAGCCAGGGGGTGAGCCAGCGCTACCAACAATTGCCAAAGCGCTGTGGTCCTCGATATATTCAGATGTTTTCATCCAATTAATGATTGTTAATACATGTGGGGGAGACCCCGAAGCTCCCAGGGAGATTTCACGCTTGTGAAGGGGCAGTACTCTATCCCATACAAAAAAGGGACAGATTATATAAGTTGCACTCTCCTGTACTGCCTTCTGGAAGCCAGGGTATGGCACCTTCTCATCGTCCACAGGAAGATAGTTTCAGAACATTTGTGCGGTCCACCAACCATCGACTGCATAGCGCTTGATTACAGGTGTGCGTGCATCGCCTCCACCGCCCCTGTCACCTGAGGGGCATTCTTGAAAAACTACTGCTTTCTTTGGAACACTTTACAGTACTACTTTTCATCATTTTTATTTCATCGTCTCCCCATAGAACACACATGAAACATAATAATTCACTCCATCCACTTATTGTTCCCATTCTCAACATATTCACACGTTTTGGACATTGAGCCTTTTGTGGGTTATAAAGTTTTCAAAGATACCCTTCATTTATTCATTCAGGCAATCCCCTTCGATACTTGAGCACCGTCTTACATTTCGACGTTTGGCCATTTGCTTTACCACAAGTATCTTGTATGTGCAAGATTATTGTAGTATCTATGAAAAATGTAGGCGTACGATTAGATAGAACTCCACGGTTCGTACACATGCATTAACTAATGCATTTGGTTCACTGTCATTTGGCCACATGGTGGCCCAGCTGATTTGGAAGTTTCACAAGTCTGCACGATCCACCAACCTTTGCCTATAAAAGCCCTGGATGTCACAGGCCTACGCTGCTGTGCCCAGTGTGTATCTATTATCCACCACAGCTTGGGCAAAATTAAATAAAAAGGCAGAGGACTGCCACACCAGCAATTAATTTTGTAGATGGCTGGGTATTATTTCACTATCGGATTATTGCATTACAAAGAAAGGAATAATTCGCCTCATTTAAACACATGTAAAGTAATACATTCGGTCCGCTATTAGCATTCTGCGGCCATACACGAAGCAGGAAATCGGCACTGGCTACTAACACGAGCAGTTAGCATTTCGTTGTAATGGAAAAAGTGGTTATTTTTGTCAAGCTTTCCTTGGCACAGAGAGTATTGGGTGTGCATTTGCACGGGAGGGCAGTCCACCCTAATGCATCTTCCCACACGGACAAACAGTAATAACACTTAGATTTAAACTGACTTCGCTGCCTGAAAAATGGAGACGAGTCTCTGTGCTGGCATAAAATAAACAAGGGACAAAACCTATATTTAGAGATGCCTTTATATAGCAGGCCATTTTGTAAGGTGGCTTGTTGTTTGCGCGTGCGCATATGTGTGTGTGTGTGGGAAGCGGTAGTGTAGCGGTGAGCTTGCTGCGCTATGAAACCCTGTGGGCCGAGTTTGATTCCCGCTCACGGCCAACACAAGTGACGATTATCTGGGCCTCACCTAGGGTGACTCGGTCTCAAATGAGTACCTGGTGCGGTGTGTAGTAAACATCGCCACTTGGGAGACAAAGGCGGCCGGGCGTGGTGCTGGCCACCCACCCCCTCGTGTGCCGTGATGCTCGCTAACAGCACTTGCCCCAACAGTCTGTTCAGGCTATACGAGGGATCTTTGTGTGTGTGTGTGTGTATATATATGAAATTGCTCTGCGTTCGGTCCCCAAGTGAACGAATGTGTGATAAATCTCAATGTTTCCAAGCTTACTGCAAAAATTTGATGCATTGTTTGCTCAATTTTTATTATAATGTAATATTGACTTTTCAATGAAGCCAATATATTGAGCTAATAGGCACATGATTGTTTTCCAGGTTGTTGCCACTCTTTCCCAGCGCCGTCACCATGATTTTGCTCTCAGCATTATGACGCACTAGAATTACATTTCATTAGCGTTGCTGCGTTCACGACGAACAATGCGGGTTTTGTTCTTCTCAGGCACCAAAATAATAAATATAATCGACCTTCCAGAAATCTATTTCAAATTTCTCAGACAAACAGAAATCTTAATCTTAAATTTGTAAGTCGGTGTCAAGTCATTGGGCTTTTATCGGTGTTTTGTGTCTTTCAGGACATCTAAATCAAAAGGGTTTTTGGATCAGGCACTGTGCAATAACTCACCCACCTATTATCAGGCTTCATTGAAAGTACCATCTAATCGCACGTTGTGACGGGTGTATGTATGCTGATTTTTTTCGCACTGTACGTAGCTAGCCTTGCTAATCGGAGGTGCGGGGGAAATATAACAAACTAAAGACAAAAAGACGTTCTAAAGAAATGAGTTTTCAACCTCTATTTAAAAGTGCATAGCTCCAGTGGCTTTCTAATATTGCAAGGAAGAGCCGCAGAAGCGCATGTAAAAGCACGTGATGCAGTGACCGTCTTTGGTGGTAAACTATTTGGTGGTATACTGATGCATCGATTCATAGATTAAAATCGGTTACGGTTGAAGCAAATTAATCGAATTGTGCTGCTGAGAATCCGTTATTTTTCTATACGGATATGTTGCATGCAATGAGTTCCCGTGAACCCCCCCCCCCACCCCGTTCCCCAGTAGACACGAGAGTCGCAACATTGGACTGCAATTTTAAAAAAATATATCTTCTTGAATCGTATTGCAACTCCGAATGGTGACATTTTGAGGGGGGTGAATAGTTATACACTAAGATGTAAAACTCTAATAAGTTTGTGCATTTTTTTTATTCTATTCCAAAATATGTGAACTACTGCCCCGTGTGTGTCTGCGTGTATGTGCATGCATGTGCATTCATATGCAGTACACAGCACGGTAAGCAGAGCGATGTCCTTGTTTGCAATATTAAATTACACTTAAGATGTCCATTTAAAATAAATTAATTCTGAGCGGCTCCTGTAAAGACCACTGCAGTAAGTGAGTCTGTCACCGAGAAGCACGACATTGATTTCATTTCATAATAAATAAATATACCCTCCAATGGAAGAACAAAGAAGGGGTGGGGGGGGGGGTTAAAAATAGAAACGGAGCAAGCTAATTAAAAAGCCATTTTGGGGGTTAGCTGCGGCTCGTAATGCCGGTCCGCGGGTGGCACTGGGCGGTGTTTTGGCATATTCCTTAGCTGTGCGTGCCGTGGTTTTTCTATGTATAAAATATTAATGCATTTCTCCCGCAGCCAAAACCGATCGATGTGCAAGTAGTTACCCATCACATGCAGCGCTACGCCGTGTGGTTCGGAGGTTCGATGCTGGCTTCCACCGTAAGTGCCTTGCCAATCCGCACACACTCTTGATATTGTTGCATACACAGCACCCTGGGGCAAAATATCAGTTCATTTTCACTCTTTAACTCATATTTTTTTGTGACTTTTCAATTTTTATTGTCGGAATGTGGGGTCATGGTGGCGCTGTCGTTAGCGCACTGCGGTATGAACCTTGCTTACCTGAGTTTCATTCTTGGCCACGATTAACGTCAATGGAGAGAGTGGTTTGTCCTGGATGTCGCTTCACCAAACTGCACTGAGCGGCCTGGTGAGATGTGGCCAGACAACCCCCGATGATACACACCGTTTGTGGAGGCCTTCATCCAGCAGTAGATTGACAAAGCGCTGTAAATGATTGTGTAACTCTTGGAATGATTGCCCCTAGTTTGTTTCGCCCATTGGTTTTGTTTGTGTCTCGGTGCTGAGTATGTACAGAGCAAATTAAACTCTTTGTTCTTTCATGATGATTTGTATTCATGGAAAGTCTGTTCGAATAGAAACTTAAAAAAAGCAATGAGCTATGCTTTCTGCAAGATCCTTGTCAGGATTTTTTTAAGGCTCTGTGTAATATTAATTAATTTATGGTGAGCCTGCAGGACATATCGGTTACAGTCCCTTCCCATCTGCTGAGCTCTATTAGCAACCCATTCATTACAGCAGCCTGCGAATAATGCGGTGAAAAATGTATTTCACATAAAGCAACATCTGCCCATTGATTCGTCTTTTTCACTGCCCTTTGTGCTGCGGTATTCCTGACTCGTTTCCCTCTTGGGTTTCTCTGTCCTCTGCTGTCCTGCCCAACCACGCATCCTACGCCGTGGTAGTGAGATGTCATCTCCCTCGCCTGGTATGCAGGAGGGCATGAGTTCCACCATGACCCCAAAGCCTGTATATTTAGAGTTGGCATGTTCTTGCGAGGATTTTTCCTCCCGTGTCTTCCGGTTTTTTCCTCCCCATTTAGAAACATTCGTTTTAAATTATTTGGCTTCTCTAAATTTCCACGTGATAAGCCACTTCATTGAGCTATCATTTGTGGCCAAGTTGCGTTTGAAAAAGAGCGATTATAGCTCAGTGGGCTTTACCTGCTAAAATAAAAAAAAAATGTGTTTAGTAACCTCCCAAACACTTTTCTCCCCTCCCCCCACCCTGCTGGTTCTGCATCTCCCCTCCTCCTCCTCCAGCCCGAGTTTTACCAGGTCTGCCACACCAAGAAGGACTATGAGGAGTACGGGCCCAGCATCTGTCGCCACAACCCGGTTTTTGGCGTCATGTCCTAACGGGTGGCATCAGAGCTCCACTCACGCACTCACGCTCTCACGCACGCACGCTTGCTCGCTCGCGCATACTCGCACATCTGGGGCTCTGCAAGCTGCCTTGCAAGTGCACACGGGGACAGGAATGCATCTTTGGCGGATGCTCCATGAAAAATAAAAACAGCAATGCACTGTCCAGTTCATATATATACAGTATATATATCTTTTGTTGCCGTCAGCAAACCATGCCATTGCATTTGGTTATGTTTGATCCGAGTCCTTTTTTTTTTACTTGTTAGGATCAGGTTCGATTTGAATCACATCACGCAATAAAAACGTGTTTGAAATAAACATAATACTGTCCCATTAAAATTTTTGCATATGCTTACGTTTTTACAAAAATAATTTTTATTCGTATTTTCTAAATGTTGTTTTTTTGATTCATTAAAAAGGTTGACGCAAAATGAGTTTTATTTCTCCCCATTTTCCTCTCATCGCAAGTTCTTTGATGGCTATCCTAGCCGTTTGAGCTGTGCTCGATAGACTCGTGAGTTTGAGCTCTCACACTAACCCAGGGTTTCGATGATGTGCGCTCACGGTTACGGCGCTGGGCCGGCAGATGCTACGTGCAAATGGGAATGCCGAGAATGTGTTTTGGCAGTCCGCATGAACTGTGCCCATTGTGGACCAGTATTCAAGAATAATGATGATGAATTGGTGGCTGGAATGTACAGAAACCACAATAGCCTACATCAAATTATGGTGCTGCAAGCCTTTGCCACAGAGTCTGGGATTGAAAACCTATCGCAAGCGTTTGAAATAGAAATATCCCAAAAAGTTTGAATATTGGATTTCCTTCAAATTGTTATGCCCGCTGCACACACAATTCGTTGTTGTATTCTGAAAATTCTGAATTTGCGAAAGAATTAAAAAATATATATATCAAGGCCCTCTCTTGCCATTGGTTTTCAGTGCCCGAGTGTATCATTGTTGAACGTCTATACATTGTGAAATCATTTCCCCTTCCATTCTGCCTGACAGTGACGTGGAATGTGCACATTTTTTGTGGCAAACTTTGAAACCTCGCCATCCGTTATTTTCGTATGTATAAAAAAAATGTATGCAATATGTGTCTTGGGTGTGGCCGTCTTGGAATGAGAGTAAACTTTTGGAGTGTCGTGTTGCATTAACATTTTAAAGATGAACATGAACTTGATGCTCCGGATTTCATTTGTCTTCTCTCCGCCGTCCCAAGCGCTAAACGAACCGGCTAACCATGCCGCGCCACCAGCACCACCACCAAGCTGTACGTCTTGGTGGGTTGCAGGTTGACAGGTTGGTTTTATAGTGGATTGAGCGGGGATAGTCATTGAGTTATGATGAGTGATAATACAATACACATCATCGCGAATTTGACCAGAGCAACCTTTGGAAATGAAGGGGGAAAAAAATCTATTGAAAGCTGGGGTTTTTCGGGCATGAATGAAATTATCTTCTGCAAACAGAATCCAGATTATCTTGTGAATTTGCAAAAAAAAAAAAGCTCCAGGGCGCCTGAAATTGTACACGGTTTTTTTTGGCATAAAATGAATAAATAAATGTGTTTTAATCAGTGTTCATTGAGCCATATCAGTCTAATATTGCTGGAGGAATGGATGGGTGTGCAATGCCATTTCCTCGGCTCGTGTTGGGGCTGAGGGAGTAGTGGCGATGTGGTCTCGCAGACAAATGGCTTTAGAAGGGCTGTTGTAAGAAAGTTTTCACCGGATTATACAAGAGGCAAACACGCTGACCTAGTTCCCAACCTCTCGCGAGCCCTACGGGGCTGCGGAGCGATAGCTGTACATTAACATGTCTGTGCTGCGTTCGATAATGAGAAAAATGCGGCGCGGGTAGGTGTGGCGGTTCCGTGTTGCCAGCCAAGCCCTCGGCGTTCTCATCAGCACTTGGCTGCACGCCCCTTCACCGATGGCAGTTCGGTCGCCGCAGTCCGCTGAACTTGACCGCTGCGACTTGGCTCGCGTGTAAACTTGAAGCTCCGGCGCGCAACGACGCATCGATTCGTGGACTTGGACCGATTGATCGTTTCGCGACGTGCGCATCGAGCCGTACGTGTCGGCATGGATTATTGTCATTTCGTATGTGTTGTATGTAATTGGTTTGTGTGACTCCTGCAGCCATGGTAGAGCTTGCTCTCACTTTATATACATACAAACAATTGACACTTGAATCAAATCGTGACCCCCGGATCGTGGCAATGTGTTGCATCTGAGAGGCGAATCGTCACATGCCTCCCCTACATACGAGCTGCAGCTTATGAGCATTTAGTCAACATTCGGTTATGTCAACATTGCAAATTACGTATCCAGGAAAAGCCCCCGTTGAGTCTCCAGATATTTATTTTTCAGGAGTGACCTGCATTGATTGCCGTGTTTGGACAATTCCATCCCTGTTTGGCATTGTACCATGTTGCAATGGTGATGTACTTCGTTATACTCAGCAGAGGGTGTTTTCTTGCTGTTTTGTAGGGTTGAAGTAATTTCGTGGAGTTGATCCAAACCCAATGAGCCGAACTAAGGCGCCCTAAATGAGGCATGGATCAGAACATCACGTGGTTAACCACGTGATGGCACTATTTCGATGTCACTTGCACTCATTATTTCAAACTGCAGAATGCCGATTTTACTGTTTATGGCAAGGTTAACAAACCGACAACTTGTTGCAGTTTTTATCTACGTATGTGTCCTGCAGTTCAAAGCAATTCAATGCTGTTACCATGCTAAACATGGTAATAACGAAAACTAAATCTATGAATCAAACCCCTTGCATGTTAATTCGGTATTAAAACGGGAGCTTACTGTCAGTGGCGTTAAAATTCTTGCTGACATTTTCTAAACCTCATTAATACTTTACAGCTGAATTATGAAATAATAGTTTCTTAACAAATGCCGTTTCCCGAAAAAACCTCATTAAGTGTGGAGATGTTTTTTTATATATCAAGAAACATTGCTTGCTTACGATGTTTAGCATTTGTTGTATGTATGGATATCAAAGCCAATGCAAGAGTTCCCCGAGAAATCCCACTGCACACACTTGCGTCCAGATTAAGATTGTTTCAGTTATGAGGCAAAGAGTTAGCGACTTGCACAGCGGCAAAGTAATGTTGTCTTTTCCATCCGATGATGGCCGTGGCTGTTCATGACTTCACGAGGACGCTGCTGTGGTCAGCCACCTCATGCCGGGTTGCTGGTATACGACGGGCAGAGCACTTCTTCTCCTACTACTCTTTGGTTCTTTCGGTAAAGTCACGTAGGTGAAAATAATAATAATAATAATAACACCTCTTCAACTTCCTTTTTCAATGAAGCGATTGGGATTCGCCGACTTCTGACGGCCCCGTTTCTCCGACTGACTGCAGATGGCTTGTGTTGCTGTTTGCCCCGCAGCAGAAACAGCAGCAGCAGCAGGATAACTACGTTTATTTTTTATCGCAACTGCTACTGCCCAATGGCAATAAAAACATACAACTGTGCGCTGATTGCATTTGCATGTAAATATTTATATTACACTCACCGATGTTGATTTTTTTGCATAAATACATCTTGGTGGAGGGGGCCGGTGGGGGGGGGAGAGTTTCTTTAAAAGGCTGCTTTGGTGGATACGAAGATAATTGTATTTTTCCCCCACCCAATGCTTTATGAGGGAAATGCGAACAGCACAAAAAGTGTAATCTTGCAGCAACAAAAAATAAAAGGCTTAATGTGGTTAAAAAAAATGTTTCAGAATGTAACAATCATTGAGTTGGTGAATTAGTCTAGAATTTGATTGAAACTTTAAAATATTACTGTTACACGTGCTGCCCTTTTGGGAGGGGGATGGATTGCTAAACTAATTATGTGCTTTTTTTTTACTATTTCACTGTGATGCGATATATGTGTGATTAATCATTGCAGTGTATATATGTCTTCTGTGTCCTGCGTCTCTATACATATGTATAACAATTCTAATAAACATCTTTCCAGGTTTCCATCATTGTTGGTGTCATCTCACAATAAAAAAACAATAATTTACAGAACTTTGTTATGGCCTGGAATCGAACTCGAGCCGCCGGTTCCACAGCAGAGAGTGTGCCAACCACATGGCCACCACTCCACCCTATGTCTATATGCATGGTGGCCCGAACGTCTGGACACGCAGGGTTATTGTATTTATTTAAACAAATGTTCAAACTGACTGCCATTAACGTTAATGCACACATGAATTATATTTTGAGCTGAATTTAGGACTTTTTAAAGTTTACAATGGTGTAATATTTGAACATTCACCAGTTATGTTTCGTCTCAATTCACTCGGGGTTCTTGCTAGAGTTTTGTAAACAACAGATTTGAGGTGAACCCACATGAAGAACAAGAAACAACCGATAGATAAATTTTTCACTTAAAAAAATAAGCAATGACAATGGTTTAATGCAAGTGTTAAAATAAACAACGTGGCCATATGTGTGTTGCCTTGTCCATCTTGTATAACAACCAGAATTGCCACTTGATAATGCATCCAACTCCAGCTGGGAAGCTGTATCAACATTCGCCTCAGGTTAACCACACGTGATATGGTTGGTTGTAATTCCTACGAAGGGTAATCGAATAGTCTGTGGTCTAACCTAGAAGTTATGGTTTTGCAATGAAGGGTGAATTTTAAGTTGAAAGTACATTTTATGAGGAACCACCACATAGCATAGCAATGGATTAAGTCGCATTTTTGTCAAATGTTCCAAGTAATATTGTTTGTGTTAAGTTATAAACTGAGTACGAAGCGTTTAGATAAACCTGGTGAAAGCCCCCTGCAGAAATCTCAGATAAATCTCAAGAAAAAAAATCTGAAACTCGGAAAATATGGCAGAAAAAAAATCAGAGACTGTGTTGGAAAAAAATCTGAAGAAAACCCAAGTCACCTGCCATAGCCCCCAAAAGCCCCTTCCACGCCGCTCCACACAGTTCACTGAGTACTTGCGCGGAAGAGATTTTCGAGTGACAATGAAGAAATGTGAGCTGCGGTGAGGAGCGAGACAGAGTTATTCCGTGCAGGGATCACATCCTTTGGACATTGGTGATGATGACGACAATGACGATGGTAATTGACCAAGTGCATTGCACTTCAAGGGGCACATGAAGAGAACTAAGACGGCTTCATAAAGGCTGCGCGTTGCTCTCTGTACGGGAGGTCTAATTTGTTCCTAAATCAACGCTGTGATTATATCAACATTAACTAAGCTATCGGTCGCCGGTGCTAATTTTGTTTGTACAGATCATGGCTGCACGCTGATCTACGGGTGTGAAGGCGCCGGATTCTTCGTGAAGATGTCGCTCCTCGCTCCGTCACGGTTACCACTCTTGTCGGCTCGAATGTAAAATAGGGGAATGATGCATTGCACGGACCGATTGATTTGCATTCCCTCCTAACACAACACTCGGTATGCACCGCCATGGGAGAATATGGGCAATACATTGATCAGCAATACAGACAGGCAGCGGCTTACTGGCGAGACTCATCAGGTCGAAACCGCTTGATTAAACGCTTAGGCGTTTGCCTGATTACATGTGTCCGAAACGCCCATCGACTGATGGACCTGTACGATGACATGTATAATTACATGTATGATGACATGCATAATGACACGTATGACGACATGTAGGATGCACCTACCGGATGTTCAAATCACGCGTGATGCAACCAATTTTGTCAAATTTCGGAAGCTAAGCGGTCTTGAGCCTAGCTCGTGCATGGATGGGCGAACACTTTGCATACCAGGTACTACAGGCTGCTGCGGGACTACGTCGTGGGCGAGGCAGAGGGCAGTGAAGCAACATGCATTGTTGCACTGCACTTCTACGCTCCCCGAGTTCAGGACCCCCTTTAAAAACAATCTTTGAGGCTCAATGAGTCTTTTCTGGGCCTACGAAGCGGGGAGGGGGGGGGGGGATTGTGGTCATTTGCAGCTACGAATTTACAGCCAAACCCGTGCTGTTCCTGCGCAGACAACGCACAGATTCCTGTTGGGGCAAGTGCTGTTAGCGAGCACCTATGAACGCCTCCACGGCACACGAGCGGGTGGGCGGACCCAGCACTACGCCCGGCCGCCTTTGTCTCCCGAGTAGCGATATTTGCACACCGCACCGGGCACTCATTTGACCGGTTTAGATCATCGTCGCCGGTGTTGGCCGTGCGTGAGCTTGGAATCAAATTCGGGCGGCTGGGGGTCGTGGCGCAGTGCGCTAACCGCTGCCCCACCACTCGCACGTCCGCACGCAACAATTTGTCACATCACCTCGCGGCCAATTGCTTCGCGAGGATGGCGCGTCGCTATTCTTGGGTCTCGATATTTGTTTTTGCGGTTCCCCGCTGGCTCCGGAGAAACACGGAGAAAATAGAGGGCTCCTTATGGATGTTGTGTGTGTGTGTGTCCGATGTGACCGGGAGAGCCGTGGTGCTGTGGTTAACGCACTGCGCTACGAAGCTGTTTCCTGTGTTTGAATTCCTGCCAAGGCGAACATTACTTTGGAGAGGGATTTCCGAACCGCGGATCTGGGCCTCCCCGAGGTCGACTCAACCTTATCTAGGATTTTATATAGCGCTTTTATGAAAGAGCTTTACAAGAATTATCAACGGTATATTGCTTATTGACCGATGGGGAAAAGGGATGGGGTTTGAGTGTTGGGGAGGGGAAGGGATGGCAAGGAATGATTATGATGGAGAAAGGGTGGGGCAAGGATAGGGGGAGTATCTGTTCAGTGCTCGGAAGGCAAGGGCGGTGGAGCGTGGAGGTTGCCCCATCAGTCTGAATAAACCTGTGCTCGCTATAGCAGCATTTTGCTCAACAGTCTGGGGCTTCGGGTCTTCGTGGCCGTGAGTCACAGCCATTTCCTGTGTGACAGGAATGCCCTCTGGCTTCAACACTATTCAACATCTTTATGACCACGTAGCTCGAAAAGCCTTCCATTGACCGTATCAGTGAACTATCCATCTTGTACTGATACCGATACTGCTGTTGAATGATGGCTCCTTAACGATAAACAATGGCATGCATGTTGATGTCCTGGTAATTGCTCAGTTGCGGACTCTGCTGTTAAACCAACCTTCAGCTTGCCACTGGAAGGTGTAAACCCCACCAAAAATAAAAGACCCCCACCTGCGTTCGATTCCGGGCCATTGCTAACATCAATGACACGTGGTATCTTAACCTCTTTTATTTAACGTGCAGCCTTTCACGGCCAATGCTATTACCCACATCGCTTGGTTTTAACGGACTGTGTTGGCTGTGACTTCGGGCGAAACGTCGGAACCTCATTGTTAAATGGTGCGGATGGCCCACCAACATCACCGGTGTGTTGAAGAAACACAATTGGGCGCAACAGCATCTATTTGGCTGTGTCGGGTGGAGGAGAGTGCACGACACAAGTTTACGTTGTACTCGATGCCATCTGACCCCCCCCCCCCCCCCAGACAAAAAAAAATAAGTTACGAGATCTGAACCTGTTTTGTTCCTCCTGTAGGTTGACTCAGCGTTCAGTTAACATATCGGTAGGTGCCTGCAGCACCCACGACACGCGCTAATGTGTGAGAGTGTGTGAGTGTGTATCATGAGTGGCAACACGTGGGGGAGGTTATCGCACGTGCGACGAACCCTTAGGTCGACTCAGCCTCAGATGCGTACCTGGTGCTGTGTGCGAACATGAACACTGGGTGAGTATAAGAGGGCAGGCCTTAATAGGTGCTTGCTAACAGCACTTGCCTCAACCATTGTACATACGCTGTTAATCTAGTGCATCTAACACCGGGGCAGTTCACCAGCATCGATTCGAGCGAGCTTGACTCTTCCAATGTGACACCGAATGTCGAAACAGGTCTCGAGTTTTGCTGGTACTGAATGAATCCTGATGAAATGATGCACTCCCAGAAGGCCGCGGACGCAGATGGAATGTGTAAACATGAAGCACACACGCACACATTTGTATGAAGAGTATATCTTGTGGAGGAGACAATGTCTGCTTATCTCTCTTGTTATTTATGTCTCGCGCAACGAAGCGGAGGGTTACTGTGAGTCACGCGGTCAAATGTTAATCTGCACAGGGGGGCGGGGGGTCTTTGTGACGTGTGTGGTGTGTGTGACGTGTGGTGTGTGTGACGTGTGTGTGACACGTGGTGTGTGTGACACGTGTGGGGTGTATGGTGTGTGTGACGTGTGTGGTGTGTGGTGTGTGGTGTGTGTGACACGTGTGGGGTGTGTGGTATGTGTGACGTGTGGTGTGTGTGTGACACGTGTGGGGTGTGTGGTGTGTGTGACGTGTGTGTGACACGTGGTGTGTGTGTGACGTGGTGTGTGTGTAACGTGGTGTGTGTGACTGTGGTGTGTGTGACGTGGTGTGTGTGACGTGGTGTGAGTGACGTGGTGTGTGTGTGACGTGTGGTGTGTGACTGTGGTGTGTGTGACGTGGGGTGTGTGACGTGGTGTGTGTGTGACGTGTGGGGTGTGTGTGACGTGTGGGGTGTGTTGGACGTGGTGTGTGTGACGTGGTGTGTGTGACGTGTGGTGTGTGTAACGTGGTGTGTGTGACGTGTGGTGTGTGTGTGACGTGTGGTGTGTGTGACGTGTGGTGTGTGTGACTGTGGTGTGTGTGACGTGGGGTGTGTGACGTGGTGTGTGTGTCACGTGTGGGGTGTGTGTGACGTGTGGGGTGTGTGTGACGTGTTGTGTGTGACGTGGTGTGTGTGACGTGTGGGGTGTGTGTGACGTGGTGTGTGTGACGTATGGTGTGTGTGTGACGTGTGGTGTGTGTGACGTGTGGTGTGTGTGACGTGTGGTGTGTGTGACGTGTGGTGTGTGTGACGTGGTGTGTGTGACTGTGGTGTGTGTAACGTGGTGTGTGTTACTGTGGTGTGTGTGACGTGATGTGTGTGACGTGGTGTGAGTGACGTGGTGTGTGTGTGACGTGTGGTGTGTGACTGTGGTGTGTGTGACGTGGGGTGTGT